AATGAGAACTTTACTGGAGAAGGAAAAAACCTACTTTACTTTTAATGTAAGTCAATGGAACCAGACTTTTTTCCAAGTCATTTTGGGCCGTTTCTTTTAGTTCATCCTTTATGAAATTTACACACAATGTAAAGAGCAACAGGCATTTTCAAATTATGTCAAAAACCGACTGCAGCGATATATTCATGATAGAGAGGTGCATGTAGAGCACTGTAAGGCAAAACAGTCGCCAAAGAAAAAATTATTAATATTGTTTTACCATGATCAATATTACAAATAAACAATCAGAATACTTGACATACACACACTTTGTTTACATACTGAAAGAAATCCATGTGATGGCTAGAACCAGATCTGTGTTCTTCAAACTAGCTCACAATATTTTAGCTACTTTTCTGAAAAGAAAGAAAGCTCAAAGATATTGTCTACCTTTTTGCAAAGAAAATAAGGTGATTGTATTGCATTTGCATTTTTCAACAGTATATGGTGTTCTAATAGGACACTTAATGCCCAGATAAATGTTTTTTATGATGTGTTTAGGTGCCTAAAACTTTTGCACACTACTGTATCAGTCTTTAAAACACAGTAACAAAGCTTTCAAATAATTATTAGGACAGTACGAAAGTTGCACAGGACTCACATATTAGAACTGGTTTTATATAAACTGATTATTATAACTTTTCAAAAGTTACTGTATCCTGTTACTCCCAAACTTGCTTATTTCACTGCTACATTAGGTACGAATAAAGGAGTGTCTGGTGTGCTAAATAAATAAGCGCTGTCACTGAGGAGTTGGCAGTACCTGTTCCACCAGGTTAATCTCTCATGGACTTGCTAAAGCTCTAGTCTGAGAAAGCCTGCAGGCCTTAACGTGACTGAAACTGGAATGCTGCACCAGTGCTCCTCTTTTTCAGAAAAGCCTTGATGGTGTGTGGAATGATTTCTGAGGGTGAGCAAGTCAGAAAAAGTGATCCATACATCGGTACACTGATCACAGTCTTTCTATTTTCTTACCTTCAATTGATTATACACAGCTCATATCATGGAAAGCCTAATTTTCACAGTTTTTTTAAATATTTTTTTTAAATAATAACACTGTTAACATTGCTACCCAGTCAACACAGTCCATGTGGAAGCTGAGCTGTGGAAACGGCCTGTCTTGAGTGATGTTTTTTTTGTGATATCATGAAAATCTACACATTTAGCCTATTCAGCCTATATATAAAGGGCAACAGGCATTTTTAAATGTCAAAACCTGAAAAACAACAAAAATGCAGATATGAGGTTTTCTTCCGACAACAGCGATATGTCAGTGTCTTGCTTAACCTCCTCGAGGAAGCCCAGTATTATTAGTAGTGCAGCACCTGACTTGGCCAATCAATACTTGAATTCTGAATTTCAGCAATTTTTTTTTAAAATCTGCATGATTAAATCTTTAAGATGTATCCCAGTCATACAGAGTGAATGTGAAATGCTTTGTTCTAAAGAAACTAGAACAGTCAGAATTGTTCACAGTGGTGGTGATGGGAACCAAACGTCTGAAGAGTTTAATGCTAATGCAGTTCTGAAATTAGGTTTTGGCCTCAAACATTTTTTTAACATATATTGATGGTGTAGAGGTACATGTATCCCCAAATACAGGATAATGAAGAACATTCTTAACTTTTAATGGAAGTAAATAGAGAAATATTTTTTCCAAGTAATTTAGTATCATTTCTGTTGCCCCATTCATTATGAAATTTTGACACAACATAAAGAGCAACAGCCTTTTTCAAACTAGGTCAAAAATGAAAAATGTGTAAAAAAATGGAGAAATGAGGTTTTGTCCTGACAGCAGCAATGTGTGCGTGTGATTGTTTCAGGTAATTAATAAAATGGCTGTGTTTGTGTTGTAGACATCACCACCACATTTCTCTAGAATGATGTTGTTTTCATACTTAAACAAATCCATGTGATGGCTGGAGGCACAGAGGAGAATCTGTTTAAGTGTTGAATAGCAGGCTACTAGCAAAAGTGGCGATAAACTTGGGATTTTTAACATATTAGAAAAAAAAACAAACAACATTGTGCTATAACTTTTGTACAGGCCACTATGTTTATTTTTCCCTAATATGTTACAGGGGAATCAGATCAATTTTTCAAGCTTTTAGCAAATTTTATTCGTGAAGATATAAACAGAAAGCTTCTACATCCCTCACAGAAAGCTATTACATGGTTATGAATACACTGCTTGATGCCTGAGACCTTTTTTACTATAGTTTTACGACAAGCTTTTAACATAAAACATACTTTTTCACCACATTCGTGGCAGAGAGGCCTATAAAACCTAAGAAGACGTGTAGGTTCACTTGGATTAGGTTTTGGATAGTAAATAAAATGGTTAAATCTGTGATGTAGACATGGTGACCCCTGGTTCCATTCAACACCACTGTAAAGAAATCCAAGTCTGTAAGTTTCTCTTCAATGAACCACTTTACGTCAAACCACTTGGCATTATTTTATTTGCAAGTCAATGACTGAACTATGCAGAAATTTTGAAAAATCAATGGAATTCCCCTTTAAATTCAACACACCTGTACAGGATGCGTTACCTTATTTTCACTTAAAAAAAATGTTGTTTGACTTTTACCTGTAACTTAATTTTTGGAGGAAAGTAATCTACTTCTAGCTTTTCACATTTAAAGCCTTATCCCCTCTTTGTGTTTAGCTTTATTATGCTGTGTTGGTTCAGCTTCTGGACTGCTGTACTTTTGCTCTTGCCAGTTTAGAACTTTGTATTTTAGACCAGAAAGAGACGAATAGAGTCTGACTTCAGTTCAGACGCTGACAGACATTGGCCACGCTAAAAAGGTCCACTGCACTACTTATTTGTTGGTTTTTCTGAGCTGTTTTTACTTCTACATGAATCATTACTTCACTAAAATGACTATATTTTTCACTCAAGCACAGTTTAGGCTACTTTGGTCAGCTCTGTAATCTCCTTTACTTGCTTCATGTTCTGTTTTACAGCATCTAGACGCACCTCTTCGTAACTTAACATGAAGGGCGTGCTCCACAGCCCACTAACACACATTCCTTACCCTTTACGTATGTCATGACTGTTACTGCTTAAAGGAGAACTCCACTGATTTTTCAAAGCTTCTGCAAAATTAAAGGGTTGAGATGTAAACAAAGTCATTCCGAAAGGTCGATGTGAAAATATATTAAATCCATTCGTGGTGGAGGGGAACATGCGGGGTGTTGTGAGGCAAAATAGTCCTCAAAGATTTTACCATCATAAAAACTCATGTGTAGGTTCACTGGTTATTCTGGATAGTCAATGAAAGGGCTATATCTGTGTTGTAGACATTGTGACCTCAGGTTCCATTCAAAACCACTAAATGACTATGTTTACATCTCAGTGATTAAATTATGCAGGCATTTTGGAAAATCGCTGGAATTTCCACCTTTAAACTCAAGTCTCATCCTCATTCGTTCCCTAGAAGATTGCGAAATGTGTTGGATCGGAACTACTTTTCCTTCCGCCACCATCTTTTCACTGTAGTAATTACACCACAGTAGAAAAAAGGTGTTCTATGTAGACTACAAAAAAGGTCTGTTGACTTGTAACAATTGTGGAATCCTTTTTGGTGCTATACAGAACCATTTTAAAAGGTTCTTTAAAGAACCAACAGGTTTTTCGTCATGAAAAACAGCACTGTAAACAGGCAAATTACCATTTAAAACATTCCAATAGTTCTTACAGATGTCACTGTTCTAGGGGTTTTTTAGTGAAGAACCATGAACACTCAAAGAACCCCTTGCACAAAGGGTTCTTTTATTGTGTCAAGCTTGACATTATAACAACAGCACCTTTTTGGTGCTATATAGAAGCTTTTTCAAAAAGGTTCTATGTAGAACCATCTACAGCACATTTTCCATCAATCTGAAGAACTCGTTCATGATGCAAAAACTGTTTAATCATGCAAAGGGTGCTTTACGTGTTCACTGTTCTGTATAGAACCATTTTCTTTACTAAAGAACCCTTGAAGAATCTTTTTGAAGAGTGTAGGACCATTTCACCCTTAAATGGTTCTTTAGGTTGATGGAGAATGTTTATGGTTCAATATAGAACCTTTTTGAAAATGGGTTTTTCTATTTTTATAAGCTTGATATCGTAACAAAGGAAAAACCCTTTTTAGTGCTATGTAGAACCATTATCAAAAATGTTCTATATAGAACAACATATATTCTCCAGCAATCTGAAGAACCACTTTAGCATGAAACGGTTCTATATATAACCCGTGGTTCTAAATGAAATCATTCCCTTTGTTTAAAAAAAAAAGAACCATCTTTTTTAAGAGTATTTAGAGGTTATGCCTTTACTAGAGAACCCTTGTAGAACCCACTTTTTTTTGAAGGGCATGAATTCTCAGTGCGCAAAGATACTTTATGAGTATTGAAATCGGTAGTTACTAATATCGAGATGTCAGGCGACGGTATTGTATCGAAAAGAAAGCGGCGGTATCGCCCAACCCTGCTGTTCACAATTAAGAGAAAAAAGCCCCTTCATGGCTTCCTCTCCCACCCACAGAGCAGGACCAGATGTTGGTCGCCTACTGTCCGGCTACATTTTTTCTCTAGCAAGCCCAGCAAAGCCCTCCTGAAGTAGAAGACGAAGGAGAAAAAATGCCACTGAATTAGTAAACAGCAGGTTTCTGGTTTCTCCTTCAAGTGTTAGCGGGGACGACGGCTTAGATTACTGACATGGAGAAACAGGATAGCTGGAGCCACAGGGCGAAGAATAATGACATTACAGCCACTCGTAAGGAATGAAATATTGACGAGGATGAGGCAGGAGGGCCAAAGGTTTAGCTAGAACCTTGTTTTTTTTTGGTATTCTGAGGAGACGTTTTTTTCATAACTGCAAGTTTAGCAGCTGAATGCTAGCAGCGCGAGGCTAAGAGGAGTTTAAAACAAAACAAAAATCACAGACAAACTAACGTTAGCTGCTCACTTACCGTGAAGTTTTTTTGGGGGAAAAAGACACTTAAGAGGAGCTTTTTCTGCTTCTTTTCTGTCTCTGTTTCTGCCTGCACGTCTACACAACGCCCGTCCACGTCTTCCCCAAACTTTTTTCCTTTGGTTTTATTAAATCACTGGGCGTGTGCAGGATGGTGAGCAGGGTGGAGGAAGAAAACGGGGCACGGATGGAAAAAAGCTGAGCGCACAGGGAGGAGGGCACAGCGGCATCTGTAGATGTGCTTTGAGGTGTCAGATTGCATATGACTGATAAAGGCGTGTTTTTTAATATTTAAAGGGGAATTCCACCACTTTTTCAAAGTTTCTGCGTTAATCAATCATTGACATCAGACGTCCAGCTTACATTAGACTTACATGGACGCAACGTGACACAGCTACACTCTTAAAAATGATGGTGCTCCAAGGGTTCTTTAGTAAAGAAAATGGTTCTATAAAGAACCGTGAACATTCAAAGAACCCTCTGCATGATTAAAGGTTTCTTAGCATCATGAAAGCGTCCTTCAGATTGATGGAGAACGTGCTGTAGATGGTTCTACATATCTAAATTACCATTAAACATTCCAATGGTTCTTACAGTTATCAGTGATCTGGACACCCTTAAAAAACATGGCTCTTTAAGAGTTTTTTAGTAAAGGGAATGGTTCCATTTAGAGCCATGCATTCTATACAAACTTAAAAATGATGGTTCTTCAAGCGTTCTTTAGTAAAGAAAATGGATCTATATGAAACCATGAACAAAAGGGTTCTTCTGTTGCGTAATGCTTGACATCATAACAACAGAGGAACCCTTTTTGGTGCAATAAAGAACTCTTTTCAAAAAGGCTCTGTATCATATACAGCACATCAATCTGATGAATGCTTTCATGATGCAAAGAACCGTTTAATCATGCAAAGGGTGCTGTAAGTGTTCATGATTCCACGTAGAACCATTTTCTTTACCAAAGAAACCTTGAAGAATCTTTTAAGAGGGTTGGACCATATCATGCTAAAATCGTTCCTTAGATCGATGGAGAATGTGTTGTATATGGTTCTACATATACATTCTCCATCAATCTGAAACTCATGGTTCTAAATGGAACCATTCTCTTTATAAAGAACCCTTAAAGAACCATCTTTTTAAAGAATGTATAACTCTTGAAGGGTTCTTTAAGGGTTCTTTAGTAAAGAAAATGGTTCTTTGCATCATGAAAGGCCTATTTAGACTGATGGAGAACGTGCTGTAGTTGGTTTAATACAGAGCTTTTTTGAAAATGGGTTTATATATCTATAGGTTCTATATAATCCTTTTTGCAAAGGGTTCTTTGAGTGTTCATAGTTCTGTATAGAACTCATGGTTTTAAAAGGAACCGTTCCATTTACCAAGAAACCCTGAAAGAACCATGTTTTTTAAGAGTTTATAGAACAGTGACATCTGTAAGAACCATTGGAATGTTTTAAATGGTAATTTGCCTGTTTACAGTGCTGTTTTTCATAATGAAAAACCTGTTGGTTCTTTAAAGAACCTTTTAAAAATGGTTCTGTATAGCACCAAAAAGCATTCCACAGTTGTTACAAGTCAACAGACCTTTTTTGTAGTCTACATAGAGCACCTTTTTTCTACTGTGGTGTAATTACTGCAGTGAAAAGATGGTGGAAGGAAAAATAGTTCCGATCCAACACATTTCGCAATCTTCTAGGGAACGAATAAGGATGAGACTTAAGGTGAGGGGGCAGAGGTGTCCAAACTTATCAAAATACTTATCAAAATATCTGAGGACCGGTCATTCTTTGCCAAAATATTATTTATAAATGATTTTAAATATTCAGTATTCAAAATATGAAAAGCACAAACATATTGAACAAGTAATATTTACTGTACGAACTATTATTTTGCTCTGATTAACAGATGTTATCCCCTGAATTTTTATTTTCCATGCTAATAATATTAATACTACAGTCTTTTGGTATTTGAGGCACACATTTGTAATGGCTCTTGATGAAAAAGTATACCATCACTCTTAAAATTCCCAGTTGTCACTGTCAGCTGCACTGTTTGTGTGTAGTCATGACTAAATGTCATTCAGTAAATAGATGTGCAAGTTAATTGTAAATTAATTGTAGGTTTACAGTACTGCTGCCATCGAGCAGAAAGAAAGAAACAATTGCAACGTATAGGCCAGAAGGCCGGTTAAAATGACTCCGCGGGCTGCGTTAGGCCCTAGGGCCAGACTTTGGGCACCCCTGCCCAACCCCTAACCCTGGGCATTATTACAAACAGTAGTTATTTTTCTCTTAGCATCCAAATCGTAAAATGAAAGCCCACAGTGATTTTGAGGGCACAGACTCTCACTATGCACTAGTCATTTCTAGTGAACAATGTAGATCACTACAACTGAATATATGTACAACAGTGTTGCTAAGCAATGGTCAGATAAACATCAGCTGACATTCCCTGCTGAAAGAACAGCATGGAGTCCAAGGTCTAAGCTGGTCTGGTGCTGGTTTAGTGTTGGTTTAGCTGCCCATTTAGCATTGTCATACTGATTGACCAGCATACCAGCATCCAAACACAGCAGGTTTTGCTGGTGACCAGCCATGCTGGTCTGTGCTGGTTTTTCTGTGTTTCGTGGCTGATTAGCTGTCGATTACTGAACCTAAAGGACTTTCTTGGCCAGACACCAGCAGCAAAGTTAAAACCCCAGTGTAGTTTAAGGCCCAATCCCTATTCACCCCTTGCACCAAAAACTCAGCCTTTACCCCTCTGTTTTGCATGTTCACGTCTAGGGGTAGGGTGTCCCGATTGTTGTTGAGATAGAGGGGTAGAGTGAAGTGTTAGGGCTATATGGCCCTCCAAACAGAGGTTTTTCAGATGCACACTCCAAACAGAGTGTTATTTTCCTAGTTAAAAATTTTTACTGAAGAATTAGGGGTGGGCGATAATAAATAACTGTCGTATCCCCCTCTCTTTGAAAGCAAACGACTCCCTAAATGAACTAAAGCCCAGCAGTGAGGTTGCTGAACTTTACCCTCCTCTGCTGTCACTGCAGACCGGCAGGGTTGCCTACAGAGCACCGCTAGAAGCCTGTTAATGAAGTAATGTTCTTTTTATTTGAGGGTCCTCCCATTTTGTAGGGGAAGATTTTACCCACTAGCCCTTTCAACTCACTACCCCTTTGACAATTAAAAAACAAGGGGTAGGCGTAAAAATAAGAAATGGGATTGGGCCTAAGTGTAGATCATTAGGGACCATGTAATAATGAGTAGCTAAGTCAGGTTTTCCACTTTTTCATCACCTGCACTTTTCAAAATGTCTTCAGCTACGAATAAAAAGTCAACTTCAGACTTGTTTTTGTGGCTAATGTAGGTTTGTTTAAGCGACTGGTAAAAACTGACACAGGTTGATAAAGGTGAAAGTGTCTGAATTCATTCATCAATTCATGCCACTATTTAATACACTTAATAGTTCTTCCCCATATAGCACAGAAATCATGAGGGCTTCCATTTTGGTCACAGCCAATAGATCAATGAAGTCGTGCAGTCATGTGTCATAACCATATTAGGAACTCCAGGTCTAAGCTGAACTTCTCAATGGCATTTTTTTTTTCATCGATGCTGTTCCACCCTGTGGTAAACAAAATAGTTCCAAACTTGATACGTTTGATCCTACGTACATTTTTCCTCTGAATGTCACTGGATCCGATGAATCATGAGGTCATTAAGGAGCTGAAACATGAGTTTTGTTACATGCAAGCTAACACTCCTGTGCGCTGAATCATAAGACAGGCGAGTACATAAACAAAGTCGCAAGATTTGTTAAATCTAAAGTAAAGTACATTTGGAGAAGCTGGTGTTATTGGTAGGATAATAGTGTTATAATAGTAATAATAGTGTTTAATAGTATTTAGTCTTTTGATGTGCAGGAGTGGTAGCTTATTAACATTGATGTATCAGTGTTTACATTAAAACTCCTTTATGATTTTTTAATTCAGAGAATCCAGCAACATTCAGAGGAAAGATGCACATAGGACAAAACAGGTTTGGAACATTTCTGTGCACCACAGGCTGTGATAACAGCGAGTTTCAATAATCCCATTCATTTTTGACATAGAGAAATCCAGCTTAGGCCTGGAGTTTCTAAAATGGGTCGACTACAGAATCACAGATGACTTCAGAGGTCTATGTGTCAGGCACCAGGCAACTTTTTGTGGTAGCTTTTAGAGACCTTAAACTGTTCAGATGTCTGGTTCATATCACAAACGCTGTGAACAATGCTGACTCTTTAGAACAGAGCATTTCACATCAGGCAACAAATTCATAACCATTTCATGAATAACTTTCGGTGATGTAGCTTTCAGAGCACGTGTTGGGCTCCACTGCAGACTTCAGCACAGTGCTTCACTAAACACAGTTCATTCAGCTCATCAGCTAATTAGCGAGGCCTTCATGAACTGAATTCAGAGCATTAGATGAGGGTAAATGCTACTCTTCGCAGGACTTTGGCCTCCCCAGTTTGACATATGTGTTTAGAGCCATTAAACTCTTCGGACATCTGGTTCCTATCACCACCACTCGTGAACAATTCTGACCATCTAGAACAGAGTATTTCACATCAAACCAATCTGAATGACTTTCTTTACATCATAGCCATTGAATTAAGCAGACATTAAACCCCCAAAAAGTAAAATTCCCCTTTAAGTGTAACAGTTTTTCCCACACCTTACATCTGCTGAGCTTGGCTACAGGCCTAAATTCCACGTCTGAGTTATTTGTGGCAAGTGGGAACATGTAAGCCGAGCGAAGGTAATACAAAAGACCTTCATTCACTGCCATGAAATCACCAGCTTGGAGCCACACCTTGTGTTTCATCGAGTAGTTTCTCAATTGGGGTTTCCACCCACAGCGTGACACAGTCATTTTATTAGGACCATTATGAGGCCTATGGGAATACAGTACATGGCTGTGTGATGCAGGGGTTTACGCTGAAAGAGCAGAGTTACATCCACAAGCTGTATTTGCATTGAATTGCACATGACCATTCCCTCGTATATGTGCACATAATGACAGAAAGGAGTCACATGCTCAGGGATATTCAGCATGCCAGAATACACTTAACTCGGATGTGTGCGTTCCAATTAATGAGACAACTGCCTGCAGACAGTCAGCTGGTTCAGCTGTGGCCCTGTTTTCTAAGTTAAAGAAGAGCTCAGACTAGGGGTTTGCAATACAACGATATTTTATCATTATTGTGATACTTCACACCACGATATGCTTTTCCGAGCATATCGCGGATATTGTTCTTAAAGAACACTGATCGACTGCATGTTTTATCACGAGGAGAGCATAATTAGTCCTGTTTAATTGTATTTTGAGCAACAAAGTGTGTGAAACAATGAACAAAGATCACTGTATTCATCGTTTTTTTACATAGTATTTTTAAACGTGGCACCGCTGGGTCAGTTTTTTTCTGTTTCAAGTTATCAAACCTCAAAAAACTAAATATTGTGATGCATATCATGTATTGTGATGTTATATTTTTGCCATATCTGCCAACCCTAGCTCAGAATATACTAGACAGGGTCATTTCTGGTTTGATTAGAAAATGATTATGACCAGAGAATGGGGTTGGTTGGCACATTCACCAGTCAGTTAAGGTGGGGAACTTTTTATTTTTAAAAATGTCTCTTATCGCAGAAACGTTTTAAGAAGTGTACGGCTGAACAATTTGGAGAAAATATCTAACTGTGATTTTTCTGACCAATATTGTGATTGTGAGTTAAATGCAGTCATTTTCTATACATTTTCTATAAATTTCCAGGCCTGTTTTTTTTTGGCCAAGAAGAACAGAGTATCCACTTTTTCTGTCTTGAAGCTTGAACGGTTAGTGTATTAGACTACCAGTTAGTTGTGATGGTTGTGATGTCACATACACAGTACATGGGGGTTTTGTAGCTTCTGATTGGTCCAGTTCATCCACAGGCAGTTCACAAGCTCAGTGTTATTAGTTTAATTTGTTACATTTAAAACGTGTTAAGATAACATTGTTGAATATATATTACACAATAAATATTGCAGCTCTTACGATTTGAAAATTGAAAGGCAGCATTAGCACATTGATTGCCCAAACGTATGGCTAGTGTCACAAACATATCGCTGCTTTTGGAACAAACCCTCATATCATCATTTTTGTCGTTTTTCAGTTTTCCACATAATTTGAAAGTAGTCCTTTAAATCGTGTGTAAAAGTCATAATGAAAGGAACAAACGGGCCAAAATTACTTGGAAAAAAGTTTGGTTCCATTGACTTACATTAAAAGTAAAGTATGTTCTTTCCTACTGCTGTAAAGTTACCATTTTAGAGATAAGAGGTTTTGTTCCGACAGCAGTGATTTATTGTTTTAAATTATACACAGTAATAGTGTTCTACATAATAATTAGGATTCTGTGTTTATTTTCAGTTTATGTTAAATTTATACAAGTTGTTCTTATTTCTAAGCCTTTTGGGTGATAAGTGAGCCTCCAGATTTAAATAAAATAACTTTTTAAACTACATATGTATTATATATAATGTTTAAATTATGAAATCTGTTATTGCACTCAAGTACAGGAGTTGTGTACTCTGTCCGTCACTGTTCAGTACAAGCCAATGACATAAATGAAAGATTCGTAACATTTGATTCATTAATATTTAATAATTAGATCAAGATTAATTGGTTGCCGTGGCTTGGTTTAAATTGAAAGTCTGATTCAGGCTTCCAATTAGGGCCTTTTAACGTTGTGCCAACCATCACTATTAACATGCAAACCAGCCTCGTGTTGGAGAAGGTTGGCACAAGTGCACAGCATGAATGCACCAATTCTGGGAAATACTTTGTGAGACTGAAAGTGACATCATTGTAAATCTACTCGATTTTTCCCATAGTTCTCATTTTAGGATTATTGTCAGAATATTCTAAGACTTATTATGTCATTTTATCAAGTGATATTGTGCTACACAGGCAGATCATTTTGCTTGTTTCAAGCACATTTTTATTCATTTAAAATAATTTATATGGTTACAATAATCTCAAAGTTAGAAACATGAATTATATTGATTAGATTTATATTATAAGATATCCTTTTTCCGAAGTGTAGCTAAGATGTCCAGCTTTCATTTGCTGCTAGTTGGGTTATCCTAATTCATGGAATGCCTGGGATGTACGGCAGAGCATGAAACCAACCCCACCCTCCCCTACTACAAGTCAACAACAGAAAGATCTTGGTTATCTCAGCAGAGTAAAGAATCATGGTCATTTTAAATGCTTATGTCCCATTCAAAATCACAACAGAACAGCTTAATAAATAAGAGAATCAAAAGCTCGAAAGCCCTGCAGTGAATGTAAATCCTCTATTTGTCGAAGCCACTGTGCTGATTTGCCAGTTGGCCAATAAACTGCCAGAACTCCAAGAAGCTCAACTCTCCGTCACTGTCTTTATCCAAGGAGCCCACGAGTTGCGCAATGACTGTTGAGTCATTAGCATTCTGCAGGAAGGAAAACATGCATTAGGGTCAAACATGTCATTTGAAAACATGGTCTCATCGTCTTCGCTGGCTAAGAATACTGTGTGTGGGGTGAGGTTTAGATGAGTCATCAATCTAAACACACAAGTTTCCTCTTGTTGCTCTCTTGCAAGAGCTGAAAAGAGGCAGGTCTGTTGAGATGTTCCCAGAAGCCTGGCCACTTACTATTTCTCCCGTTATATCAGAAACATGACTGCAAATTGCCAGAGGGCGTCTGCAAGCAAATCCTCAATGAATGGGTGTGAATGGAGGTTAAAGGAGTCTCTAACCACCTTGGTTGTCATTACTGCTACTGAGTGCAAATTGGTTGTCATTACTGCTACTGAGTGCTGATTGGTTAGCACTACTGCTACTGAGTGTTGATTGGTTAGCATTACTGCTACTGAGTGCTGACTGCCTAGCACTAGTGCTACTGAGTGTTGATCGGTTAGCATTACTGCTATTGAGTGCTGACTGGTTAGCTTTGCTGCTACTGAGTGCTGATCACTTGGCATTACTGCTAACGAGTGCTGATTGGTTAGCATTACTGCTACTGAGTGGTAATCGGTTGGCGAGTGGAACAGCTCATTGGCTGAAAGAAGGGTTGCTCACTGTATTTCATGAACATATTGGAGGAACTGTGAAAAAGTCTTATAATTGGAGTTTAAAAGTGCTTAAAAATATGACAGCAGTGTTAAACATGTATTAACTGGAAAAAGTTAGTGTTTTGGCTGATTTAAAATTTTGATTGAATTGAATTTTGAATAGTAAGTTAACACAACAAGAATCTGTGTTTAATGACCTGTAGACTTATTATTTGAAGTTCAACTTAGTGAGTTCTGTGTTCAGGAACTGAATGCATACTTCTATATAAAAATGTTGAAGAATTTAAAGGTAAACTCCACCGATTTTTTGAAATTTCAGCATTTCAGCAAAAAAACTTACCGAGTCAGAATTGTTCACAGTGGTGGTGATAGGAACCAGATGTCTACCCCTAAAAGCTCCCTCACAGAAAGTTATTATATGAAATGGTTATGAATGTGCTGTCTGATGTCCGAGACATTGTTTTATATTAGTTTTGTGATAAAGTTTTGGCTTAAAATGCATTTGAATCAATTTTAATCCATTCATGGTGTAGGGCTACATGTAGGGTGTTCTAAGGCAAAATAGTCCTTGAAGAAAACCCCTGTTTTTCAGATTCATGACTATTTTACCATCATCAAGGTTCCGTATAAAAACTCCTTGTAGGTTCACTGGTTGTTTTGGATAGTAAATAAATGGCTGTATTTGTGTTGTAGACATTTTGACCCCTGGTTCCATTCACCACCACTGTAAAGAAATAAGAGTCTGTAAGTTTCTCTACAAATGAACCGTTTCACACCAAACCACTCTGAAAGACTGTTTACATCTCCACCACTGAATTATACCAAAATTTTGAAACGTTGGTGGAGTTCCCCTTTAACTATGGTTTTGCTCAAATGCTCCATATTAATCCATTTATTTTGGACTCACTCAGGAGCAACATGGGGGACATTATTGAGTGGCAGCTCTCCTCTCTACACATTCTCTGCTGATACTCTCAAACGGCTCCCTTTACATCAGCACCATTCTGTTAAATGGAAAGGAGCCCAGGCAAGGGAAACTGTACATTGCCCTCTAGTGGATAGAGGGGATCACTGCCACATGCCATTTGTTTTCATCACAGTCAGTGATTATCTGCCTCCATCTCCTTCTTTAGGTGTGATTATCCAAAGTGCTGCTGGAGTTTTTAAACACCTCAGTTGCTAAGAATGCTATCTTACAGAAAATAGCATGAGCAAAGCTGGGCGAAATATAGGCTCAATCTCAAATGGCTTCCTACTCCCTATGAAGTGTGCACTACATGGGTCATCATATAACGGCTTCTCTACCAACACTACGTTATTTATTTAAATATAAACCATTTATGTTCAGTCATAGCTACACAGCATCCTAACAATTAGTGCACTATGTGAGTGGAGAAGCCATCATTTCATGACCTACACTGACCAGCCCCATTTATTAAAACTGCCTCCTTGTATCTACACTCACTGTCCATTTTATCAGCTCCACTTCAGGATCATTCTCAGCATAGCAGTAACACTGATGTGGTGGTGGTGTGTTAGTGTGTGCTGTGCTGGTATGAGTGGATCAGACACAGCAGTGCTGCTGAAGGTTTTAAACACCACAGTGTAATTGTTGGACCAAAAATATTCAGCCAACAGTGTCCTGTGGGCAGCAGCCTGTGACCACTGATGAAGGACTAGAGGATGACCAACACAAACTGTGCAGCAACAGATGAGCTACTGTCTCTGACTTTACATCTACAAGATGGACCAATAAGGTAGGAGTGTCTAATAAAGTGGACAGTGTTTAAAAACTCCAGCAGCACTGCTGATCCACTCGTACCAGCGCACCACACACTAACACAGCACCACCACGTCAGTGCAGAAGATGAGCTACAGTCTCTAACTGTGCACCAGCAAGGTGTAGCTACAAGAGAGGGATTTCTGATAAAGTGGCCAGCGAATGTATACATTGCTTGGACCCCTATGCACAATCAGAGGAGTGAAGTACCTTCACGTAGTTTGGCAGCTGGGAGGTCAGGAGCTTCTGGAACTCATCTTTGCTCAGTGTATTTGAAGAGCCTTCCTTCCCAGCAAAGGCCTTAAACTGAGACACCAGGGTGTTGATAGCGGCCTCCATCGGAGAAGGTTAAAGTGGGGGTCCTGAAAAGCAACAGAATAATTCAATGAGATTAAAACCATTTCACACACAAACACACTACTTTCACTTTTCTACGCAATTCAGTGTTTGAGAGGTAAACAAAGTCATTAAGATGTGAAACGGTTCATTGTTGAGAAACTGACTCTGATTTCTGTACAGTGGTGGTGAATGGAACCAGGAGACACAATGTCTTCAACACAAATATAGTCTTTTTATTTACTATCCACGATCAGTGAACCTTCATGAGTTTTTCTGTGCGATGCTGATAAGAGTATAATTGTGATAAATCTGGAAAAAAAGATTAGTGAGGCTCACCAGATAAAGAGTCTCCGCAGGGAAAGGGCAGTGGTCAGCTTGGCTTGGCTGGGTGAATCTCACTCTTCTGCCATCTTCCTTTTATACGTTCCAGCATTTTTCCAGGAAATAAATCATTAACAGGGATTTCTTCACTACCGTCACATTCACTGTCTGCCCGGAGATTGCACAAGTTTTCCAAGACACACTGTTGAACCTCTAAACGGGCTACTAAACCACTACCAGATGTATTGTTTTTTTTTTTTAATGCTGTTTTGGGCTTTTGTGGTTCCAGGCATAAGCACTACTCATAATAAATAATGTTTTTATGAGTGACAAACATTCCCTCATTAGTCAGTCCATGAAAAGAGTACCATGAGTCCCCATAATGCTGTTTATAAAACAAAAATAAGTGTTTAAGCTTAAATATATTCATTCCATGTTTATCATTGACATATATATATATATATATATATATATATATATATATATATAAAATATATGTTCATAGTTTTTTATACACTCATTGAGCACTTAATAACACCTCCCTGTTTCTACACTCATTGTCTATCATATCAGGTCCACTTACTATATAGGACCACTTTGTAGTTCTACAATTACAGACTGTAGTCCATCTGTTTCTCTGCATACTTTGTCACCCTGTTCTTCAATGGTCAGGACCCCCACAGAGCAGATATTATTTGGGTTGTGGGTCATTCTCAGCACTGCGGTGACACTGATATGGTGGCGGTGTGTTAGTCTGTGTTGCGCTGGTGCAAGTGGATCAGACACAGCAGTGCTGCTGGAGATTTTAAACACTGTGTCCACTCACTATTCACTCTGTTAGACACACACCTACCTCATTGGTCCACCTTGTAGGTGTAAAGTCAGAGACAATAGCTCATCTGTAGCTGCACAGTTTGTGTTGGTCATCCTCTAGTCCTTCATCAGTGGTCACAGGACGCTGTTGGCTGGATATTTTTGGTTCTCAGTCCAGCAGTGACACTGAGGTGTTTAAAAACTCCTTCAGCACTGCTGTGTCTGATCCACTCATACCAGTACAACACACACTAACACGCTTCCATCAGACAGGGGGGTCCTGACCATTAATGAAGAGGGTAAAGGTGGGATGACAAAGTTTGTAGAGAAACAGATGGACTAAAGTCTGTAATTGTAGAACTACAAAGTGATTCTATGTGGTAAGTGGAGCTGATAAAATGGTAGATACAAGGTAGGCTGGCCTAATAAAATGTTCAATGGTAGAATAATGGACTGACCACCCCAAAGTCCAGACCTTAACATAACTGAATGTGTTTGGGATGACTCGGATGGTGAGAAAATGCAACAAACTTCTAAGACTGAACTTTGGAGGAGTGGAAAAATATCCCTGCAGGTTTCTTTGTAAAACTGAAAGCGAGTCTCCCAAAAAGAAAGGAAGCTGTAATAGGCACAGTGGACACATTAAATACTATAGAAAATTTTATATTTAGCTATATTTAGGTTTGTGTAATTTGTCTAATACACATTTTCCTGTCTGAGGATGATGGGGTTGCACTGTTCATTATTTGCTTCAAAAAATCTATATGCTGATGTCTTTTGGTCTTTGCTTTGCTATGGTGATTATAGAAGTGGTATGCATAATAGAACATAGGCGTCAGCAACGGGTGCGCCTTAAAGTAGTCACTCATTAGAAGGGCTGTCTGTATACTTTTAGAGATACAGTGTATGTCTGAGACAAGTGTGACCTCAACATTTCAAGAAAGAACCAGAGATCAAGAGTCAGGAGTGAGTAAGTTTAAAACGTAAAGGTTTACAGTTACATGTGCATATATTTTAGTTGCATAACACTCAAATTATTGAGAAAGCGACAGACATTTTCAGAGGAACTCAGTTTAAAGTTTAAAGTTTAAAGACAACCTGGAAAAAACACTGATTTTTATAAGTTGTTGAATTAATTAAGGCCTGCCTGGGTTCATGGGGCTTTACACAACTAAGTAGAGTGTATTATTTATTCCATACAGAATCATTGATTGAATATGAATTGAACTCATATGAATCAAGCCAACCATATTTATGCAGTATTTCCACTGATTCACAACTATTATATTTCAGAAGGTGCCTTTTCCAAAGATAGCTACTGTTCACCATTACAATACTTACAGTTTTGACTCCACTGTTTATGAACAATGCTAAACAGTTTAACACTTGACTAACGACAGCTAGTCAATAATGAACTTAAGCGCAATTTAAGTCACAGATTCTTCAAATTTTCCAAAAGTCCATCCTTGCGATGTAAACAAAGTCATTCAGAGTGATTTGATGTAAAATTGTTTGTTGTGGAGTGGGGTTGAGGTCAGGGGTCTGTGCAGGCCAGTGGAGGTCCTTCACACCAAACTCATCAAACCATGTCTTTATGGATCACTTTGTGCACAGGGGCACAGTCATGCTGGCCACACTGTCGCCGCAAAGTTGGAGGCATCTTCGTATGCTATAGCATTAACGTTACCCTTCACTGGAACTAGGGGGCCTGAAAAACAGCCTCAGCTCACCTCCTCCAAACTTTACTGTTGGCACTATGCATTCCGGAAGGTGGTGTTCTCCTGGCATCCGCCAGACCCAGGTTCGTCCATCAGACTGCCAGATAGTGAGTGTGATTCATCACTCCAGAGAACACGTTTCCACTGCTCCAGAGTCCAGTGGAGGCATGCTTTACATCACTCCATCAGACGCTTGGCATTGCACATAGCGATCTTGTGCAGCTGCTCAGCCATTGAAACCCATTTCAAGAAGATCCATGGCTATGTGCTTCATTTTATACACTTGTTAGTAACGGGTGTCAGTGAAACACCTAAACTTGATAATTAGGTAATTAGTATCTGTTGGCCTAAAACTAAAACTATTAGTATACATATTAAAAACTAAATATAAAATGACATCATCCAATATCGGTTAATGAAATTTTTTAGCCCATTACAATCAGTATCGGCCACAAAACATTCATATCAATTTGGCCTTACTAAACATGCTTCATTTCCTACCAACAGCCAGAGAGAATCATTGATTTTCCTTTAGACTTTATCTGTTCTATCCCTCCAGTCAAAACTCATTCACTTTTTGGTGGTGTTGCTTTCTATTTGGTAACTGTATTCAAGGAGCATCCTGTACAAAACAAGAAAAAAAAACATTGGACTCAGAAGAGGAAAAAAGACAATATAAATAACTGTGGTGCTTGTTGAGAGCTGCATTGTGAAATTAATGGTTACTAAATTTTCTCAGGTCACAGGTTTCTACATGGTCACACTACTGTAATGTGCACCACTGCCAACTTTAGGGGAGTAGAGGCCAGTTTGGATACAGTATGGTCTCCAGGTCTATTACTCCTTGTCAGCTTATATTTTATCTCTTCCGAAGTCCTTCTTACCATGTTGCCCCTGATGATATTCCTTCTCAGGCATTCCCAGAAGTGCTCTCTCTTTGCCAGCTCCTCCGGCCACTCCAGATACGTATGAGATTTTACAACCGTCACCAAGCTGGACAAAAAACAAACAATTCTCCACAATCTGCTGCTCAATCCAAGTGGTTTAAAATTAACTCTTATTTCTGCCACCACACATTTGATGATTTACTAGTCAATTCATCAGCTATTCCTTAAACCACTAACTGCATTCCCTGATGGAAACACTGGAATTTAGATGTTTTCCATGCCCACACACAATAAAAGCTTACCTATGCCTGACTATGTTAATCTTGTAATTTCTTTAATGTAACTATATTGGAACGTCAGCATTAATGTTTACCGGTGGAAAGCACTGAGCTCAAAGGGGGAGATGTGCTCGAGGAAGATGAGAATGAGGCGATGTTTCTGTTCTTCTAGGAGTCGGTGTGTCGCCACTCGCATCTCCAGGCCGCACCATTCGCTGTGCAGATAGCGGCGAGTCAGCACACACACTGTGCGCTCACTGCTGTAGATACTCTCCGCAATGTTGTCCACTATGCCTTTTCCCACCTACAGAGCAGAAAACACATATAAAAGGTGATAAAAACACTGTTGGCAGTGTATTTTTTGGTTTCCTGACTATTTTCAACCCAGGTCTGAGAATAAAAACCTCAGCAACACTGCTGTGCCTGATACACTCACACCAGCAAAAGGCAAATGATCCACCACCCATAGATGATATGAGGAAAGTACTGGTCCTTTGGTAGGCTTTTTCCATTGATGGGGTAGAAGAGGGCTGATAAGTTGTACTACAGCAACAGTTGGGCTACAGTCTTTAACTGAAAAGTTACAAAATCACATACATATATATAATATGGGTGTTTGTGGGGAAAAATGGCCATTGGATACAAGGTGGGTGTAGCTATGTAAAACTCTGTGAATACACACAATCATTTGAAGGGTACTTTCTGGGAGGTGTCTGTCCCAAACCTTCACCCACAAATTTACACTTGTAAAGGTAAATACTTTAAAATTTTTAATTTTTTTGTAATTTTTAAAATTTCTTTTTAAGTGAAGATTTAGATTTATCACAACTTTAATTTTTAAATAATTAAACTAAAAATAAAAAAAATGCTGTTCCACATGTTCATGTCACTACAGAAACAGAGTTTTAGTCTGTGGGCGGAGTCTTGTTTCAGTCACACCCTCTGCATTTTAGAGCAGGAAGTGAGACTGTATCCCTGTCCCTCATTGTCACATGGTGAGCAGTTAGATCCCAATGTTTTGAAGTAAATGTGTCCCAAAATGTTAAAATCAGTGTGGAACGTTCAGATTTGTCATTACTGAAAGATACTTCCTATAATTAAGTAAATTGTGCTTTAATAAAAATCATAATGACTTCTCTGTGTGCAACTTCTCGAATCTGTGTTTGCTAGTCATGTACCGACCAGCGTTTTTAGGTTGTGCTCAAAATTAGCACTACTGAAACATTCGCTAAAGTTATGGTAATGACATTTTTTTGTAAGTGACAAAATGGAATTTTAATCACTTGCTTTAATAAAATAAATATAATTAAGGCATAACGTTGCTTAAAACTATGAGATTTTAGTCTACAGTCCAAGTCAGTTAAAAGTCTGAAATGTGTTTTCAGCTCTGTGAACCAATTTGGTAGATTTTATAAGTCCTTATAAACCCAGGTTTAGCTTTGGTATAAGGTTTAGGTAGCTCAAAAAAGGCATCGCTAAACCTTAGATATGAAAACAAGCTGCTTTAAAGCCTAGTAGCTAAACGATTTCCTTGGTTTGGTTTATGTAAACATGATTTCCAGAATGCGATTGTGTTCTAAGTTGGCCTACATTCATATGTTGTCAGTTCTCAAATGTCTGTGCTACAGATGCTACCAGGTAACCAGAGCTGAAAGTTTGACAGACATAGTCAGACATAGTCTGGAACTATAGCAGTAATGAACAGTAGGACCATATGAACCTCACCTCAAAGTCTCTGTTGTGCAGGCAGAGTCTCAGCCTTGGGTGGCCTTGCTCCTCCAGTCTTGGAGCCAACTCCCCAAAGACCCAGGCTTCATCATGGCTACTGAAGGATACAAATGCATCATATTTCATCTCCTCTTCTACTTCTAGGTCCTCCCTTCCTTGCCCAACTCTTCGTTTTTTGATCCTCCACTTCCTGCCGATCTTCCGCTCCACATATCCTCTCAGGCGAAAGAAGAGGACCACGCAGGGCCAGTAGGCAAAGTGGTAGCCGACAGAAGCTGACACCAGCAGAGTGATGGTGATGGCTGTGCCCAAATAGCACAGGTACTGCACGTTTGTCTGACACAGCTTCTCCATGGTGTCCAAGTAATTCCGCTTCTGAAAATGCCAAACGCATTCTTGGCGCTGCATATAGATCACCTGCACTTGGCGTGAACTCTTTGCCCAGTCAATTAACCAGCCATTTTCACAGTCACAGCGGAGGTCTAACCTATCGAGCACAATGGCCTTTAGAGATGGCAGCATGTCAAACATCCCATCCAGCAAAATCAGAGGGTTGCTGATGTACAGGCGCAACAGCACCAGTGATTGCAGGTCCTGGAACATGCTTTTTGTTAAGAAGTTAAGACGGCAGTTTTCCAATGTCAGGATCTGGAGTTTTTGAAGGTTATGGAATATGATGCCTGGATCCGTGTGGTTGGAAAGATTAAGATTGACTAGTTTGAGACGTCTGAGATGATGCAGTGTGTTGATGGCTGTGTATCTTTCAGATTCATTCTCAGGATCACCCTTGAATTCAAAGGATTCAAGGTTTGTAAAGAAGGTCCAAAAGATGCTGAACTTGCACATCATGTTTTTGGCATTTAACCTCAGTTCTTGTACAGATCTCAGGGCTGGATTATCACAGTCTTCAATAAATACAAAATATGGTATATCATACATATTTAGATTTAGAGCAAAATGTCTCTCAAGGGGAGAAATGTCCCCAATGTGTAATGTTGCTATATATGGTCCAACATCAATGCTGAGATAGTGGAGTTTTGGTGGAAAGCCATAAAAAATCAAACTAAGGTAGAACTCAGAATACATCAGTGTGCCCAAAGTCATCTCTTCCAGATGCACTTGGTTCCTAAATGTGCCTTTTTCAATCTCCTGAATTTTGTTATTGTCAAGTAGCAGGATCTCCAAAGCAGGAAGAGACTCAAAGTCCGGATAGGTAAGCTGCTTGATCTTATTTGCATCAAGTTTCAGAATTCGGAGCCTCAGAAGACCCTTCAGGGCACCTTGAAGAAAAGTTTCAATGACATTGTTGCTAAGGATGAGTTGCTCAAGTAAGGGCATACAGGCAAACTGATTGGACCTTATCTCGGTGAGTGAATTCTTCTCCAGATTTAAGCTGGTGATGTTCCAGATGGTCCCATTAGCAGTACTGCAAAATGAAGCTTCTTTCAAACCCATGTCAACCATTGCCACTGATTTTATCCTTGTTGCATTCTTCCAAAACCCGAAATTGATCCGTTTTATCCAGGAGCTCCATATGTTGAACATCCTCAAGTGTATCCCGCAGTTTTGTAAACGGTCTTCTGAAAGCATCTCAGCTGTAACATGATACAGTTCAAGCGTCGCCACACTCAGATGAGTGATCATGTGGCACAAGTCCTCAAAGTCAACAAAAATCTTTTTTGACATTTGTCCAGAGATGCGGACATTATCGACCTGGCCAATCCCAGATTTCCAAATGCTGCAAACAGACTGTCCATGGAACTCCAGCGAAAGGCTGGAAAGGTTCTGGAACACCTTCAGAGAACCTTCTTGAATGATATGGATGGGGTTCCCTTCTAGATTTAAGACTCTAACTCCAGCCAGCACTGTAGACTTCATAATGCAACTTTGATTATATATGGCTAACACACCACTGTCCACCAAAGACAGGTGCTGCAGATGAGACATGTTACCACTGAGATGGCAGAAAACCTCTCCAAGGTCTTTTACGCAAACCCTTGCTAGCATCAAGCTCACAAGTCCAGCAAATGGGTCCAAGGTTGAGGTGGCAATGTTCTTGAACTGAAAACCTCTCAGTTCCAGCTCCTTCAAGTGGTCCAAGCCAGCAAACGCTTGAGTCTCCAAGGAAACGTTGCGGCATTGGAAGTTGACATCAAAAATAATCTTTAGGTACTTCAGGTTGGAGAGTCCAAAGAAGGCACCAGATTTAACCCCATTCAACTGCCCACCATAGATAGATAAGAACTCCAAGGATGGCAAATGTGAGAACGCTTTTTCTGGAATCAGCCTTGCCTTGTGGAAGATACAAAGAGATTTGACCTCTGTTTTGACTTCCAATAGATCTTTGCGAAAGTCTGAGATGTTGCATTCTGCATAAGGGCTAAGTCCTGGACGATGTTCACAGGAGATGGAGTCGCCCATTTCATTGAGAAGTTGCTCCTCAAAGGTGAAACAGTGTTTAGCAATAATGGCATACACACCCTCACTGTGGCTGAGACACAGCAACCAGAGAGCCAGAAGCATTTTAGATTATTTTATAAAGAATTGTATCAAAATCCTTTAATGACCTTCTAGCTTGTATAGAGGTGATGTTTTTTTAACCAATATATTTTGATAGTAGATGAAAGGTGAAGTTTATTTTGAGTCTTCAGGGATCCATTATCTCATACCTTTCAATAGAAAACAAGGACGCATAGTGTTATTGATGTAAAGAACTACTCTTATGAAGCACCAAAAGCTGCTTGAGTGCTAATAGCTCCCCCCTGTGGACAATCTTGAGCTTGCTAAACATGAGTGAGTGGGTGAGTTACAAACCAGGTCCAGGAAGTGCTTCATGTCTAAAAAAGCATTACCTTGTAAGTCTTAACAATCTTAATTTTATATAAAAAAAACCTTTTTATATAAAACTTTTTTTTAGCATTTTCAAGCTCAGCAGTATTTTTTGTAGTAATGCATTATGCTAGAACCCAGACGTCAAAAACAGTAGTGAATACACAGTTAATAAGCAACAGAATTAGTGCACTAAAAATGTAACACTTACGAAATTTAAGGCAAGACACTCACCACAAGGCAATTTAAGTCAGACTTTTGGTTAATTGTGTTTATAAAAAGACTTAAACTGCAATTAAATAAAATCAAAACTCAAGACAAATGTTTAATTCAACATGTCAATTCATGTTAACTTGTGTCTAACTGTACTTTAGTGAAGGCTTAGCTCCGCCCACTCTGGTTGGGTCAAGTGTGGGTGGAGTTTAAACCTTCATTAGCTGCTAATCTTCTGACAAAACATGTTGAAATAATGTCTAATTCAGGCTAGTCACATCATTCAAAGTGTGTTTCTGCAGAATATAACTGGTATATCCAAACATATCAATTTCTGGGACATTTTAATGGAACCCTGCTACATAACCCTGACATTACTATGTTATAAGCATGCCATGACGGATGTCATATGTCGTCAGGACAGATTATGGCCAGTAATATAACAAGGTTGCTCAAAATTCTTTTAAAAATCTAATGCTTTAATACCTTTGTGAGACTTCAACATTAGCAAAAATAATACAACGTTCTCTGCACAACAGTAAACAAATTCAAATAGGACATATATTAACGTGTATTTTATTCAGATTGAATGGCTGTGACAGTATTGGAATATGCTTTGACGCTGCATTATCCTTGCACAGCCTTTTTAGTGTATTTGAGTTTATCAATTTTGCCATCCTCTTCATCAGTGGTCAGTTTCTGACCACAGGACTGCAGTTGGCTGGATAGTTTAGGTAGACGAGGTGTCCTGAATTAATATATAAAATTACTTTTGTACTTGTAAGTTCTTTTGGAATCATCTTATGATTCAATTAGGATTCGATTCTTTTAATATGAAGTGTCAGCTAATTCAGTCTTTGTGTTCAGAGCTAATATAGCTGCTGAATTTCGTAAATTTTAGTAAAATTCATGTGCATAATGTGGCATTCTGGACTGATCTGTTTAGATTTTTAGCTCACTGCTTAATATGATCCAGTTTTAATGACCTCCCTGATTTGGTTACATGCAGTAAAATCTTTTAAATGTGTGGAGGTACATTGTAAAATTATATAACTAATTATGTGAAATAACTATTTTACAGTGTCATGAATGCACTATGATTTCCTACTGTAACTTGCGTAGAGTAACTGTTCCTTTCTCTCGGTTCTGAACGCTCCATTTCTGCTAACAGCAGTTTAATATCAGAAGCAGTGCAGTATAGTTTCATTTTCTGCCAGTCGCAAGTGAAAAACGTGGCGAGATGTATTGTGTGTATTGCGTGTATTTTGCATATGGCTTTGGTGGCATGTCACTTGTGACAAATGGCAGATAAGACTAGAATAGCTGTGCAGTTATATTTTATGTGTCAGTGTGTAGATGAAAGGCGGCTAGTTCAACTAAGGGTGAAATACAGACAGCACATATATTACAAAGTCTCATTTTTCACATTAAATCTGCTCCACACTAAACATTTAGAGCACTTTGTTAAATTCTTAAAATGTGCCTGACGGCTACAGGTTGTGGAAAATGTCTATTTGTGACTTAAAACAGAGCGCATAAACAAAATGTATACATTTTATGACCTTAAATTTTTCTTATGTCATTTAATCTTAGACTCTGAGTTCTGTTTTATCCCACATGTAAACACAGTCACTTAAGTAGCTTTTTATCATTTGAGAAATATCACTAAAGTTTGGCCTTTCCTAACTCAGAGCGACGCAGAGAAACTTGTTTATGCATTTGTTACAAGCAGGGTTGATCACTGTAATGATCTTCTCACTGGACTTCTTAAAAAAACAATACATCCTGTATAATTTGTACAAAATGCAGCAGCACCGATCCAAACAAAGACAAAACAGAGAGATCATATCACTCCCAATTAGACACTGCACTGACTGCGTGTATCTTTCAGGATAGATCATAAAGTTCTGCTACTAGTTTTTAAGGCTCTAAATTAGGACGGCGTTTTAGGGTCACTGTTAATAAAAATAGTAGACTTCAAGAAAAAAGTTGCAATATTTAGAGAAAAAAGTTGTAATATTTTGAGAATAAAGTCATAATATTTGGAGGATAAAGTGGGCTAACTGTAGGGGGGGCTGCCATAACGCATTGGGGTCTTGGTTGCTGTACTGGCGCTGGAGTTCCACTCACTCCTGTCTCTTTGTGGATCAATCATTTTGATTATCATTCTCACTGTCTGTGAAATTTCATGCCCTCTTTGAATGGGGGGAGATGTAGCCACCGATAGCCGTGTAGACGACCCTGCCTGTGATTCTCCTTCAACAGAACAGACAGACAGTTTCCTCCGAGTCTGTCTGGCTCTTTATTCTAAATAAACACAGATAACTGCTCAGCCGATTCAGCCGTTTCTTTTACTAATAACTAGAGACTAGAGATGAGAATAACTGGAGACAGGGAGACTGAGTGTTTCTTTATGGGTGAAATCAATATGAAAGTATAACTCCACCAACTCCTCAACGCCCCTCATTTAACACGAGGAGGTACGGCCCTCCCTTTTGCAAAGACTTTGGCCACAATATTGCAAACTTTCCTGGTATTAATGCCACTTTAATATCGCAATTCTATGACTTTTTTCCTCAAAATATTCTAACTTTTTTCTTGAAATATTACAACTTTTTCCTCGAAATATTATGACGACTTTTGTCTCGAAATAGACTTTATTCTTGAAGTCTACTATTTTTATTTTCATTAACAGTGGCCCTAAAACGCTGTCCTACTAAATGACCCTAAAGCTCCACTTACATCACAGAGTGTAAAATACAGTAAAGATGGAGAGACTCTTTCAGTTACTATGCTTCCTAACTGTGGAACTCAATTAACCATTTATTAGACAGTCAAGCTCAGTGCTCAAATACTATGTCTGGCGGTATTTATCTTTTAATTTGTTGTTTCATTTTCTTATATTTTAAATGAATACTTAGAATTTCTTGTATTATTGTTAAGCTTTATCACCAGTCTTTAAAGCACTTTGAGCTGCCACTGGCATGAAAAGTGCTATAATAATACATTATTATTATTATTATTATTATTATTATTATTATTATCAAAGACATTTTAAGACTTTTTAAGGACCTGTGGGAACCTTGTATATCAGTGTCACGTTACAATGGAAACTCATGATATGGTCATTATATTTGGTGTCATGACGGCGAACTAGAATACACAGCAAAACCTAACAGGGCTGAAGCTGTAATGACATTAAACACTATGGCATCTGTCATGGCAATTACCAGCAAAGAGAACACTTATATTACTCAACAAAATCTCTTATGAGCTGTTATGATAGAATATGACATCCAAAATGACATGTTGGTGGCAATGTTATGTCAATGTTATGTATTTTCCTTTTTATCCTATTTTCAGTAACACTTTACTTGAAGGGTGTCTACACAACACATTCATAACATCTTAAAATACACTTCATAACATGTTCATGAATGTTTAAGTCAACATTCACAATTACAACTACTCTATTCAACTATTCACAACTGCTATGTCATTTTACTAAGAGAGACATTTTTCAAAATAAATGAAAATAAAATGATAATATTTTCAGTAAAACATCTCATTTCTGGACAGCCAAAATAAAGATGACCTCGCTTTAGTCCATTGGTCATGAAGTGTATTGACACTTACAGGCATATATTGCCTATACTTCTTCAAGGGTTCTTTAGTAAAGACAATGGTTATATAGAACCATGAACACTCAAGAACCCTTTGCATGATAAAATGGTTCTTTGCATTCTGAAATCGTGATTCAGCTCAATGGACACCTTGTATTCTATATACACTCTTAAATAAGATGGTTCTTTAGTAAAGAAATTGGTTCTATATAGAACCATGAACCCTCAGAGAACCCTTTGCATCAAATAGGGTTCTATATAGCACCTAAAAGGTTTCTACTATTGTTACAATGTTAAGCTTGTAACAATAGAAGAACCCTTTTCAAAATGGTTCTATATAAAACTATTAACTCATTCTCTGTTCATCAATCTGAAGAAAGATTTCATGATCAAAAGAATCCTTTAATCATGCAGAGTGCTCTTTTAAGTGTTCGTGGCTCTATTTATGGTTCTATTCTTTATTGAAGAACCATCTTTTAAAGGACCATCTTTTTGAGAGTATAGTACCAAAAAGGGTTCTTACATTGTTACAGGTTTGACATCATAACAAAAGCAGAACACTTTTTGGTGCTACACAGAACCATATACAACACATTATCCATCAATCTGAAGAACCAATTTACCATTTAAGCGTGCAAAATGGTTCTTTGCGTGTTCGTGGTTCATTATCTTTACTAACGAACCCTTGAAGAAACATCTTTTTTAAAGAGTGCATTGTGTACAATATTACAGATATACTTGTCCCTAAGTTGTACAGTCGGAACTGTACTAGATTCTGTGCTGCAAAATGAAGAAACAATAAAACAATGAGATTCAAACAATCTGTTCTGTAAAATCTGTTCTGTGAAGTGTATTTTCACAATGAAAAACATTTTAATTCTAGCATTATGCAAAGGCTTATTTATATTAGATAACATCTAATTTGCTTATCAAAATATTTTTTGGGGAAAACTTCAAACACAAAAAACGCTTGTAGTGATTTAAGTAATCAACAAAGATTCATTATGATATCTGTTGTTTAAAAAGTAAATAGAGCTCACTCACCACAGTATTAGACAGTTAGGCCACCCTCAACTTCAGGTCAAGTGAGCAGAGACAGTGTAGTTGGTGTTAGACTTCTACACCACGGAAGTCACTTGTAAAATTTGAATACTTTTTAATAAAGAGGAACTGAGAGGAAGATGCTCCCCTATACAGGAAAGAAAGATGTTTCTCTCTGCAGACTGTGGCTTTACACTTACATTTATACGAACGTGCATAGCCACAAAATATTTAAACACAAACAACTCTAGGAATCAGTTTACTGAAGGCAACAGCAACGCTGTTATATCGCTGCTGACCAACAAAACACACAAAACAAAACAAAAAATTGGATCTCCATTTTTTGCGATTATTTTTTTTTTTTACATCATTTAAGCTCAACAGCTGCTCTTCACATTGTGTGAAAATCTCATGATGAATGAACCAACAGAAATGCTCCAAAATTGCTTGGAATAAAAGCACTTTACATTAAATTACATTGAAAGTAAAGAACATGTTTGCTCTCTCCTGTAAAGTTATGCAAAATTAGACATATTCCATTTTCCATGTCCTTAAAGGATATCCTTCTTTTTCAGCGGTTTGACTCTGCAATCAAAAATTACAACAACTGTTTATTTGCTGGATTTAACACATTGGGAAATAGTAAAATAACTGTAATGTGTGGCCTTTACAAAGGTTACAGCACATTTTATATTGTATGCCTTATTTTTAGTTTTATTTATAGCCAAAAAATATCACAGCAAGTGAAAACTTAACCCTCTATTGCATGAATTATTACTTAAACATGAAAAAAATGTTTTGATGTGTTTTGGTTATTTAAAATTGCTTTAATAATGAAAATATTTGAAAAAAAAAAGTTCATTTTTTTTATAAACTGGGGTATTTGGTAAATTGTTACCATATGGCAACAACGCGCAATCATGCCATGGCACCATAAAATCTAAAAGAAGCACCATAATATCTATTTTTTCTCTAAAAACATCCTTTTATTGAAAACAGGACCAAACAAATCCAACTTATATTTAGTAAAATTTAAGACCCAGTATTTACAAATACTAGAAATTAATACAATTTCAATTGATATTTGGAATATATAGTAATAACAACATCATAATGAGAATTCCTGGTCATGTGAGACGCTTTTTCCACAAATAAATAGAAAAACACAGATTTTATATTACTGCTTTTTTAGTAAAATTGAGGTTGTTGCTATATGGCAACACCATGTAATGTACGGTTAAATGTAGTCAATATAACTAATACTTCTCATTTTAAGATTGTTGCAAGAATATTATAAAATTATTTAACCTATGTCTATACATTTTAACTCATTTTATCTAATGAAAGTGTAAAAAATGTCCTTTGGCAGATCACTTTATTTGTTTTGAGAAATAATGTACATCATTTTGCGTGTTTCAAGATATAAAATTATCTGCCAATGGAATAGGACACTTTTTTGCGATCAAATGTTTTATTTTTAAAATAATGATCCAATGTAATACAAAATACAGTAGGCAGCAAAAGACATAGCAACAAAATGGAGCACCCAACCCCCCCCCAATGGAATAGGACACTTTCATTAGATAAAGTTACTTAAAACAAGTAAGAATGTTTAGAAATAAGTTTAATCATTTATAAAAATTTCTACAACAACCTCAAAATAAGATTAACAATTAAGATGTTTTCACTGGCAAAGATAGCATTTTGTGCAGTGTTGCGCACGAAAGTTAGCAAAAAAAGACAAATTTAGGTGTGTTCTCTGTAGAGGACGTGTTATTTTCACTTAGAAATATCAACAAAATGTCATTTGACAGGGGTGTTCAAAATTTTGCATACAGCTGTATATTTTGGCATATGTTCTGATATTAGTGTAGTAGATCAAAATGAAAGAGTAGAAAATCGCAAATCATTTTTATTCAGCAAACACAAACACATACATACATAAACACTTCCAAGCTGAGCCTATAAATCACAACAGAATCTCTCTAAGTAGAGTGTACACCACTAACACACACTGATGAGCCAAAACATTATGACCACCTGCCTAATATGCTGTTGACCCTGCATGCCACCAAAACAGCTCTGACCCGCTGAAGACTCAACAAGACCTGTGAAGGTGTTCTGTGGAATCTGGCGCCAAGACATTAGCAGCAGATCCTTTAAGTCCTGCAAGTTGCGAGGTGGAACCACTACAGATCGGACTTGCTCGATCAGACTGACATCTGTGGAATTTGGAGGCCACGGCAACACCTCAAACTCTTCATCATGTTCCTCAAACCATTCCCGAACAATTTGTGCAGTGTGGCTAAAAGAGGCCACTGCCTTCGGGGTACACCATCGCCTTTGGGGCACACCATCGCCATGAAGGTGTGTTCCTGGTCTGCATTGATGTTTAGGTAGGTGATACATGTCAAATTGCGTCCATGTGAATGATGGACTCAGGATTTCCCAGCAGAACAAAACCCAATCACACTCCTTCCACCAGTCTGTCTTCTTCCCACAGTGCATCCTGTTGTCATCACTTCCTCTGATAAATGGCACAAGTACCACAAGAATCATCAGACCAGGTGTCCTTCTTCCATTGCTGCAATGTCCAGTTCTGATGCTCGCCCATTGTAGATGCTTTCAATGGTGGACAGGGGTTAGCATGGGCACTCTGACCTATCTGTGGCCCCATATGAAGCATTCCTCTCGCAACCATCATTAAAAATTTCTGTGACGTGAGCCACAGTAGCCCCTCTGTTGGTACAAAAAAGGAAGGATAGCCTTTGTTGCCCTCGCGCATCAATGAGCTTTGGGTGCCCAACACCCTGCCGCTGGTTCGTGGTTTGCCAGCAGGTACTCGCCACTGCTAATAGAGCACCCAACAAGCCTTGCTGTTTCGGAGATGCTCTGATCCAGTCGTCTGGCCATAATTATTTGGCTCATGTTAAAGTCGCTCAGGTTTTCACAGCTGCCATTTCTCCATCATCCAACACGTCAACTATGAGAACCGACTGTTGGCTTACTGTCTAATACATCCCAGACCTCGTCATGCACTGAGCTTTCGAAATAATCAACATTATTCACTTCATCTGTGGTTGGTCATAATGGTTTGGCTCATCGGTCTGGGCCTGGATCTTTATTTATAAAAAAAAATAATCACCATATACAATCATTACAATCACCATATTGGTCTGAAAAATCATAATACGATATTTTTCCCCAAATCAGTCAGCCTTCCTACTGGGTTATATAAATCTACTGAGGCTAATTTGTGTGATTGACGCTGTAGATCACTTAAAGTCACGAAGCTACATATTTCAAGCATTTGTTATTAACTAATTAGTAATATGAAATTTTCTTTAACTAATAAATTTTGCAAATCTCAGACTGTTATCGGTAGCCACTAAGGCTAGGTGTCGTTTTTCAACACGGTACCGATATCAGTACCAATAAGGATACCTTGATTTCAATACCTATTCCTTAACAATCCTTTTCTTGATATCTTATTTTAACTACATCTCTGAAGCTAAGCATCCTACAGTATGCTTATTGGCATCACACCCATATTATGTACTCTGGGTTCAAGCGGCTTTCTCTATGGGAAAAAAAGAACTGGATTTTTAAAGATTGCCATAAATGAAAAAGGTTTCATTTTTCTATTTAGGTAGACTGTTGATATTAAATGACAAAGATTTTGATATGTGGTAGTATTTAAGTAATTGTGTTGGTATCAAATTTCAATGCCCAGCCATAGGGACAACTTGCCTCCCACCATCTTTTAGTAATACTAGCCTGGTAGCAGTGGTGCATATTTACACCTTACAGTTCAAACCCTGACTCTGATATATGATAAGTCAAATTTGTAAGTTGGAAACCACACATTTATAATGACCACAAAGGCCGTAACAAAGGGCCAAATTTGCGTAACAGTACTTTGAGGTCATGTACTTGTATTAAAATCACATTTTGATCATGTATACTAAAATAAAAGATTTTCAAATGACAATTGTCCTTGTAAATCCTCAATAAAGCGCATTTTCATTCCTCCTGTGGTGGTCCTTGTGATTAGTTGTGAGGGGCATCCTGTAAAAGAGGCCAAAAATATACAAATTTATACATTACACTTAAAGCCTGGGGTGACTAACACTCTAATTCCTGTTTTTGTTTGAGAATTGCACTGCAATGTTTCTTGCAGAATGTATATACTCCATTTTATTTATAGGTAAAATTGGTCAAATTTTGTGTTATGATTGAACATTCTATTTTGTCACAAACAAAACAATCATTTGTTTTAATAAAATAAACATAGTTAAGGTACAGAGCCACTCAGAACAAAGTGATTTTAGTCTCAAGTCTAAGTCACAACTCAAAAATGTGTTTTCAGCTCTGACTGTGAACCAATCAGGTAGAAGGACCCTTTTAAATCACTGTACTATTTACCTCACTATTTAACTTTCCCTTCAGCCGCAATGTTTCTTCTCAAGCGCTCCCAGAAGTGAATCCTCTCACTCTCGTCCTGTGGCCAGTTCAGATACGTGTGCGATTTCACCAGCCTGGCCAGGCTAAGAAAAAAAAAGACATTTAACTAGCTATTTAAGTAAAGCTGTAAAGTTAGCAAGTAGACATTGTAACACCACTAAGAATCCACACTGCAGCCAATAACATCAGCCTTAAATCTTAACTTGGTCAACACTGAGAGCAAACCTACACATTTCATGTTTGGTCATGAGTTATTCATGTTATTCTGCTATGCGTTTAAAGTTTTAATTTAGTTTTAACAGTGTTTCAACCACTCAACCACTTAAAACACATCTTTAATACAGTATAAAAGAGGGAAAACTATAGTAATAATATAAGCAACTGAAATTTCATTAACCTGGCGGTGGTAGTATCGTGGGATAGGGGGGAGAAAACGCTAGTAGATGGAACTGGACATGACTAAATTGGGGAGAAAATTGGTAGAAATGGCAAAAAAAATTACATTTTTATTTTACATTTTTACATTTTGCCTTGTATAATATTTCTGTAGTACTGTCACATAGTAATCTGTATTATTTGTGCTGAGTCCTTTGGTAAACTGTCAATTGACTGTGCATATGTGACCAGGGGCACTGTAAAGGGGTGGAAGATTAGCATGATTCCAGGAGCCAGGAAACCACAAAGCCTTTTAGGCTTACAGAAAGATTCTTAATTTGCATACTTCATTCATTAAATATTAACAAAATACTACTTTTAGATACAGGGGCAGCACCAAATCTTCCATTCTGTCACTCATCCCGTGACCCCCACTGGATGAATCACTCATCTGTAGTGCAACATTCTCTGTTATTGCGTTAAGATACCATGTTTTCTCTGCTACTAAACTGTTAAAGTTTAACTTGTAAAAAGTGGTCAAGTGTCCATTATGTATCTGTGTACGCTAAAGACTCTCACTGGCCTTCCCTTCTATCTTTGGACCTGAAAGAAGTATGTATTAAAACCACAAACTCTCCACTATTCCCTGACTGAATTTCAGGATCTGTAGTTGGATCAGTGAAAAGTGTTATTGGAAATTTTACTGGTCAAGTCAAAAGCAGTTGCTTCGATAGCCAATGTGCAATGTAAATTCCGCCAGCTGCATACAATATGCTTTGCAGTCATGTTGCTTATATTCATATTCTTACTTGCTGAGTAAGAGTTGAAATTATGGAGCCAAAATAAAAAAAAACAGTGTTATGAACATGGAAAAAAGGAATTGATTTTAGAATAAAAAACGATTAAAGTAAAATCTTAGCTGTGACAGTGTGTAGTTTGTTTACCGGTGGAAAGCACTGAGCTCGAAGGGGGAGATGTGCTCGAGGAAGATGAGAATGAGGCGATGTTTCTGTTCTTCTAGGAGTCGGTGTGTTGCCACTCGCAACTCCAGGCTGCACCAGTCGCTGCGAAGATAGCGGCGAGTCAGCACACACACTGTGCGCTCACTGCTGTAGATACTCTCCGCAATGTTGTCCACTATGCCTTTTCCCACCTACAGAGCAGAAAACAAGATGCAAGATGATTATAAGTTGACTTATTTAAGTTCACACTGTTTGATAGTATAGAATAGTACAAAAGAGCAGCAAACTTAGCTTAGACAAAAACACTAAAATCTAAATCTGCTGTAATTCTGAATAATTCTGCAAACTGTGAGTTACACTGACTCACGAGTCTGTGCTTTTGTGACCCTTTTGCACATTTTCCAGTTGTACATTGCACATTGCTGGCTAAGTACTAATTAGGTGGTAGTCCACACTATTACGTCTTAACTCAGTCAACACTTTCACACAGATCCGTCATTCTTACTGTCATTCTTATCTGCTATTTAAAAGCAATTGCTGTATGAACTAAATTTGCAAGGAACACAAAGGATGAGAAAAGAAAGAAAAAACACAATTAAGGAAGAGAAAGAAAGAAAGAAAGAAAGGAAAGCAGGACAGAAGGAAGAAAGCAAAAGGAAGAAAAGAAAACAGAAGAAAGAAAAAGAAGGAAGTAAAAGAGAGAAAGAACGGAAGAAATAAAAACAGGGAAGAAAGACAGGAGGAAAGGAAAGAATGATGGAAAGAAAAGGGTGGGATGAACAAAAGAAAAAAGAAAGACAGGAAGAAGTGAAGAAGGAATTAAGGACAAAATAGAAAGAAATAAATGAGAGAATAGAGAAGGAAAAAAGAAAGGAGGCAGGAAGAAAGAGAGTAAATAAAACAACTTAACTAAAGTATAAAAGTTATAAGGTGATAATAGAAATCGCTGCAGAAAGTGCAAGAAAAAAGTAAGTATTAATAATATTAATACAGTGTTTATCTCGCAAGCGCTGTAATTACAGTTATGCTAAAAATTACATTTAAAATATCTGCTTATGTAGCCGTACCTTGACTTTGCAAATATTCCTGCTGTGTTGCATATTGCCAGCTAAATGCTAGTCATGTGACTGTCCACACTGTTATGACAACTGAGCATCATTGCAGCCAGTGTACAAAATGAAAGCAATTTGCTTCAAGTACACATGAGGTAAAAGCTATCCTTCTTAAAATTCATGAAAATCTTAGGCTGGCTTTACGTGGCGAAACTTTCATACAACTTTAGTTGCTTGAAACCTACTTGAGTTGCTTAATATAAAGGGTCCTGCAACTCAGGTGAAACTCAGTTTCACGCGCCTCAACTTTGTAAAACAAGTTTTCTAAATCAGCCAATCAAAAAAAGAAACGCATCATGTAATCACATTGAACAACACACTTTCGAACAAGTGATATGTTTCCAATGAGTTGCTTGCAACTTTTTTTTAAATCCTACATGCAACTGTCAAGTTGCACAGAAATTATGTTGCAGGCAACCCAAAACATACAATTACTTGCATGAAAGTTTCATGTAAAACCAGCCTTTAGTGAACTTTAAAATGCCTTACCTCAAAGTCTCTGTTGTGCAGGCAGAGTCGCAGTCTCGGCTGGCCTTGCTCTTCCAGTTTTGGAGCCAACTCCCCCAAGACCCAGGCTTCATCATGGCTACTGAAGGATACAAAGGCATCATATTTCATTTCCTCTTCCACCTCCAGGTTGTCCCCTTCCTGCCTAGCTCTCCGCCTTTTCCTCCTCCTTCTTCCGATCTTCTTCTCTACGTACCCTCTCAGGCGAAAGATGAGGACCACGCAGGGCCAGTAAGCAAAGTGGTAGGCGACAGAAGCTGACACCAGCAGAGTGATGGTGCTGGCTGTGCCCAAATAGCACAGATACTGCACGTCTGTTTGACACAGCTTCTCCATGGTGGCCAAGAAGTTCCGTTTCTCATAATGCAAAATGCATTGCTGATGCTGCATATAGATCACCTGCACTTGACGCGAGCTCTCCGCCCATTCTAAAAGCCAGCCATTTTCACAGTCACAGAGGAAGTCCACTTTGTCAAGAACAACCTCTCTCAAAGCAGGTAGTACGTCAAACATCCCATCATGTAAGATCAACGGGCTGACACTGTACAGACGCAACAATTCTAGCGACTGCAGATCCCTGAACATCCTTTTTGTCAGAAAACTCAGGCGACAGTTGTAAAGTACGAGGATACGGAGCAGTTTTAGGTTCCAGAAGGTCATGTCAGGATTTGTGTGGTTGGAGAAGTTGAGATTGATAAGTTTGAGCCGCTTGAGATACCGCAATTTGCTGATTCCAGTATATCTAATGTATACCTTCTCAGGATTCCCCAAGACCTCCAATGATTCTAAATTTGAAAAATAAGGCACAAAAAAACACAACTTAAAAAGGAATAAGCTGCCATTTAGTTTGAGCTCTCGGACAGATTCAAAGAAGGGAGAAGAGTAATCTAAGATATTAAGAATATCTCCGTTTAACTCCAATATGAAGGAACCGTTGGGCCGACCTATATTACCAATGTAGATATTAGTCCCGTAATGCGCATCGATGCAGAGACGCTGCATTTTCGCTGGAAACCCGTAAAATAGCACACTCAGATGCAACGTGTAGACGTACTCCAGTCTTCCCAATGTCAGCTCTCGCAGCTCGTCCAGGTCTCTGAACACTCCATGCTCGATATTCTCAATCACATTGTTGTGAATAAGCAAGACTTCAAGAGCTCTGAGAGAATGGAAGTCATTGACAGCTAGCACTCTGATGCGGTTCGAGTTAAGTTTGAGAACCTTAAGGTGAAACAAACCTGCGAATGCTCCGGGTTCCAAGATTTTGATCCAATTGTCATTGAGAAGAAGTTGCTCAAGCAGAGGCATGCAAACAAACTGGTTTGTTTTGACCACTGTCAGATGGTTATGCCAAAGACCCAGAGTAGTTAAATTCCACATGGTTCCATTGCTGGCAACACAGAATGGGGCTGTAGTCAGTTCAATGTGAGCCATGTTCAAGATCTGTAATCCTGCTATGTTTGTCCAGAATCCTGGGTCCAGCTGCTGTATTTTTGAATTAAATACACTAAGCTTCTTCAGTTCTGTCCCACAGTTGTCTATATCTTCTTTCGACGATGTGTCCAACGTTACTTGAGTTAGCTCAAGAGACTGAAGACTCAAGTGGGAAACTAGATGGCACAAGTCCTTGAAATTTGTATGATATTCATTCAGGGTAATCCCTGACAATTGAAACTTGCTGAGTTTTCTTATTCCAGACTCCCAAATGCTTCCCAGCCATACTCCATAAAAGCTTAAGGTGAGACTTGAAAGGTTTTGAAACACTGCTAAAGAGTTTGTCGCAATGATTCTGATTGGGTTCCCAGTGATTTTTAGAGTTTGTACCCCTGCAAGCACAGTCAAAGGCCATGCTTTGGACCTTGACGGGCAGCCTGTACTCCTGATGGAAGTGATCCCGCTGCTCAGCAACATTAGGTGTTTCAAGTGGAACGTACCATTCGAAAAACGACACAAAACCTCTCCAAGTTCCTGAACACAAATCCTGCTCAGACCCAGCTCAACTAAGCCAACAAGATGATCAAAAGTAGTGTTAGGAACACCAGCCCAGCTAAGACCTTCCAAGAACAGCTGCTCCACATGATCCAATCCAGCAAACACAGGAGCGTCCATTATAACACTACTGCAGCCGCTGTCATTGAAAAACACCCTCAGATACTTAAGGTTAAGGAGGCCAGAAAAGGCACCAGAATGGACCTTTCTTACCTGGTGTCCAGTTATACAGAGAAATTCCAAAGTTGTGAGACGTGAGAAAGCATTGGCAGGAATGACCTCGGCATGAGTGAAGATACACAGGGACCTGATTCCTTGCTGAACCTCTGACAGATCATTTTGGAAATCAATGATGTTGCATTCTCCATAGGGACCCAGTCCTGGGAGGTGGGCACAGGGAACTGTCCGGCCAATGTCACTAAGCAGATGCTCTTCAAAGGTTATGCACTGCTTAGAAATTAGAGCTGTGACATCATTGAAGATACTTAAAAGCATTAGGAAACACAGCAACAAATGCATAGATGCTGGTCTATACATATCCATACCTGAAGCCAGTTTGGTTCTTCAAAGATCCAGGTTCTGGACACTTTCTTTAAACGTCTTTCTTGCTTTTTTATCTAAAGAGGGATTTCATCCTTGTTGCCAAGTCGAAGTTCAAACTGAACAGTGCACTTTTTCAAGATCTGCACAGACTTATGTGGATCTGTTTTTCACTTCTGTTGTATTAAAAGCAGAAATCCACACCTTTGATGTTAGGGGAAGGAAAGGCAGGGGTGCCTAAAGCAGAAAGTGTTTGCTACTGTTTGCACAAAGGCAGTGGTCAGTGGGAACACTCTTGCATGTAGAGGCCTCTACTAGTAGGGCAGCTAGCCTCTAAAGTCTCTTCAAAAGGGAATCTGGATATCCCAAGGGAATTTTTAAGATCTTAGCTTTATATTATACTACAATTTCAGACCAATAAACAAACACTGTAGTGAATCTGACTTTATTAGTAGGAGAGCGTAGTGTGCAAGGTGTGATGGTTATATATTCACATATGAGCTCGGAGTAAGAGGAACTGAAAGCAACACACTTCTATTCTAAAACTTTCTGCTGATTTCAAGAAAAGATAAGTTTCCCCAACACTTACAATGTACTTACTGCCTCAGAGCATTTGAACATTAAAATGTTTACACTACTTATATAAGCATTAAAAATATCATGTCCAATATTACTTATAGTAATGGAGCACTGTACATTACCATAACTGCCAGATGGACATTTTAAAACCGACACTCCGGCCAAAGAAAAAACAAAAAAGTAACCATCACTACAACTGGTATACATGACTACTTGCCTGCTACAGTGGTGGTCCTGCAGTAGTGTCTAAAGTGGGATTTTACAGTGTAAAAACTAAACCCCCTTCTGGTGATGCATCTTGAATGTGGACAACTTTAAAAGACTAAGATATTTTTGAACTTTTTTTTCCAAGCTGGCTAATTCCTCGACAAAGAAAAAAGTCAGATGACCAGTTGAGATAAGTGTCATCACTAAGGCTGACTAGCAGCTGTAATTATCAGCCTTTAGATCGGCAGCAAGCAGTCACGACTGGTTGACGCCACAGGGATTCTCAGTGGTTGTGTGGTATACACACTGATCAATCATAACATTGATCGGTGTGTATACCACAATTACAGACTGTAGTCCATCTGTTTCTCTGCATACTTTGTTAGCCCCCTTTTACCCTGTTCTTCAGTGGTCAAGACCCCCATGGACCCTCACAGAGCAGGTACTATTTGGGTGATGGATCATTCTCAGCACTGCAGTAACACTGTAGCTGTAACTGTAGAACTACAAAGTGCACCTATATAGTAAGTGGAGCTGATAAAATGGACAATAGCGTAGAAACAAGGAGGTGGTCATAATGTCATGCCTGATTGGTGGATGCTGGGTAGTGTAGTGAAAGTAAACTAATTAAGAAAAACAAGACAACAATACAAAATCATGAATTCTGGCTGATTAGGCTGAAGAGTGCAATGATGCACTGCATCTCATAACATAAAAAAACTATGCTAGTTTTAGGCTGGAAGGTACAGAAACTGAATTCTGTGTACATAAATTACATATTAAAAAGTTACAAATTACAAAATAAATTACAAATGCATTTAAGAGGTAAAACACATAATGCAGTAACAACACCTTAAGAGAAATATTAATAATGCAATCATTAATGTTGCAATGGATTACAACCATGCCTTTTTGCCCACTTGGGCATGCATTAAGATGCATTTCATTGTTCTGTAAAAAAACAAAAAAAAAACAAAAACGCAATTTGGTGCTATCAATGCATAAATACTGATTCGCTTGCACACAACTTTGGGTACGACAGTGGTTTATTTATACAAAATTAAACAATTATTTCACTCTAAAGAATGGCAACAAAACAAACGCACAAACCACAGTTAGATCAGACAAACGTACTTAACTTACAGTGCATAAAGAAGACTTACCGTGCTCTATGAAGTATTATGTACCGATATGAAATTTCAAAACCACCTGTTCATGATTACACTCCACTTAAGGCTTGTAGAAACCCTTTATAACATACATATTTTTAGAAGCCTTTAATTGTCAGGACACCAAACCAAAGTTGTATGTTTTAATGCATTATAATTTTTGCAAATTTGTGATTAACATGTTATATAAACTATAATCATGAGGTCCTATACTTTTTACAGAATGTGTGACGGCTGCTTACAATGAATTTCATGAGCTAGTATGAGGTGACAAGCATGTCCTAACACGTGCAAATGCATTTATAATATTGTACATATACAGTATTCATAGAATGTCTTATCATACTGTTGATCACACTGTGAACAAGTCAGTTCAGAAAAAAAACATACTGCTAACAGAGCAAGTCTAATCTGATTGGTGCAAAAATACTAATCCTGTCTCTTGAAGCCTAAACAATTTAAGATTCTTAATGAGAAATTTTAATAAATAACAAAAACACAAGCCTCAAAATTAGAGCAGTAGTCCACAGCAGGCAGTAAAGTACATGTAAAGTACATAAAAGTAAAGTACATAAAGTCTTGGCGCTGCTTAACATAAAGCTAAGACAAGAATTACATGACATTCTGTTTAATCTTCAAAACAAAAGGTCTTAATTTGAATTGTACTTATTTCAAAAACTAATTTGTCATACTAACACACAAAAACTATTTTGTTAACAAAAAGGTTTCAAGTAGTATCATTTTAGTAACTGTTTTTAACTTTTGTCTGTAACAAAGACTAGTGCATCCAAAAATAACAAGAGAAGAGCACTGCGAGGGGACTTCTTTGCCCACTGTCCATTGGACTTGTATTACATAGTGGTTTAAACCATCAGAGCTTCCCAATGATGTAAAAACTAAAAAATGATCTAAGTAACAAGGTTTCCGCAGCACACCACCGATATAGTTTGGTGGAGAGTCAGGTGTTTAGCAAGCAGACTACGGTGCCGTTTAATCAATAACAACAAAACGTAACAGTATCATTTTTAAACTACACATATAAATATTGCTGCGCTAATCTTGTGTTAAGTTTACAACAGTCTGCAAATTAGTTATAAACTGTAGGGCTGGCCCGAATAATGTGAACACTCGTGTGCTCATGCATTACGTTGGTACTCGAACCTATTTAGTATATAGTCTTTCTTTAAGCCTCAAAAAATGTAGCCTAAACTACAACACATTTACATTAGCCAAGGTATTTACAGACTAGTATAGAAGTGGGCAGTACATGATTCATTCTACCTCAGGTATGAGGAATGAGTGCCAGTATGCTGCAGATAACGTGATGTGTAGTGCAAACCACACTAACGTTATCCCGTTTAGCTGAAGCAAGGGACGTTCCATACGGCTTCAAACGTTTCTGCTGTCTAGCCCGTTGCATCTGAAGTAGTCCAATTTGTTTAGCGGACATTAAAGAATGGCCATTCTTTAGGAGTTAGCCTTAGCCTTAGCCTTACACGAACACCCAAGCGACTGTCTCTTGTACCGCCTTAAAGAAGCCGCCTAACTCATCTGTCAGTCATCTGCGTGAGACAAGGCTGTGGTGGACCAGCTGGTACTGAAGCATAAACAACTGTGATATTTTCCAAATAACAAATAAATAGTGTCTGATGGTCTGAAGGGGAACTGTATGGGACACACATCCAATACAAGAGGTGAGAAATTCAACAAAGCTGAAGATGGCTTGTTTGAATTTTCCATTCCACCTTAAATGATGCAGCAGTTGCATTCAGACACCTGTACAGGAGCCAAAATGTATCTGCTGCTCTAAAAAGGCAAATAAGAAGCTGCTGAGTAAGAAGCCAATTTCTGGCCTGTAGAAATAAAGACATCAAACAACAATTTTTGCTGGGTCCTTAGGGCTAGTGTTTGAAAGCAATTTAGACATTTATCTCTCTCTCTCTCTCTCTCTCTCTCTCTCTCTCTCTCTCTCTCTCTCTCTCTATATATATATATATATATATATATATATATATATTATATATATATATATATATATATATATATATATATATATAAGAGAGAGAGAGAGAGAGAGAGAGAGAGAGATATTGTATATGTATATATAGATATTATATATACACAGACATTGCAGATTGTATATAGATCAGTTGTGGTCTTAATATTTTGCACAACATAAATATTTCAGATTTACTTTGGCTATTTAAAATTGTTCTTGTTAAAAAGTTACTTTAGCACTTAGAATGGTTTTATTTATAATATACATGACATACCATCCACTACTACAGTACTAGTGCTGCAACTATCAAATATTTCTATTTTTGAATTTAGTCTTGAACAGGAAGAGCTCAAGGTGTGTTTTCACTTTAATAATTACATTACCATTTCATATTATGGTTATTTGAATTGCTTTTTTTTGCTGTTTACTGAAATGCATCAAATATTCACCAATATATGGAACATGCTAAAAATAAATAAACTATATCTGGTTTAGACATCCACATCACCTAAGAGCACAACTAACAGCACTGCTGTTGTGGGAAACTTTAAATGATTGTATAATAATTCTCCATGCAAAATGTGCAATATAAGCAATATAAGGTCCATAAAGGCAGGACAGTGAATCATCACAACTGTGCACAGTGATAACTATCCATGTACTGCTAGGTAGGCTAAAAGCCTTACACCACGGCTGATTTGAGTCAATTCACTGTGATTTCATCGCAGCCACCTACTGGTTATATTTTGAACTGCAGTAATGAACATAATTAACAATAACTGTAATTAAGCAATGCAAATATTGTTCTGAGAATGTGTATTTGGGCGCTTGTTTGGAAACACCGACGAGTATCTGAAGCCTGTAAAATGCTGTTCGGGCCAGCCCTAAAGAACTGTGTAGCATTGAAAGACAGACCTGAATGTCGTTCTAGACTGAGTAACCGTAGATCAAGCGGACAGTGAGAGAGTTTCAAATATATTATCAAAGTCATAATAACAATGGCTCATATCTACAGCAGTGAAATGTTTTTCAAAAGTGAAAAAAATGAAAAATGTGGTTTCGTCATACAACAGCAGATTCTCCTTATGCTTCAAGGAATATTTCACAAAGCAGGATTAGTTAGTTAGCGGGATAACCTAAGCGAGCTAAAGGACTATTCTCTTGGAAAGTCCTCACTTTTGGACTAAAGCGAAATCCATCAAATGTACACATCTGTCCACCTTCCTGACTGCAGTTAATCAGCCAAGAGATGTTTGGTGTTGGAGGATTCTTTAGGTTTTACACTGGAGCTCTGAGGCTAATGGCTGCTTATGCCTTAGCTTACGTACCGCAAACATTAGCTAACTAAGAAATCCTGCTTTTTGAAACAGCCTCCAGAAATGTACACAACACCCTTCAATCTCATTACCTCTATATACCATCATGTTCATTATACTTTTAGTACTTCTTTCAGCCGGCAGCTCTCTTTCTTCCACTCTCCTTCCTCTTCTCTTCATTCCCTCCTCTGTCTGGAAGTGCAAATTTCTCCATCGCCTCACTTGCGAATCCCTCCATCTCGTCCTCCAGCTCCTCATCCTCCTCTCCTTCCGCCATGTCTTCCAAAATGTCTGCCACGTCCTCCGCGAACTCGCTGAACGGTATCTGGTCGTGAACAAAGACTCCGTTGGTGAAGAACTCGCCAATGAGCTTATTCAGTTCCTCTTTTTTAGAAGCTCGCTCCTCAGGCCCTATCAACTTGGTCAAGTAGGCCAAAAGTAAAGCCTCAAAATCCTGCTGACCAACAGGTGTTAGCCCCTCTGCATGGGCACAGTCTGTTAGCCCGCTGCATTCTTCCGTTGACCCGTGGAAATGACGTATCCTTTCTCTCTGTTCAGCCCAGTAGTCGTTGTGCACGTGGTCTTTGCTTTGCTCTCTGTCGCTATATGAATGATGGGGCGCCTTTTCCGATGAACTCTGCCTCGATTTGCCCTTTTTGCTCCACTTTTCCCCATTTTTCTGGTAGTCGCCTTTATGTTTTTTCTCCTCCTTCCACCCCTCTGCTCTTTCCCTCTCTTTCCCACTCCAATGCTTGTCCTCATGCTCCTTCCACTCTTTCTTTCCACCATTCCTTTTGTGATCATCTTTCTGTCCTTTCCATGCGCTCTCCTTCCGGGCTTTTCCTTCACCTCTCGGATTTCCTCTCTCTTTTTCTTCCTCCCACTCATCCCTCTCTTTCCAGTCTTTCTTCCTCTCATTTCTCTCTTTCCATTCTTTCTTGTCATTTGAACCAACCTGTCTACCATTTTTCCATTCTTTCTCATCTGTCAGTGTCCATTCCTTGTCTCCCTTCACCTTATCTCCCGAATGCTTCCGTTCTTTTGTCTCCCACCTTCCACCATCCAGCTGCCAGCGCTTCTCCTTTTTCCACTTTTTATCTTCCTCCCAGTCCATTTTCCCACTTTCTTCTTTGAGCTCTCTCTTTACCTCACTGTCCTTCCACTTTTTCCCATTTTCCTTCCTTTCCCTTGTCCCATCTTTTTTAAACTCACTATTTTCTTCCCCATCTTTCCATCGTTTTCCATTTTCCTTCCTTTCCCTTTTCCCATCTTTTTTAAACTCACTATTTTCTTCCCCATCTTTCCATCGTTTTCCATTTTCCTTCCTTTCCCTTTTCCCATCTTTTTTAAACTCACTATTTTCTTCCCCATCTTTCCATCGTTTTCCATTTTCCTTCCTTTCCCTTTTCCCATCTTTTTTAAACTCACTATTTTCTTCCCCATCTTTCCATCGTTTTCCCATTTTCCTTCCTTTCCCTTTTCCCATCTTTTTTAAAGTCAATACTTTCTTCCCCATCTTTCCATCTTTTTCCATTTTCCTTCTTTTCTCTTTTCCCATCTTTTTTAAACTCACTATTTTCTTCCCCGTCTTTCCATCTTTTTCCACTTTCCTTCCTTTCTCTTTTCCCATCTTTCTTAAACTCATTTTCTTCCCCATGTTTCCATCTTTTGCCACTTTCCTTCCGTTCCCTTTTCCCATGTTCTTTAAACTCTGTTTCTTCCCCATCTTTCCGTCGTTTGCCATTTTCCTTCCTTTCCCTTTTCCCATCTTCTTTGAACTGTCGATTTTCTTCCCCGTCTTTCCATCTTTTGCCATCTTCTTGCTTTTTTCCCCTTTTCCCTTCTTTCTCACCTTTCCACTCTTTCCTTTCTCCTTTGCCCCTCCATTCCTTGCTTTCGTCTGGACTGACCTTTTGTTTTTTCAGGTCTTTTCCCTCATCCTTTGTCGCCTTTCCCTGCTTTCCTTCCTTTACACTTCTGTCTTTTTTCCTTTCCTTCCCGTCTCTCCATTCTTTCATCTGTTCTTTCACTTCATCCTGTGATTTCTTATCCTTCAGCTCCTTCCTTCCCTGAATGGCTGATAATTCTCTTTCGTGTCCAGCAGAGGGCGACGCAGAGGCAGACAGAGGGGGCACAGCTTTAGCACTGTCTGAATGTAAAATTAATAAATGGTGTCAAAACAAAACTGGCTCAACATTTAACAACTAAAATTAGTGATGAGCAATATAACAAAAATATCACAATACTTAAACAATTCCACAATTTTTCTGAGGGTTGTGAAAAAGTGGAAAATGCACCAGTTACAAATTAAGGACACAATTCAAAAAGGCTACGCAAAGATAGTACGGTATTTTTTTTCTTCAATTCAACATTAGCAAATATAACAGGAGGACGCAAATCAAACAGTTAATAAAAATACATTAAAAGGATAATGACATAATGGGCTGACATCCAGCTGCTTGGTATATGCAGGTTTTAATACACTAGTTGTGTTTTTTTTTAACAGGTGCTTTATGATTTGTCTATGATACATGGAGTGTTCTAGAAGTACTGGTGACACCCCTAAAACTAAGGCTGTGGTCAAAACCCCTTTTTGAGTCCAATACTGTGCCTAACTGAAACCAAATGAAGACTAAAGGGGGCCAAATGTGACCCAAAGAAATCATCCTTTTTGAGACCAAGCCTTAACTGGTCTTTAACTGCTTCCAGACCGAATTTCTTGGTCTTTTAAAAATATTTGGTGGAATCTTTACAAGTGAAAGAATTAATGCTTATTTTTATTTTGCTTTTCTGTTCAAATGAAATTATTTCTTTGTATAGTTAATTACATAGTTCTGTAATCAATTACATTAGCATTCAGATTACATCCTGTTTTGGGTCTGCACTTCTGATTAATAAGAAAGGATTAAGTATAAACTCAAGCTGGATGCAAACAGAATTTGTACAGTTTACAATACAGTAACATCTAGATTACAGTTGAAAAAGTGAGATGTTTCTGCTATACTTTTGTTATTTTGCTAAGTTTTAGCTCAGTTTCACAAGAGAAATCACAGGAGTGAAAAATGATTTGTGCATGCCTGCTACTGCCAGCATGGCTGGCAAAGCATAACTGCTCATAAAGGGAAAATGTCCCAGAAGTGTATTTCATTCATGACTTAAAAATAAAAGAACGACTGGTCATATGTCAGGTTTAATGGGATTTTCATGACAAACATGAATGTGTGCATCCTAGTTAAACAAAATTTATAAAACGGATACCTCCGGTCCTAAAATCTGATTGGTTGACCAGGTTAAAAGATAGCCAACAGCCTAAACAACTCCATCATCAATATCACAGGCCTGAATTACAGTACTTACGGTATGATTAACTCTAAAACGGCAGTATAAAAGTCTAAAAAAAAAAGAAAAAGTAAATACACGCTTTAGATGTTCATGTTTCATTCAGGAGTAGCGTCAAACCCAGGCTGGAGCCCAAACGACTCCGTACTCCCTAAATAGTGTGCGAGCTATGAAAGTTTAGAAATTCTAGCCTCAACAGCCAAACAGTGCATCTTTTGTCCAGTATGAATGTGAATGAATCCCAAATGACTATTTCTTGGCTATATTTTTGCACCGTTGGGCTGAAGGATCCAGTATTTAAATTCCTACGTAGTGCACTATGTAGGGAGCAGGGAGCCGTTTGAGATTTAGCCTCAGCGTGAGAAGAGGGGCGACGCTGGATTGGTGCTAAAGATGTGGTGGTAATTCGGTGACCAAAAAGTACTTGTACAGCGAAAGTGTTGCATTAAACAGTGCTGCTTTATATGTTTTGCAGAAAAAAAACTGTATTTTATCAGATTTTATGCTGGCCGCCGTTTTATAAAAGCAATAAGAGGCAGTGCATTTCTGCAATTTTATCACAGGGAAGGGAGTTTAGGCACTACTCTTTGCGCCGTGCCCAAGTACACCTTTCCTATGATAAAACTGCAGTGACGCCTAGCCTCTCGTGGCTTATTGCTTTATTAACAGCTGTGAGTCTGAATGATGCAAAGCCCTAACATTACCAGTAAAGTTACTGGGTTTCAAGTGTGAAAATACTACTACAAATAAATATGGTCACTTTTGTGTCCACTTGGCTAAACCAAATACAAACAGATGCAATGGTTTGGAGTTGCTTGTGTACAAGTAATTGTGTGTTATGACAACTGAAGGAAAGAAAATTACTTATTTTTTTTAGCAGTAGATCTTAAGTTAAAATACTACAAAAAGCAGACCATATTAAAACCCTCTCAATTCTGGATAACAGAACTACATCATATGTTCAGCAGATATCACAAAGACTCAATTTATCACAACAGCTGCAACACAGTCATACTGCCCATCTCTAGATTAAAGTGTACCTGTGGTCTGAGCGAGCTCTGTAACTTTAGCTCGTAGAAGCTCCAGCTCTTTCTGCATGCCTGGAAGAGCCTCCAGATCTTTCTGTGCTCTTTCGCCCTCTTTCTTCACTCTTTCGCTCTCGTGCTCTAGCTCCTTCTGAAGAGCAGGCAATTTATCCAGCTCTCCTTTCATTCTCTGGTTCTCCATCTCCAACTCCTCCCTCCTCATTCGCTCCTTGTTGCCTTCCTCCACTTGCAGTTGCGCCGCTTTTAGTTCCCCTTCTTGTTCCTACGTTTAAAAGGTTGGAACATGAAGACTGTAGAATAAACAAGACACTGCAGTGGGCAACCAAAAGTGAATGTGCAGGTAGAAGCACATCCTACCTGAAGTTGTGCCTGTAATACAGCGATTTTCTGGCTTTTCTCTGCTAGTCTCTCTAATATTTCTGGAGGCTGAACGCCTGCAGGTGTGTCTCTTGAAGACTGAAGATTCAGCCACTCCTATCACACAAACATGCACATGAATGCATATCAACTACTTAACCAGATTTCTGCAGAATTAAATTGTTGAGATGTAAACAGTCATTTAGAGTGGTTTAATGTGAAACGCTTTGTTCTAGAGAAACTTAGAATTGTCAGAATTGTCTACAGTGGTGGTGATAGGAACTAGATGTCTGAAGAGTTTAATGAGTTTAAGGTTTGATGGCCGAGACACAGTTTTTAAATAGTTTTGTAATAAGGCCTGGTCTAAAACATTTAAAAAAAATAATCCATTCATGTTGGGGAGATACATGCACGGAAAAACCTTGAGTACTGATTTACCACTATTTTGCCATCATCAACATACATACATATATATACATATACATATATATATATATATATATATATATATATATATATATATATATATATATATATATATATATATATACATACACACACACACACACACACACACACACACACACACACACGTTGGTTCACTGGTGGTTCTGGATAGTAAATAAAATAGCTATGATTGTGTTGTGGTCATGGCAACCCCAGGTTCAATTCACCACCACTGTAAATACTCTGTGGTTGTAAGTTTCTCTACAATGAACCACTTTGCATAAAATCACTTTGAATTACTTTGTACATCTCAACTTTAGAATTATACTAAAAATATTAAAAAAGTTTGTTATTTTATTTCTGGGAATAATTTATAAAACAAACAAACAAAAAGCACAGACAAAACTACTGCTTTTAGCTCAGTCACAAGTCACACAGTATCTGAAGCCACATGTCTGTCTATCTGAAATTAGGCATGCACTTTGCAATATGCTAAGTGGTGGACCTTGTTAGCTACATTAGCCTTGTAGCTCCAAAAACAGATTTTTGGCCATTTGAAAGAAGAATTCAGTGACACTCGTGCTACCATGGGAGAGCACTAAATAATAAGAACTGAAGAGACCAAACAAGAGCTAACCTTTTGAAGCTCTGGATGTTTCAGCTCCTTCACATCAGTATCGCTCTCTAAAAAGGCAACAAAGTGAACATAATACTAAATATGAAACTCATAGGAAACAGAATAAGACAGTAACAGGATTTGACGGTTCATACTGCACTAAGGTGGGCCGCTTTAGTCATGAAACCTTTGTGAAAATGCTAAACATGCACACAAGCAGAACAATATGTGCGTAAATATGACAAAAGCATCCATTAGATTCATCTGTCCTAGATTAGTTCATATCCACATGCATGATAATGAATCTCAATGCATCCTAAACAGCTTTGACATGCACCTAAAATACTTAGCAGCCATCATCCATGAACTACTGCATTAGGTACATATGTTGCCACTTTTACAGCATCATTAGGAAAAAGATAAAACGTTTAGAAAAGAACTAAATTAAAATAGAATTCATCACTTTCACCCACTCATACAGTCATTCTCATCTGCAAGTTTAAGAACGTGTCATGAATCTGATGTAAAACTTTTTCTTTAGGACCTTTCTTAAGAACAAATTTAAGAAAAAACCTATGAAGATGAAGCCCATTGTCTTAACTAAAAGACCCCTGAAGAACCATCTTTTTTTAAAAGTCTAGAATATATTGAAGTTGCAAGAACCACTCTTCCTCCATATGCTTAAATTTAATGGGGATTATTTTGACAGTTTACAGCTTCAATTAAAACAATACTATAAAAATACTGCTAAACTAGGACCCTTAGCATTAAATAGTGCATTCAAAGTTGAGAGAAAGGATCACTTTGCACATCTGAATATTCATAAATAATAAAGAAGAAAGTCATTTTGAAAAAGCAGACTCTAAAATTGAACGGATCTTGTTCCAGCAAACAAAGTTAACACCTAAAGTACACACATTTTGAAATCTCCGAAAATAAACATTTTTTTTGAAGTGTTTCGTTTATTTTCTGAGATTTCAAGCTGCAAAATGTGTTGAAAACTGAAGAATCAACCCTCTAATGCATCACGAAACAAACAACTAAAATACAATATTACCTACAGACATCAAACAAAAAGAACTTGACTGGAAAACACAGGCATGCTTTACAGTGGAGCACTTTACCAAGTGATCCATCCACTCTGTCATACAAGCAACTATCACACTCATACCTGCTACCTACCATCATCCAGATCCATGAACACACCTGCAGAACAATACACCTCCATCTCAGAAAGCCCTTTAACTCAACCAGCACATATTTATTTTACTACAGGTGAACACATAATGTTTTTAAAAGTTTTACCAGAGAAGAAAATGGTGCCCAGGCCTAGAAGAATGACCGCTCCAAAAATGCACTTGTTAAGGGAGAATCCAACGTCGTCTTCTCTTTGAGGTGGCCTAAACGGTTCTTCTTCGCCCTCTTCCTCCTCCTCATCGTCTCTGTGATCCACAGGGGTAAGCAGAGAGACTTTTCTTCTCCTCACTCCATCGCCCTCGTTCCCCTTCTCTTCCAACACTTCAACCTCTTGCTTTGACTCTACAGCAAGAAAAGACAGAAAATAATCCTTTATACTGCAAATATAGATGGATGACAAATTAAAGGAGAAAACATAGAGTACACTGTATGGTCCAAAGTATGCAGAAGCCCCTTCTAATCACTAAATTCAGGTGTTTCAGCCACACCCACTGCTAATAGGTGCAGAAAATCAAGCATAAAGCCATGCAGTCTCCAAAGACAAACATTGGCACTAGAATGGGTCGTACTGAACGGTGACTAAATGTGACACTGTCATAAGATGCCACCTTTGCCACAAGTCTGAAATTTCTGCCCTGCTAGATCTGCCCTAGCCAGCTGTAAGTGCTGTTACTGTGCAACGGAAGGGTGTAGGCACAACAACAGCTCAGCCACAAAGCAGTAAACCACACAAACTTACAAAGCAGGGCCGCCAAGTGCTGAAACACACGGAACGTAAAAATCACCCATCACTCACCAAAGATTCAAACTGCCTCTAGATGCAACAATGCAAGATATGTGTGTTGGGAGCTTATGAGAGTTACCATGGCCGAGCAACTGCACACACGCCTATGATCACTATGCGCAATGCCAAGCGTCTGCTGGAGTGGTGTAAAGCACGCCACCATTGGACTCTGAAGCAGTGTAAACATGTTCTCTGGAATGATCCGATCTGGGTTTGATGGATGCCAGGGAGAACGCTACCTACCAGATCACATAGTGCAAACAAAGTTGGTGAAGGAGGGATAATGGTTTGGGCTCAGCCCTTTAGCTCCAGTGAAGGGGAATGTTATTGCTACAACATGCCCAGACATTTCAGACAATTATATGCTTCCAACTTTGTAGCCGGTCCTTTCCTGTTCCAGCATTGGGGATGAACTGGAACGATGATTGCGAGCCAGGCTTTCTTGAGTGCTGATCAAACTGATCATTGAAACTGATTCAAAAAAGCTGCTTAACATTACCTTAAGCCTCTGACAATCCTTTGGTTGCCCCGATTAATGCAGCAATCTTTCTAAAGACTGAAATAAAGGTGCATCTATTTCTGTGTAGTATGCATGCGATTCAGGATGTCTTACAAATCGGGATGCTCCCTTTCATTCACGTGGATGCACACAGGCTTAATGTTTTCATGAGGCTGTGTGCTTACACAGAGACTGAGGCTCTGCTAGATTTGAGTCTATTCCTGGAATTCCCTGTGGAAATGGAATCAGTCTAATGTGTGCCTTTGCAGTTGTTCCACATCTATCAGACATTTAGTCCCTTCCCTCTAGTGGCTGAGTCTACATTACTGAGAGGACAATCAAATCCTTCAACACATACTGGTTGAGAATGTCTCTATTGTGGGCATTATGTGCTTCAAACAGCCAAAAACCATCACTGTCGAAAGGAAACTTTGCATCTAGAAAACAGCAACTTTAAAGGAAAAGAAAAATAACTTCAAAAACTTTTTAAAAACTCTGTGTTCACAAAAAAAAACTCCCCATTTGTCATGAGATGTTCCCACACTTGGTATTTTCAAGTGGTGATTTTAAAAAGAAAAAAAGCTACAAGATCAGGACAAAATTTTAATAACTCATTTACTTAACTCATCAAACTCTTATTTTGAAAAAGTGAGGGAAAATTTAGGTTTCCATGACATCCATGGGCCTCTTTAAGTGTGCCGTGGTGCACTACATCATGCATTGCTTCCACATTCAAAACTTGGAAGGTGAAAAACAGAGAAAGAGAAATTAGCAGAATCTTTTCTCATTTCATTGGAGCACAGAACTTGTGTAGAACTCTGCCTGGACAGCTAAACTTGCTCGAAACACAAAAAAAAAAGTGGGCACCAGTCGGTGGTGGCAAGACGCTGAAATGCAAAGGCAGTGTCATTCATGCATGGCTCACAGGTCAACTGACTGCTGCAGAGGTCAACTAAAAAGCTTGGTATGTCAATATGAGCAATCGTGTATTTATTCTATGAAAATGCTTGCAATATGTTATTTGTCAGCAATGTAAAGAAGAATTGTACAGTACAGTCAAACAGGGGGGAAAAAGGGGGCAGGAGGAGCAAGTCCAAATATTAAGAAGCTGCTGAGCAGTCCAAGGCAAGACAAATATTTACTTATTCAGTTATACATAGCACAGTGCACTCAAAGTCAGGGCTGCTTGTCGGTCATAACATGTTTCAGCGCAACAAAATGCAGAACAGATCAAGCTGTCTGGCTGCAGTTATTCATGCTGCTGCTGGTCATTGACCGACCTCTCAACCGCAGTCAATCTGCACTGCATATGTCCTCCTACTAACGCTAGTATTAAAAAAACAAGAGACAGTTGTTACATAGAAGCCGACACACCAAATACTTAAAAACTTTATCTTTTTAATGAGACCTATATCTGACATCAGTCTGAACAGATCACTCTCCTGAACTGACTCTCATGCACAAAAGAACGACCATCCACCCAACACGAATGGGGGAATGTACTGGATAAAGAATTACTTCTTCTTCTTTGCGTCAGAAATAGAATAACCAAAAAAATAAATAAATAGACAAATAAATAAATGCACCTCTTTCCTAAATCTGTGTCCAAAACAAATTGTATCGTGATGCAAATATGGATTTTGCAACTCTTTTGGATTTTGCACCTCCTTTGCACATCTTTTCATTCGTCTTACATTAAGAAGACCGAGCTTCCTTCCTCTGTTTCATTAGCTTCCACATTTCAAAATAAGCACAAAAATTCACCATTTCCACTCTTTTTCTGTACACAATCCAACAAGGTCATTTTAGGGCGTGCTAAGTTTAATGTCACATGAAGTGTTTTAATCTTAATGAAATGTAAAGGATAGTTGAGTTCTCCGGATGAGCAAACACACCGGGTGGATCGGTGATCTGTTGCGAATGCGAATCAGTTTAGGAGCGCAACCTGCTCAGACCGGAGTCAGATATAGGTCATATTAAAAAAGAAAATGAGAACGACCAAACAACAAAAATCAGATTTTGAGATGTAGCCTAGATAAATCTGTGACACACAGACAAAAAAAGATCAGATTTGAGCCACTTTTACCTGCAGAGTGCACAAAGCCAAAGTGTCTTATACCTGAACTGAAAACATCAGATTCAAAGTGTTTTTTGCTGTTCACACTGCAAGTCTGGGCAACATATGAAGAAAAAGATTAGATTTGAGCCACTTTTAACCGCAGTGTGAAAGCAGCCATTGTCATGTTACTCCCTGCTTCAAGTTTTGATATGGCAGGAAGGAAACAAAGTGGTGCAAATACTTGCACTGAGACTGTCACAAAAACATGCATCTCCTCGTTTGCATCTTCTTGCATAAGGAGTTATCACACATTCAGTAACCACTGTTCATCACTGTTTGAATGTCTGCAGCCTACCAAAGGAACATAAGCAACTACAGCCTACCACAGTAAACCTATTACATACCACTTTGCAAAAACTGTACGCACAATGGTGATGTATGAAACTCGGTTTAGAAGAAATTCTCCTGTTTCAAAACAAACTTACAATAACAAGCCCCTCCCCCAAAAAGAGTCCCGATTCAGCATCACTATTCAGAGCAAATTCAGTCAACCAAACCGTACGGATCTCCTGTTTACGAGCTGAGCGCAATAAACCAACAATAAACTATTCAGTTTCCTATTTACATCAACATAAAAAGTTCATAACACAATTTGTTTAAAAAGGTGGATTTTTGAATTGCAAAAACAGTTCAAAAGCCCACCCCAACCATGTCAGTCTTTTTTCCACTACTCACCTTCTCTCAGAGTCTTTCTCAGCTCAGGCCTCTCTTCCCCTTCTGAAAGCCCCTCTTCGTCCTGTGATGCTGCAGGATGCAGGGTCGACTCAGGAGGTGAGCTTATGTGTGTGTACGAGTCAGAGAAAGAATCTGTGTCAGGGCCAAGAAAGGGTTCACTTTCAGAGTGACTAGCAGAGACGCCTTGCTGCTCAGGGTCGGCGGTCAAACAGGTGAGGTTCTCAACTGGAGTGGCACTGAGGGTGGGCTCCTTCATATGGAAAGCGTGTGGAACAGCTGCATCTTCACTGCTCTCTAGAGGTGCTACCTGGAAAGCAACATGCTGAATAATATAATACAAAAACTGACTGTAAATTCAATTTGGAAAAAAAACATTTTTTTCCTTGCTGGAAAATTATCATTCAACAAATTTCAATAACTAGTGATATATTGATCTGCTACACTTCAGAATGTGCAGAATAACCTGCTCCTTTAAAAATCACTGTAACTGTTTAGAAATTAAGTTCAAGGGCCCATATTACATACACTTCACTGATATTTCACCCCTAAAGACTGTATGGTTTTGTATACCAAAAACGGTCATTTTAAATCTTTTTTACAAGACCATGCTCAACCCCTCTTTCTCTACCTCTCTTTCTCTTACATATCGTTGTTGTTGGAATAAAACCCATCATCACTAAAATCTCTCAAGGGAGACGGAAAAAAATCTTTACTTTCAATTAAGTTAATTTAGAAATTATTCATTAACTGACCTTTTATAGCCGACATTCTCAAAGTCAGTCCTGAGGACCCCATTTAAAGAGAATAGGCAGTAATATGGAAATGTCTTAATGGTTGTGACATCACAACTACAATGACTTCCGGATACGCTGTTTACGTCTTTGCAACTTAATTTGCCTACACAAACTGTACACTGCAAAAAGTGGATCAGGAAAAATTAGATTTTGTTTTTGAAGTTTGAATTAATGTAAATTGTTGCTTTACCTATTATACTGCTTTATTTAACATACTTTTTATTTTTACATTAAATAAAGTATATATATATTTATATTTTATTTATTCATTTATTGACTGGGGAATGAATGGTACTATTTGATTTCCACAGTATGTCAAAAGCCTTGATATGCAAAGATTTGGTAGCAAACCTGAGGTGCATCACGACCGTTGTTATGTTCAGCAAGTCCGTCTGTGAACTCTGATCTTTGGGAGTGGTCTGTTTGCTCCATCTCGAGCTGTGCTGGTTCTGAGCAGACTTGTCCCCCTTGACCTTCAGCCAATGAACCCACACTTTCTATTCCAGACTCCTATTTATAGAAATAGACAAGACATTTTAAAGCAATGTTTCAACCAAAAAATTCTCATTTTAATACTTGTCTAATAGTTTTTCTTCAAAATAGTGGATCAACCGAGACATTTTTGGTGTCTTCAGTTTGCTTTATTAGTTGTGCCCTTGAGCTATGAGGCCAAAGTAGCCAAGATGCAATGGAAGCTTATTCCTCACCTGTAAGCACTGAATAAACTGCCTGTCTAATTCATCACAACTTTGACTCAGTGAAGAATATGCATGTCAAACTGGGGACCTTCTGGGCCGAAAAAGCTGCAGAGATTAGCATTAACCTTCCTCTAATGATCTGAATTCAGTTTATGAAGCCTTGCTAATTGGTCAGGAGTGTTTAATGAGGCAGTGCACTGAAGTCTGCATTGTTCTCGCCTGCAAGGACTGGAGGCTGACACATGTGCCATCCAGTGTCATAAGCACATAAGCAAGTCTATCTGAGATTACTGAACAACTAACTCCATTTGGTTTGAAGCATGTCATGCAGCTAAAATGCTAGTTGGTGACTATAAGCTTCTGTTACCTGTCAGCTACATCAGCCTTGTAGCCCCAGAGCAGGACTAAAGAAGCACACTTCAGACGACCAACATCTGCCTGACTGACTACATTTGGGCCAACATTTGATATTTGGTTCATCCATCCATTTAATGGTCTCTTAAACTCCCTTAACATTGCTGCCAGAGGAGCTACGGCCAGTGAGTGAAATGTATCACAACATTGAACCTGTGCCTTTCTAAATGCTTTCGATCATTGTAAAAAAAGATGCAAGAGGCTTTGTTTATTGCTTAACAGACAGTGATTTTTTTCCCCCAAATCAAGCTCACTTAGATTGCTATTCAGATCACTAAGCACTTATTCTTGTTTTGTACAATCAGAATATTCCCATTCTTGCACTGGCTTGTTCAGAAATGTCTGAATCTTTAGCTTGGCAAGATCAAGTTCTTTATACACAAAATGAAGGCAACAACAGCATTGAGAAATCATGCAAGTACTGGAGAGGAACGGATTAAACGGCAGGACTTTTTAGGTTGGCTTTGAAGGGTTAATGGTCACACCAAAGACATAAGTTGGATGAACATCAAGCTTTCTCTTCTTCACCCACAGCACAGCTCAGAAAACGGTATCAGCGGAGATCTCCAGCAAATACAGACTTGCCAGCCCTACCTTAACACCACGACACATACCTTCACCTCTGGCGTAAGAATTGTCCAGCTGTTGCCATTGGCACTGCTGCTGTTGTCAGACATCACCCCCTGATGGCTCTGTCCAGCAACGGCAAAACACAAAAGGCATGTGCATCAAATCACCAGAGCCAGGTTGAGTGACACAGCAGCCCGGCAGGTTAATTTCCATGCTCTGCTGCTCATTTGAATGCTGTATTATTCATTGTGCCCACAATAAAGGACTATTCAAACATGAGCAGGAGCGAAGAGCAAGAGGGAAGGGTACAATAGACAGAAAGACGAGCATGAGAGAGCGAAGTCCACTGCAGGCCCCTGTCTGAGAAAGGAAGAAAATATAGTGGGTAAAATGGTCCCACAAAAGATGGAGATGCTGTGAATGCTTTTCCACTTCATTAGTAGTTATCTTGCGTTGTCACAGCGCCTTTCCTCTGGCCGGCAAATGTTTTGGCAGGGAGCTGCGTAACTAAGGATGTCAATGACCGTGGCATAGGAAAAACGTTTGCGGAAGACAAAGGTGGTAGTTGCATTCATGGCAGCATCGCTGCGCCGGAGTTGCCGCTCGCTATTTGAATACCAGTGAGAAAAGTAGCGGTGGGCTACTTTTCCAACTAGGTCAAAGACTTGACAGTCATTCTGGTTTACGACTTTGAGTACAAATGAGCCTTTTAGCGCTGAAGCCTGGTCTGGTAAAAAGAAAAGGAACTTCTTTGGTGTTCTTTATGGCCAGAATTGCAACAAGTAACCCTTTTACAAACACTACAGTACCAGACAGGGCACTAAGCTTGGAAGATAATGTAAATTTAGATGATTATTGTCTGCCAAATGATATAATCATGATCCAAATTCAGTTATGAAGTATTTCAGTCAGCGATACAGAGCCTTACCCTATAGCTTACAATTTCACTGACAGCAATAAAATGGCTCTACAAACTGCCAACTTTTTTCCGAAAACAACTGTCCAATTTCCTCTCTATCGGAGTTTGGTCTTGGGTTCTTTTGCACGTACCCTATAGCACACTGGGGGCCACAGGGCCTGCTGAAAAATCTCATATATCAACTTTGTGTCAATTTATTAAATTCATTTTGGTCATATCTAAAAAATGGTCAAATATTATTTAAACATTATAAAAATGCTATACGCACCGGTCAGTCACAATTTGGGCCATCTCGCCCACTTAATGAATTAACAGCATTGTCATAGAACCGCGCCACCTCTATTGCATATGCAAGTCAGGGCAGCTGCAGAGAAAGCTAGAAAAATACGGTGCTGAGTGGGGAAAAGTGGGTGATCGTATTACGATCAGATTACAAATCACATTGAGTGGTCTGATAATGAGGTGGACAGAAATAGATCTTGACAACATTTAACACTAGCATGGAACAGAATGCGTTTTCTATATCTGCATATAATTGTGTGAGTGCTGACCAGCAGGTGAGAGGATAACCAAGGAAAGGAAAGATGGAGGACACGAGAGGCTTAGGTTATTCCCAAACCAAGTGCCTTCTTGCATTCTGGGCCAGTGAAGTATCCAAGCCCAGCTTATTGATCTGTGTTGTAACATAAGAAAAAATAAATTCAAACAAAAACAATATGATTTTTACAAAATTTTTACAAAATTTTGCAAGAAGCCTCAACAACTAAATAAACCTCCACAACAGCTTCCACTCTTTTCAGGAGACTTGCTTTTTCAAAGAAATCTGCAGGGATATTTTTCCACACCTTTAAAGTTCAGTCTCAGACGTTGCATTTTCTGCTTTTTTTTTTTACAATCCAAATAATCCCAAACACATTCAGTGACACTGAGGTCTGGACTCTGCAGTGGACAATCCGTTGTTTTTTGTTTAACTTGCAAATGTTCTTCTTTTTTGTCTGATTCCTTTTCTCTGTACCAGTTTCTTTACAGCTACTCATCCTTTCAGACCCACAGTGCTGAGCTGTCTTCTCACAGTGCAAGGATGGACAGAAACACCTGTGGATGTTTTCAGATCAAAGCAGCTTGATTTTTTTCCTCTCTCTCTTTAAGTGCTGTTTGTCTGAAGTTCTGGAGGTCAACCAGGTCTTGCAGCTGGTTGTTAGGAGTCACATTTTGTCTGTATCTTTTAATCATTTTGTCAACTTCAGTTTCGTAAACTTTGTAAAGTTATCTTATATCTTTTGCACAGTACTGTATATATAAATACAATCCGAGCACAACACACCTTACAAAACACAAGCTTCAGTATCAGTACCGGAAGGGCAAAACTAGTATCGAGCCATCTTTACAAAGTCGTAAAAAAGAAGTGATCACTGGCGTGACACTTTGTGACACACTTCACTGTATATTAAGGATCTTTTTTCTTCCCCTCGCCACAGTAATTTGGGTCTGCTAATAGAGGGTCTCCCATGAGAGGCTGGTGAATGTAGCCTTGGGCCATGAGAATTGCTCAGGATATAGTGGAATGACTTAAATAGATAACAGCTAAAAATAGTGCTGGGGGGGGGGTCAACTGAGCTGAATATGAGGGATACGGACAGAAAACACCATTCAATACAATTATCTTCCTTTTACAACACATTTAAGTAATAGGGGAACTCCACCAATTTTTCAAAATTTCTGAATAACTAAGTCATTGAGACATGAACAGAGTTATCCATATTCATTTTATTTACTATCCAAAATCACCAATGTCTTCTGAGCTTTCATATGTAATACTGATGATGGTAAAAGTCATAAATCTGAAAAAGTAAGTTTTCTTTGGGGATTATTTTGTCTTACAGCACCCTGCACATACCCCTCCACCATCAATGGGTTAAAACAAGTGAATTAAAATGCATTAAGCCAAAACGTTTTCATGTGTCAGACATCAGGCAGCATATGTAACCATTTCATGTAATAACTTAAGGGAGCTTTCAGAGGCACTGTCCGGTTCCCATCACCACCACTGTTAACATTTCAAACTCAGAAAGTTTCTCTAAAACAGAGCATTTCACACCAAATCGCTCTGAATAACTTTGTTTACATCTCAACCATTTATTTGGGTAGAATTTTTTGAAAAGTCGGTGGAGTTTCCCTTTAAAGCGTTAACAAGCACTTAATCTGCTGTAACTATGACTGAGGCATGAAGCTGGCACTTCTTCTCATAGTAAAAGGGGAAAGTTCTTGACCACAGAGCCTGAAGCCAAATTAGACTTTCTGGGAGCTGCATCAAATCAACAAAGCGGCTTCCATTTAAAGGTTAAGTACATATACTGCAGAAATGACAAACGCTGCAGGTAAGTTTGCAGGAACACATACAACGATAGCATCTGCCAACGGAAATAGGTGAACCGACAGACACACCAGAAAAGTCTCGTTAGATTTGTTTAAAAGTCTGCCACAGCACCGTGGACGATGTTTAATGTTCAGGTTATCCCGCTCATTCGTCATCCTCTCGCTTCCTCGGCGTCAAAGTGCCCAAACAAGGTAAAAGTCTGTCGAATGTTAATCCTGAAGTTGAATTTTCCGTTCCACCTTAAAGGGTGCAGCAGTTCCAGTCTGGCGCCTCAGCCTCAGGCACCAGAATGGTAACTGCTGCAGCATTTAAGGTGGAACGGAAAATTCGAATAAGAAGTTGGCGAGTTAAAAGCTAACTTCTGCTTCGTTGAAAGAATGTATTAAAATACTAATGTTGGTGTATTAGGATGAAAGCCTGTTATTTCCTGCATTTTGTCTTTTGGCCAACAGTGTAACTCTGAGGCTGACAGCTAGCTTAGCTCGCTTATCTGAGCTCAAACACAACACATGCCGGAAACGAAGGGAAAGTTTTGATGCTGTGTCGAAGTAAACAACAGGCTACCACAAACTTCGTAGCTATCTAAGAGAAACAATACAGAAGTAGATAAAGAAAATATCTTACCTCAGAACTTCTAAAATCCCCCAGTTCACTCCTTTGCCTGAGTGTGAAAGCCTTGAGTCGAGTGCGAGTCTGACAGATTTTAGTCTGTTGTTTTTTTTTTCTGACCTTAATCGCTCTCCACCAATCAGAAGTCAAATGTTCACCAAAGTCCCGCCTCCGCTCACAGCGCTCCACCAATAGGAGGGCAGAAGGCCAGAATGACTGGCAGACACAGGTGACAAGGAGCCAAACGGCCTCTTTTAAGATGTTAGCAATGGTTCCAAGTTATTTTTGCAATATTAATTTTGGTCACACGTCCTTTGTCTGCTCATTATAGATCAGTTAAAGCGAGAAGGACAAGAGTGGACTAAAGGGCAAGAGACGGGGAATGGGTGTGATGGGAAAGGCTAATCTGCAGGCTATGCAAATACAAGCCTGAGCCTTAGGGTGTTTGTGAACTTGTCAGCAGATATCCAGATATCGCCAGTGCCAGTTCTCTACTCATCTGAAAGTTCTGTGGAGTGTATTTTACATAATAATAATGATGTGTCTTGTAAGTACACCCCATGAAAAGTTTAGACCTTTTCAACATGTTTGGAGATACATATCAATCTGGTCTGCTCATTGTTATTGGAGTTGGCCTTCAGAAAGAAAGCTGTAGATGCCCGAGTCTGGGAAGGGGTTGATGAAGATATCCAAAATGTTAGAGATCAATCCTTTCACTGTTTGGAAGATCACTCCCTCGCATATGGAGAAGATTTAAAACCATTGGCAACTTGTCCAGGCCAGGCTGTCTTAGCAAATTTAACCCAAAAGCAGGCCGTCAGATGCTGAAAGTCTCTAAGAACCCTGAAATTTCATCACAGAATGTGCAAGTAGCTCTTGCCCTTGCCACAATTGATGTAAAAGTATATGCATTTACCTTTAGAAAAAGACTGGCACAAATTTGACCTACATGGGAGGGGAAAGCTTTGTTTAAAAAAAAACATTGAGGCAGGACTAAAATTTGCTAATCAAGATATAGGACTTCTGGAACAGTGTACTGTGGACAGGTGAGTCAAAGATTTGTTTGGCGACAGTACCAAAGCCATGTTTGACCAAAACTAAAGATAGCAGTTGATTAGAAAAACCTCATACCCAGTATAAAGTATGGTGGTGGGAGTGTTATGGTTTGGAGCTGCTTTACGACCTCAGGGCCTGACCGACTTGCAATCGTGGAATCTACTCTGAATTCTTTCATACATGAAGTGCTTGAGGAGAATGTGAGGCCATCTGCCAAAGCATTGAAGCTGAAGAAGTGGACCTTCTGACAGGATAATGATCCTAAACATACAAGTAAATCCACCAAGGAATGACTCAAAAGGAAGAAATGGAGGGTTGTGGAATGGCCTAGCCAAAGCCTAGATCTGAATCCTATTGAAAGGCTGTTAAGATCTGAAATGGGCTTTACATGCAAGAATCCCCTCAAACATTGCAAAGTTGAAAGAATTCTGCTTTGAGCAGTGGGCAAAAATTTCTCACAGTAGATGTCAGAAACTGGTAGGCAGTTACAGGAAATGCAATGGGAGAAATGCCTATATAAAGTTGTTTCTGCCAAAGAGAGCAGTACCAGTTACTAGAGCCAGGGATGTACTTATTTTTTAACAGAGAAAAATTACATCTCAGTTATGACATTTCATGTCATTTTTTTTAATAAATGATTACAAACTCAAATTTTAATTGTATTTTTTTTGTTCGATTACACAAAGTGTCTGTATACATACCCTTTAACTGAAGATCAAATACTTATATGTCCACATATGTCAAAAAAGAAAAACATGTTGTTGAGTGTACTTACTTCTTCACATGACTGTAACTGTTTGCTCATTTGTCTGAGTCAGGTCTGACAAGGAGGAGGCGATAGCCAAAGTGCAGCAATGTAAATGTTAAACTAGGTGAACAAAGTGTACCTACAATTATCATATCGTCATGTCTTGTGTTGTATCTGTCAATATTAAAACACACACACAAATCAAACAGTAAATAAAGTCTTATAAACAAACATACAGAAAACAAAATAAGCCAAAATAAAAAAAAAAAATCCAGTGAGTTTGGGCTTACTCCATATTGGATCACAGATCCATGAGATGAGCCAATGGGAGGAGCTGGATTTGGACTCCACATCACCCCTGGACTTCTATTGCTGGGGTTACATGTTCGAACCACCCCTGGGGCCATTATTTGGTTTGTCTGTGACTGCGTATGTTAGTGTAGATGTACACACTCACTGAGCACTTTATTTAAAAAAACGCTAATATTGGGTAGGGCCTTCTTTTGCTCTCAAACAGCCTCAGTTCTTCATAGTATGGATTCTACAAGATGTTGGAAACGTTTCTTTGAGATTCCGGTCCATGTTCACATAAAACCAGTCTGAGATGACTTATGCTTTGTGACGTGGTGCATCATCATGCTGGAAGTAGCCATTAGAAGATGCTACATTGTGGCTATGAAGGGATACACATAGTCAGCAACAAACAGACTGTGGCATTCAAGCGATGACTGATTGGTATTAATGAGCCCAAAGTGTGCCAAGAAAACATTCTTCACAAAATTACCCCACCTCCACCAGCCTGGACTGTTCACACAAGGCAGGTTGGGTCCAACTGCTCAGTTTTGATGAGCCTGTGCCCACTGCAGTCCCACCTTTCTGTTTTTGGTGGACTCAGTTGGTCTCATAAATCCACAAATAAATATATTTGCAAGGTTGTCAGATAAGATGTTAATCAAATATCATATATTTAGCAGCTGGATTGGACAGCACATCTAGACAGCCAATCAGATTGCAGGATTCACTGACCTGATTAGAGCACAGATGCAGGAAGTTGCAGAAAAAGCTAGCCAATCAGATGGCAGGATTCAGAAGGCACAGGTTACTGGCAGCCAATCATAGAGCAGGATTCAGCTTAATGATCAGAGTGCAAAAAACAGCCTGTTTAACTGTAAAGGATTAAGAGAAACTGGAAACATTGGAAAAAGGTCATTTAGAAATTAATTATGACTTTTTTTGGTACATAAAACCATACAAACTTCATATGTGAACTATGGGTAAAAAAGTGAACTTTTAGTAGTGAACTTTTTGTCAGTGCAAGTCAACAATGTCAAAAACTAGCATGTGAATAATGTGCAGCAAGTTATTATACATTATGATGCCTATCGTAGCTGAAAACTATTAAAGGTGGCAAAGAACTTGGCGAGTCAAGTGTGAGCAGAGCAGTAATCCAGTAAATGGTTATGAAAGGCCTCACAGCGAATGGCAAGTCCATACACAGATGAAAGAATGCAAACAAATCATGATGGAGGTTAAAGTCATTATAAAAGTCAGTATAATCCATGTGATCTTTGATTTCGTCGACCTAAATCCACATTCTCGTTCTCCATTTGCAGAAAAAATCATTTTAAATATATTACATGAAGCCAATATATCGCTCCTGTCGGAAGAAAACCTTGTATCTCCATTTTGGTCGATTTTCAGTTTTTGACATGATTTGAAAACCCCTGTTGGCCTTTACATTCTGTGTAAGTTTCATGATGAATGGAACAAAAGAAACGGCCCAAAATTCTGGTTCCGTTGACTTACCTTGAAAGTAAAGTATGTTTTTTCCTTCTCCTGTAAAGTCACCATTTTGGAGATACAAGGTTTTGTTCCGACAACAGCGATACATTAAAATACCTCCTGAAGCATTTTGGTGTGGCATCACTGCATGTACGCCCAGACAAGACAGACAAACATGGAGCAATTTGACTACATCTTACAGTCTGTATTACGTTTGTGTTTATATGTTCTCTCTGTTTTGCATTTGGTGTAAAACAAAAATAAAAGAAACCATGGAGTAGAAAACTGCACAAATGTAAATCAGCTGTGATTGGATACAGGAGCATTAGGGCCATGCTTTGCAGTCTTCTTCGTGATTGGCTTAGTTCATCAATAGTCGACATCAGATGTAACAACCTTGAAAGTAATCAACTGTCTCATTTCCCCAAACTCTTCTTGTACTCTCCATTTCTTCTGCGCCTCTTCTCTCCACAGTGCCTCCACGTTCTTCTGGGGTTGGAGAGGAGCAGTAGGAAGGGAGGAGGAGGACAGAAGCAGTACAGAAGTTTCTGGACGCAGCCCTGCTCTTGTACTGCTAGAAATAACTGCCCAGCTGGGTTGCCAAGATGGCTGCCGAGTGGACAGACTTTGCTATAAGGACTTTATTAGAGCACAGCTGGAGGGTTCTGCTATCCAATCAGAATGCAGGATACTGGGATCCAATCAGAGATCAGAATATTTGCAGCCAATCAGAAAGCAGGACTCAGATATTCAGAGAATAATCATTCCTTTTAATTTCAATGTGAACAGACAGGCTAAACTGCTGTAAAGTGAACAAGAAATAGAGTTCTGCTCATAAGTTTACATACCCCTGGCTGAATTAGTAACTTTTTTAATATGACTGATCATACAGAACTCATAGTGCTTAAATAAAGTTATTTAGCGTCACAGGTAGACATGGTGACCCCTGGTTCCATTCACCACCATTATGAATAAATCAGAGTTTTTCTCTGAACCAGTTCACATCAAAACATTCTGAATGACTTTGCTTACATCTCAATAACTGAATTAGACGTACATTGAGAAACTCAGTGAAGCCCCCCCTTCAGGTCATCTCTAACTGACTTGCTTATGTGGTTTCTGACACTGTGTGACACACTGTTATCTGTAACTCTATTTAAACGTACAGACCAAAATCAAGCTTAAAGAGAGCTGCTGCTGCTACCGTTTATTTCAGGGGTCGCAACATGTGGCTCTTTTACTGCCCTGTTGCGGCTCCACAGCAGAATTAGATATTTAGGTAAAAATAAAATAATCCTCCTTTGTAGTGAAATAAAGCTCTGCTGATCGATCAACACAGTTTGATCAACAAATGATCTTAAATGCTGGAGTTGATGTAGAATTTTAACTCTGAAGGTGGGCGTGTAGACTGCTGGTCACATAGCAACGCAGACAACAATCTCGTCTAGCTAGTATCTAACGAAAAAGGCAAATAGAAAAATTTAAGACGAACATCGATGATTTGTTGACGACTGAACTCATTTACATTTATAATTGCAACGAGGAACTGTCAAACACTAAAGTCGCGAAGACGAAGTCAGCTTCTCATTCGAATTGTCTCGTTCCACCTTAAATGGAACAGCAGTTACATTCTGGCGCTACCATTTAAGGTGGAGCGGGAACATTCGAACAAGAACAAGCTGGTGAATGAGAAGCTGACTTCAGCCGAAAAGTCAAAAGTTGAGAGACATTTTACAAGAAACTCTTCGACTTTTAAAGAAAAGTTTCCTACAGGAGATGCAAGAAAAGCAGCTACAGCTGAACTAAAGCTTTGAGTTGTGACCCCTGGTTTATATCTACACAAAGTGTTAGTTTTTTTTTTTTCATTTTTATATTAAACAAAAATATTCTGTATATTTTAAGAATAAATCTGAATTGTACTAAAATAATTGGTTTATATTCAGTTACTATAAACACAAATAGAGACATTCGAGAATTTACATTGAGTCGTTTCCTGAAGAATCATAATCGAATCAAATGAAGTTCAGAGATTTACACCCCCAATATTTATGTTCTCTCTTTCTCTCCTGTTTTCTTTCTCCAGATCTCAAAATCAGTGACATTCCCCTGTAAGTGGAACTAGTTACTTGGTACTCAAAATCTGCTGTGAAGCAAACAGAAAACTGGACAAAGGACAGAAATTTGGAGTGTGAGGATGAAATATTTGAAAACTGATCAGTAAAACAGTCTTGAGTATTTTTTTTTCTGTGCAGTGTGTATTAGACACTGTGTAAAGCACAATGTGAAGCCATGCCAGTTTTACAATGTTGCCTTTATTATTTGAAACCAAGCACCACGGTGAGCTACATCACATGTGTGCATTATTTTAATGCACTACACTGAAGCTCAGGTTCACTGCAGGTCGTCTGGCCTTTCGCCCTCAGGGACCGGTGCTTCGTGTTTTGGCTCAGGGCCCTTTGGAATCAAGGACATGACAAGGCCATTACTTCTACATCGTACTGCATCTGCTGTCCGGCTGTTCTTCTACTTCAAAACGTCATGGACACTGAAAAGCAGGAGCAGAAGCCAAATTTCTACACACAGGTCAGGATTTACAGCTCACAGTGCTCGTTTGTAGATAACAAGTGTTTTTTTTGGCTCATCAGTCAATCTGTCTCAATTGTACTAGTCCGCCATCTAGTGGAACAGCCACTAACAGGCCCTTTTGTTTTGTTTAAAGGGCAATTCCACCCAAATCCCATGACATAATGTAAATTTCTGCCATGTAGGCAGTTTGGAAGATTTCACTAAACTCCCACCCTCTGTATTTGAAAAGGAACTGGCAGATAAGTCACTCAGTGGTCTGGGTCAGAAATGTATACATTTTCAAATATAGGACCAATCACGCTCCTGAAAATCTGTTCTTCTACAAAATTTAGTTCCAGCCCTACCTTAACAGATGTCTCTCTAACGTCCACATACTCCTGACCTCTTTGCAGGATGACTAGATCTACAGGAGCAAACTGACCACCCTGACAGCACAAGCTAGTGTTCTGCCTAGAAGCCACAATAAAGCCACAATATGGGATTCCAGAGCTAAAGAAAAGGAAAAGAACTTAATTTAAAAGTGTTATTTTGAATGTAAATTATATATTTGATGCAAACATTGGTGTCATGTATCATTCAGTACATATTGTATTTATTGATATAGTAGCTTCACAGGAGAGGGCAAAAACTTCCTTAACCTTTAATGTAAGGAAGCGTAAAGAGGTTTTATTCAGTGTCATCATATTTGAAGAGGAATTCCACTGATTTAGCAAAATTTCTGCACAATTCAGTTGCTGAGTTGTGAACCAAGTCATTCAGACTATTTTAATGTGAAACGGTTCACTGTAGAGAAACTTACCCAGATTTCTATAGTTGTGAATGGAACCTGGGGTCACAATGACTACAACACAAATATAGCCATTTTATTTACTATCCAAAACCACCAGTGAACCTACACGTGTCTCTGGAGTTCTTAAATGTAATATAAAATATTGTGAATTTTTTCTAAAAGGACTATTTAACCTTTTAATGCCCTGCATGCATGTTTTTTTTACCACGAATAGATTTAAAAAGTTCATTTTAGGCCAAACATTTTTCTCAAAACTATCACAACTGTTCAGGCATCAGGCAGCGTATTTGTAACATGTTACGTGTAACGACTTTCTGGAGGGAGAGATATTCAGTGCTTCAGATGTCCGGTTCCCAACACTAACGTGAACAGTTCTGACTCCAGTTTCTCTAGAATAGAGCATTTCACATCAAACTACTCTGAAAGGCTTCATTTCTGATTAAATACATTGTAAGAAATCGGTGGAATTCTCGTTTAAGGCTAGTGCGCCACTACTGGCATTTGGTGGCATCTACCTTTCTATATACTTCTAGGGAGCATGACTAGGTTAATTCACTTCTAGCTCATTTTTAGTGACAGTGCTTGGTGAATTATGATTATATTCCTCCACGCAGTCCTGGTTGAATAGTAAATAAAGAAATATGGCTGTTCCTGATTGTAGCTTTAAAGCTTTCCACTGCATGTTAAAGATCACACATTGCAGATGGTTCATTTGCAACTAAAGCCATTCTGTTTAACTGGGATTGCACTCTTTAAGGTCTTAAATGTGGTTCATTATTTGAGTAGATTTCTTGTTTTGAAAGTATGGATTTGAGTGGGATGCCCATTTCGGCGCTTTGCTTACCTCCAACAGCAGGCTCCTCAGCGCACCATCAGGCTCCAAAACCAAAATGTTAAGAGGCAAACAGCATACAAAGTGAGAAAGATCCCTCCATTTCTCATCTCTCCAGTCAGAGGCACCCCAGGGTGGGGAAACCCTGAATGATTCAGGGGGGCCAGGGATTACAGACGGCATTTTTAACTAATACTATTGTAATAACTTCTCCAGCCTGCCCCCCTGCTGCCTCTCATGCCTCAGTCCAGAATCTCTTTGATGCACCAGCAGCAGAGCAGAAAGTAGAGGCACTCTTTCAGAGACTGGATCACCCCGTAGGCGATGTTCCCTCCCAGCAGGTTCTTGCCCCGGCCGAAGCCGAGAGCGGCGTCCCTCAGGTTCTGCCCCAATGAGGAGGGCATGGCCTGGGGCAGGGGCCGCTGCGGGTGCATTTCAAAGAAGCGGAAGAAAGGCCGGAGGAAGTGGGAGAGGGGAGCACGGGAACCCGCTTGTTGCTGCGTGGTGAAGTTCTCCAGTGTTTCTCCAAGTATTCAAACCTCACCTCCTCTTGAGGTAAAGGGGCTTATGGAGCCCAGAACAGCTGATCCCAACCCTCTACAGCAGCTGTGGTGCTGTGTGTGTGCAGTCGCTTTGCCCCTCTGGCCCCCTCTCTCTGCTTGTATAGGTTATATTAGGCTCTGGAACGTACCAGCTTGGCAGCCCACTTCCGAACATTATGCGTCCATTCTACTGTACAAGCGTCAACACCTTTAATCTCCTCATTGTCCACATCTAATTCCTGCTTTGTTTCAGGGAAAGATCCTGAATGCTTCTGTCAAAACAATTCCCCCCAAACGCACACCCGACTGTTCATTCTGTCCCCTCTGGAACTAGCGCCTTTTGTTCTAACGTGGGTTAGGAAGCCATATATGGGGTCAGTGGATCTCCTGGTGCGTCAATGTGAAAGCAAAGGCCTGCTCTTAAACTGATTTAAAAGCAAAGAATTTGTGCTGTATGCATACGAGAACAGCATGCCTATGGACGCAGTTATGAGTGGTAGGCTAGCAGATGTACTATTCATTCAAATGAAGGGTCAAATTTATTTGAAATCACCCAAGGCCTCTCGACTGACCGTCTCAGATTTGCTTAATACCTTTAGGAGAATTTTCTTGGCTCAGATCATTTTTTCGCCTAAAATAAAGCAGAAAAAAGGTGAACTATGATGCCAGATGAACATCCTCCAGGGTTGTTCTCTGGTTCTACCAAAAGAGAAACAGAGATAAGCAGGTTACTCTTATCACAATGATTTTGCCATTTGAGGGTTAGTATTAAAGAGATATGAATATTTTGAATCAATTTTCTGTTATTTGTCATGTTAGTGTTCTGGGAGAGCCCCTCAAACCCGATAAACAAACTGACTGATGCAGAGGCTAAAAACTATAGACAAGTATACAACGGAAGCTCATCCCACCTTCAAGATGCATCATCAGAAGGGGATTTAGTCTTTCAACCAAAAAATCTCACTCTCATTATTATTGTGGCGTCACTGTAGGAGACCAGTAGCCACTTTTACAACAGATGAAATGGTGGTTACGTTTTTTTTATTTTGGCCCAAGTGTCTCTTTATTAGTGGTTCATTTATTATCGTATTTATGAGCCATGTAAAGTAAAAATAATCCTAAAACCTAAAAAAAAATTACAGTAATTTATATTTGGAACAAACACTCCAATGCACTTTTTAAAGTCTCTACACCTCTAAATCTGCAGAATGGGGTTCAAATCCCTGCTCAGGCAAGAACATCACACTCTAACCAATAAGGGTCCCTGGGATAGACTCCCAACACTACTTTCTCGTACCTCTGTACGAGATTAAACTGTCACTCTGGATAAGACCTACAGGCCATAATGACATCATTACCTGATAGTATTACACAAATGCGAGAAATGAGAGAAAACGCCTTTTCCTGAAATATGGTGATTTGAAGTGGATTTACTCTAAAGGAAGCACAGGCACATCAGAAAGGGTAAATGTAGTCACTTCTAGATGTTGACAACAGCCTCCTCTCGTTATGGTCTGATCAGTAAGAGGAAAGGGCAGATCAAACCCACAGTTGACAGTCAAATCAATAAAATGCTCCACGTCTGAAACAGATGATAATATGTATTTATATATAAGCAATCTATAGTTCCAGATACATATGTAAACATATATTTCCCCCCCCAAAGAACAACATTAAAAGGAATATTAAAACAAATCTAAAGTAAAAATGCAACATAAAAAACACTTGTGCAGGTAAAGAGAATTAAACCTTTGGTTTAGAAAATGCATACAACTACAGCCATAACACCAAAAAAAACAAAAACAACCCTCCCTTAAAAACAAACAAACAAAAACAAACAAACAAAAAACACAATCACGAGAACACAAAGAGTTCAGAGGATCTCCATGCAACAGAAGGCTGTCGTGAAGTATGAAAACGAGCAAAGTTTGCTAATGAGCCAGTAAGGCCGAGCAGGCCGGATCATTCCAGGCTTTTCTAGCTCTCTCACACACACACACACACACACACACACACACACATATATATATATATATACATACACAGTACTGTGCAAAGGTCAGAGACCACCCTTCATTTATTTAATTTACAACCAGAACAGCCATTACGTTACTCCTTTTTTCCAGGAGATGTGTCTGAGAGGATTACACCTACAAATCAAGCAAAGAAACTGCCGGTGTTCTCAGAACAATGGACTGACCACCCCAGAGTCCAGACCTCAGCTTCACTGATTTTGGACTACACGCATCCTGAGAATCAAAAAATGTAAAACCAACTTCTAAAACTGAACTTTGGAAGTGTGGAAAAAATATCCCTGCAGATTTGTATAAAAAACTGAAAGCAGGTCTCTTGAAAAGAATAAAAGCTGTAGGGAAGGTAAAGTGTGGACACACTGAGTGCTGAAAACATTTATATTTAGTTGCTGAGACTTTTCTGTTTTCTGCTTTCTTCCTGAATAACTTGTACTTAATGGCTGTTCTGACTGGAAAATAAAATAAATGAAGGGTGGTCTGTCTTTTGCACACTACTATATATATGTCTTGGTTAGACTACAGATGGCACTGCACCTGTCACCTCGGACCATGCCCACTTCTGTAAAATACAGACCCACTGGAGTGAAGACATCAAATGGATTTGAAGATCTAAAAACGTACACAGCTAATTACACACGTCGCACTGAGCCACAGACAGAGCCGGCCTGCTCTCCACATCACTGCTGATGGCCTGATATTGTACAAACTGCATTTGGAAACTGAGCCGCAAAAGCAATTGTGTAGCTAGCAGCCGAGTAGACGTACTAAACAATACAACTGAGTTACACCATTTAGGTGAGTGTAATCCAGACTATCTACAACTCTCACATTTTTACACTGTCTTTTAGCCGCTCGATGAGGAAATCATTATGGCACCACGACCATTAAATTTAACCTCCAATATGGTAAATTTATAGGACAAGGAGAGAAAAAAAACTGGTATTGGTTTTCAATTGATAACACTTTACTGAAGAACAGCGTTTATAAGGCTACAGGACTCCTCTATAAGCGTTTCATGGCAGCTGACAAACCTACAGACATTTACAGAGCCTTTTCCAGCAAATGTCAGCTGTCATAATACTCGCCGTTAACAAAAGCAGGCAATTGCTGGAGGCTAAATGAGACAACGTGCATGTTTTGTGTCCAAGTCCATTATTTTCCTATTAAGTAATTCAATGAATGCATTATGTAACATTATTCTACAATACCTCCTTTATGAGAACACAAATAATTTTACTGCTTTAACATATTGAAAAGTATATAACTCATCTGTGAATTCTGATCTCCTCAAACTGACAACTAAGGACTTTTAATTCTGGCATGCTTTCACCAAAGAAGACCTCAAGTGACCATCATGGTGCAATGCCATGGCCAAAAGCCCTTTTATAAATATTGGAAAAATTGTCATTTTTGAGTTACAGCTGGTTCAGAAAGCCGTGGGCAGGTGTTTTTATTATAATCTATAATAATGTGTATTTATTTGAAAATGTTTATGGGTGTCCATGTACAAAGACGTTTCAGTTTCAGTGCTAATAACTTTAAAACATGATAAATATTAACAAATGTGTGGCTGCACCACCTGACATTTTCTAGGTTATAAAATAGATCCTGAATTTAAAAACGTGAAACATAAATAAATTATGTTGAAAGGCTTATTTGTCATTGACTCTGGGATCTAATATGTATGAATTATTATCTAAGCTGATGAAGTCGGGACGAAAGGTTTATTTCATTGTCATGCAGCCTCATCAATGCTGCCTTTCAGCAAAGTGTTCTTACTGTATGTTAATGTAAGAGTCATTTTGGATGATTTCTACTAATCAACTCACTGTTAAACGTTCATGCAATGTTCATGCAAAGGGCAGCTGGTGTTTTCAAATGGTGTCAAAACAATCATAATAATAATAATAATAATAACAACAACCAAAAAAACTGGCTTTACAAGGTTTTGGGATAGCGACAAATTACTGAAGTTGTCTGTTGGAGTGGTAGACTTGGGTGAAGCTTTTAAAAAAGTAAGTTTTAAAAAGATTAAAAAAACAATAAAACCCACTACTATCATCAGAAATTCATCCATGATTTTCTTCCAAAAGTCTGAACACCAAGACAGACTGTACTCAATCAACAGCAACATTCATAACCAAACTGTCTGACCGCATCCAAACATACAGGCCACGATGGGCCTTCCATGTGGACACGGTCGCAGACTTGATGAACATTTTGATACGTGCACATCTACGGCATATGTACATATTCTTATAAGTCGGTCGGCTGTTTCTATACAAATAGAAACAGCATCACAAGTGAGCATCTTGATTCATAGCAATCTGAATGGTTATCTATCTAGTTTCATTAAGTCACAGATCAGCACTAAAACAGGAGCACGACTGAACAGCAGGCTTAAGAGCATGTGCAAGAAGAAGACTAGGGATTGCCATCACCTAAAACCTGGACTAAGCCTGACTAAGCTTGTGTCGTATTTTTGCAGTGGCATTTTTGGCAAGAAGTTTTTTTTTCCCCCCGTTTCTTTTTTTTTCTTCTTCTTCAAAACACAAGACTACTGCGATCTACCAATGTGGCTGTGTTGAGTAAAAAGGCACAATTCATACAGGAACATATAACCGTGAAAAAAAGGAAAGGAAGGAGAAACTCCGTGTCCTGTCGCCACTCTCGTGTGGCGTTCGTAAAAACTGCATATTGTAGGCAACCTCGCCCGAAGTGACCACAATCCCCGGAATTCACTTGGAGCGTCTGTTCCTTTCCCAGACGAGTTGACTATAGTGCGAAGGCGCTAGACGTTTTATAGACTTTTAATGCTACTCTGCTTCAGAAGTGTGCATTATATTCAAACATAATGTCATTTTTATGAGCATCATTGCACCCTTCCATCTTCTTACGCAGTCCAGACTCCAGCACACATGGAGACAAGATTGTCGATGCGAACAGAAAAAACGATCCACAGAAAAAAAAAGAAAACAAATATACAGAAATATACAGTAAGAGAACATATGTGACAAGAATAAAGCCGGTTGATGACATCAGGTCGCTCTAGAAGATGACATCACGATAGAACGCAAATTCCCCTTTTAGATGACATCATAGAGAAGCCTGATTTCGTTTTTTTTCCCCTTTTTTGAGTCATTATAATGCTTGGCGCAACTCCATATACAGTCGTTTTCCCTCTGGTCTCCTCAGATCAGCTGATCCTTTTCGAGCTGCGAGGTTATGGACGTCCGTTGTGTTTCTGTTAGTCACGTTCCTCCTCCTGGGCTGGGGAAACTGTTACGAGTCTATATAGAGGCTACTTCAGCTTCTGTTTATTCCATCTGCAACATCACCTGGCATTAACTTCCTTTTCACATCAAGAGCTGCGAAGTTCAGGGAGTGTTCCTAATATTCCCAAAAGGGACTTTGGATAAGGGACCACTAGAGGAACCGATAGGACAGACGAATGGTATGCCAGTAGGAATTCTGTAGGCTGTGGAGAGCGATCTGTTGAATAAGGAGGCTGAAGGAGTTCCAATTACCCATCCAAAAACCCAAGAATCAGCATTCGTGCCTGTCTAACTGGGATCAAACCTTGGTTGAACAAGATCAGAGAAAAATTTACCAAGCCATTGGATGCAAAGTCTCAATCTTTGGAGTGCTACACACGGACAGTTCTGTTCACCTGAGTCATATAACATGACTCCAAGAATGCCCAGGCTTGCTGCTGTGGTAACAGCTGCACTTCAGTCCTAACTCAGGACAATGTGTAGACGAACGCTGACGTCACATTAAATTCTACACCAGTTTTGTTGGCTTTTCTTTTTTTTTGGCTTTTTTTTTCTCCATTGGAATCTTGCATTTACTTAAAGCCTGATTCAATTGGTGTGAACCCACTGTTGGTCCTTGAGTCCAATGATTGCATCACTTTAAAGTTTCGTGATAGATTGACCACAAAGTACAAAGCTCAGTGTTCCATTTTTTTCCTTTGAGGCAACGATTTGCTCACCCTCCCTGTAAGAAAGCCGATCTCTGGAAGAGTTCAAGTTAAAAGTGGCAGAGAAGGGAAAGGAAGGAGTAATTTCTGCAGACAGAATGCCAGAAGAATTGGGTGTGTCAGACACTTGAAGGGGCATGACTCTCCCCTTTAGGCTCTGCGCTCCACTGGCTGCTGTAGACACACTTCACTTCCTGCAGAGACAATCGGCAAGCGGTTGTCCATGTGATAACTGATCAGGTGACTGACGCTCTCGAAGCGGTGGTCTTTGGTACGCACCTACAGACAGAGACAAGAACGAAAGAGAAACAAAGAGAAAAGAACAAGATTAAATGTAAGTGCACATATAGGGAGGTAAAGCCGGGGTTACACTACACGACTTTTACCCGGATTTTAGCCCCGGTTCTCAGTCTGGCCGAGTCTGTGCTAGTTGGCTCTAGTCTGCAGATTTTTTGTCAGTTAGTCAGACTCGACATGTTTGTCGAACACGTTTGAGTTTTTCGACCCGACTCTGAGCGTAATCTAGTGTAAACTGGTCAGTGACTTAATCTGAATGGACTCCTGCAACAGCCAATGAAAACTGAGAGTGTGAAAGAAAGAATACAGCAAGTAAACAAAGAAAAACAGCTAAAAGTCTCTCAGCGTGTGGAGCGCAGCTTTTTAATGAGCTGAGTTTAAGGCACAAGCACAATCGAGCGTATGTACATTTAAAACTCTTACAAAAAAATAAATAAATAAATAAAAAATACCACACTGATCATATTTTTAAATCTATGCTTGTTTTGTTGAGCTATATAAGATGAAATCATTAGTCAGCGAAATGGGGACTCGATTGGCATGTTAACTGACTCGAGACTGAACTTGGAATCACCCTTAACTGACTTGCAACTCGACTCGAACTCTAGACTAAGCACCAAAATAATAATAAGACAAAACGAATTCAATTAGGACCGCCAACTTGCACTCGCACTCGAAAGGCTCAAGACTTGACTCAGGCTTGCACGAAGCAACTTGTGAATGTCTCTGCTTGAATTCTAAATGGTGATAATGAAAATGAAAAGAAATGGTTGAAGACAAACGTTCAATGTGTCAATTAATCGAATTAAAGCGAACAGAATCAATGATTCGCAATGATTAGTTGCTGATGTTAATTATGAAAAACTAGTTTTTTTTTGTTTTTTTTTGGTTGTTGTTTATGAACCAAAAGAGGGAAGACCCAGAGTGTCCAGAGCGTAGGAGCCGCTGTTGGAACATTTAACATTAAAGCGACCGTCTCCTAACACGTCTTCTTTTAGGTGATGGGCTGAAACTAACGATTGTTTCTACAGTTGGTCAGCCTAACTTCAAATTTTGTTGAAGTTCAGTCTACCATTAAACCAATCACCACCTTGGCATTACCCCCTCGCTCCCTCCTCCCCTTTCTTACCACTCCTTCTGGATCCACCAGCAACAGGTGCTTGGGCTGGCCTCCTTGCTGCCCCGTGAGCACGTACTGGCCCGGCGTCGTGCCAGACTCCCGAACCAAGAAGTCTCCGTCTTTGCTCAGCAACCTCTCGGCATGCTTGCGACTCAGGGGCCCATGGAACCAGGGCTCATTCTGCAGCTGCTCCGCCAGAGGGGGCACCACTGTTGCTGAGACCCCAAGAGCGTCATCAAATGGCTCTGCAGAGACAGGAAATATTCAGTTCATACTGATTACTGAACTCACTGCTCCTACATATTAAAGAAAGAACGGAGTGGGCAATGTTACACTCACTCATGTCAAAAGCATCTCTGTGAGCATTGCCATTAGCTGAGGCCAAAGGGGGGCGGGGTTTATCCACATTAACATAGGAGGGATCGTCAAACAGGCCACCTTCCTTTACCCCGACTGAGAAAGAAGGAAGGACAACAAGAAAAAGAGAAAGGTGGAAAGTTCAGCTCTTTAAAGAGTAGCATTAGCTGTGACATTCAGAGCGAAACTGAAAGCTTGACCTGCATTTAGAAGCCACTGATCAGCAACAGAGGCATAAAAATGCTGACTTGCTATGAAAAATGACCGAGAGCATAAAGAGAGAAATATTACAGATGAGACTGACCTGGTAGTGGAGGCAGAGGCTGCTTATGGATATCATTCATTCCAGGCTGTCCATAAGGCTGAAAACACACACAAACAACATGAGCACACACTTATGCACATGAACACACACACTATCACACACACACACACACACACACACACCCACACACACACCCACACACCCACACACACACACACACACACACACACACACACCCACACACCCACACACAATCACACTATCACACACCCACACACATAGTATGGGTCAGGTCAGAGGGTCTCACCAGCGTGGCTCCTGTGCTGTGTCCAGGACGTGTCCTCATGTCCACCAGACCTCCTGGGGGAGGCTGTTTCCCGGGGAAGTTATTATAGTACGGAACATCTTGGGGTAGGGCCAAGTCCTCTTCCTCTTCCTCCCACGCTGACCCGTCAAACGGGGCCATCCTGAGAGAGACGGAGAGACCGGGCTGTTTGTGAACCCATCAGATGAACATCACCAACAACTCCATTAAAAACCCTTGAGGAGCACTAATACTGTTACCACTACTACTAATAAGTCTTATTATTTTTCAATAGTAAGAACTATTACTCATAAATATGAAATAATCATTTTATAGTATTATCAATGACAATATAATTATGTAATTACACAATAATAATCATATTTATTAAACTATTTATAATTCTTCAAAATGTATTCCTTTTATAATTATGTAATTAAATTACAACAACCATTTATTAATAAACACTAGTAATGCTAGAATTATTATTGCTGAAGTTCAACAATTGTTTAATAATAATTCGAATCATTTAAGTTAAATAATTATTTTTTAATTAAATCTAATGAATAGTAACAATGAAGTATTGTTATTTTTAAATAACAATAACAATGATTAGCTAATAAAAACAAAAATATATATTTATAATGATATGATCATGTACAATTTGTAATACATTTATTTTAATTTGCCAACCATTCATTACTTGCAATACTATAATAGTAATTATGTAAAAAAGTACAAAATAAATAAAAATACTACTACTACTAATAATAACAATAGTATTTTTTAATAGCAAGACCTGAATGTAAATCATAAAAATGAAATATTATTACGTAATAATATTAATGATAATATGTATGCAATTACACAATAATATTAATAAGTTATTGTAGTATATAATTGGTTCCCGAATCCTTTCTTCAGAATTCATTTTTAATAATTATTTCATTTATGACAACCATTTAATAATAATATGAATATGCCATAATTCTTACTATATATATAATAAATATCTGCAGGGCATCTCTTTGCATATTATTATTATTGTTATTATTTTATTGTTATTATTATTATTGTTGAAATATTTAAGTATCTTCGCCATTCATTGTTTTCATCAAGAGACAAGAATATGCAAAGCTCAGAGCACCATGCTCCCTCACTCTCAGACCACTCACCTGTCATGGGGGGTGACGAGTTTAGGTGGGTTCTTCAGATACTGTTTAAAGCGCAGCTCAAAAGCCTGGCCGATGGTACTGATCACCTCCTGAGCCAAGCCCTCTGAACACTCCAGGATGTGACACGCTGGCACAAAGGAAGTTAACGCATGTCACAGCAGGAGCAAACATGTACGGCATTATCACAGAGGCTTTTCCTCAAATCCAGTAGATTATTTTAGATCAATAAAGCAGTACGAAACAACTGGTGGTCTTAAATAAAATCTAAGCATGAGAGAAAGATCGAAAAGTCAAGGCCAATAAGTGCAACATGATACATGGAGTAGAAATATTTGGAATGTGTTGACCTGGAATTTCTGGGGTAAGAAATTTTTCTGGGAATAATTCTACTTCTAATTTCTACTTTTTTACTTTATGAATGGGATACGTTGTGGTGCGTCGACGCGCCGGAGCACTGTACATGCAGCGCAAGACTCTAAAAATGAGTCATGAATGAAACTAAACACCACAGATAAATCAGACATGACAGACTAGAACATGACATCAGACATGAAAACAACAGCAATTCCCCACAACTACTGACTATACACTGACAGGCCACTTCAATAAGTGCATCTCCTTGTATCTACACTCACTGGAGTTTTTATACACTGTGTCCACTCAGGGTCCACTCCATTAGACACTCCTACCTTTTTGGTCCACCTTGTAGATGTAAAGTCAGAGACAATAGCTCATCTGTTGCTGCACAGTTTGAGTTGGTCACCCTCTAGTCCTTCATCAGTGGTCACAGGACGCTGCACACAGGACGCTGTTGGCTGGATATTTTTGGTTCTCAGTCCAGCAGTCACACTGAGGTGTTTAAAAACTCCAGCAGCACTGCTGTGTCTGATCCACTCTAACACACCACCACCATGTCAGTGTCACTGCAGTGCTGAGAATGATCCACCACCCAAATAATACCTGCTCTGTGGGGGTCCTGACCATTAAAGAACAGGGTAATATAGTATGCAGAGAAACAGATGGACTACAGTCTAACTGTAGAACGACAAAGTGCTCCTATACGGGAGCTGATAAAATGGACAATGAGTGTAGAAACAAGGAGGTGTACTTAATGAAGTGGCCAGTGGTTGTACAATCTTGAGTTTGAGCGCAAATATATGGCACTAAATGGGCCTGTAATTCCAATAATAATAATAATAATTACATTTTAGCGTTTATCAGCAAAGAGTAGACTGGCTGCTGATTGAAGGCAGGTTTTGGGCCAGGGCCTGCCAGTGCGCCCAAAGTTTTATTACACACTTCAATAACCAGCCAGTTTGCACCAAAGTCGCTGTACTTACTGAATAAGACGACTTAGTACGTAATAAGCGTGAGATTTTAAGGGTTAATCAAATCAACTTGGCTATAAGGATTAAAAAAGGAAAAATGCAAGGCTCTCTATAAAAATGAGAATAAGTGAGTTTTGAATCCTGATTTAAACAATGCTAGAAAAGGCAAATCTAAGGAAACTAATCTAATTTAATCTAATGAAAACATGGATAAGCTCCTCTAGGTCTGGTTTTGATATGAAGCTCTTCTAATAAAATAAACTAAACGGCTCATGTGTTTATTTTCTATAATAACTCCATTTAAAACCTGTACTATGATGAGGCACAGTAGGCAGAACTCCTGTGGTCATGTATAAAAGAACTATACTTCACTGCTAGAGCAGTTCAGAGTCCTCAAAGTCTCACCTCTCTGGTTGACAGGGTCTTTGGCTACGTAGGCTACATATTCCGCTGTATCCTACAGAGGAGGGAGAGAAAGAGAGGAAGAAAAAGGAGTAAGAGGGGAGAGAGGTCAGTGCATGGGGAGATCAGAGGAATTCGAAGGAAATTGCAGCTAAAATGATAGAAGGCCAGAGTTAAAAGAAAGGAAAGAAGAGTCTTCTAGTCGCGATAGGCAATCTAGTCACTAGGAGATAGAAACTACAGGTGAAAAGGCAGATACGAAAAGATGAGGTCAGAGCGCTGGGCAGGAGAGAAGCAAAAGATGGAAGAACTAAGAGAAAAAGGACAAAAAAAAAGAACGAGGGATGTGGGACTCACTGGATCTCCTCCTGACGCAAAAGAGATGGACTGCATGTGATGGTTGGCGATAATCTGTAGGGAGAGAAAAAGATGGAGACAAATGGAGAGGAGGAACATGTGGCGAGATGAGCAAAACATGAGAGGGGAGAGTGGACACAGAAGAACGGAGACGCATGTGTTGAGTATGTGGTCTAAAACTGCAGAGCAGGGCAGCGGTCAGATCAGCTCTGACACTTCTGTTTACGGTTAACGCAGTAGTCCAAAAATGACATTTACATGTGGCTGATTGGTCAAGACACGTTTGGTGTCTATAGTCGAGCTGAGAGGCTGAAGGTGCCTTTCTCACCGTTTGTGTTATGCGACTTGCCGCAGACATCAAAAAGGAGGAGGAGACATTTCACTGTTTGAAAAAAATGAATGGGAGAGCATGTAATGCTCAACATGGCATCTGTTTACAGGGAAAGTCCCACCCCTACTAATGAAAAGAGCCATCTGGCTTGCAGGTAAAGCCGTAAGCGAGAAAAGCCCCCCTTCATTGTGGAGATACGTGTGTACACAGTAGCCAGAATGGAAAAAAAGTGGGAAAAACACATCTTTGAAACACATGTTTGAGACAAAATTTCAGTTATAAATATGCTATAGAAACGTTAATGAGGCTTTGAGATCAGGTTTATATGTCTCTTCCTGTTCAAAAGGATAGAAGCCTGAGGGGCCATATTATAGAAACCTCCTAAGTCCTAACTCTTAAGTTACAATCTGCCGAGGTCAAGATAAGATTTTTCAAAAATGTGCGTAACAGAAGCAAATTTTATCTTAATTTAGCAAATTTATCTTATTTTACAGAATCTTCTCATGTTAAGAAATCCAAAAGTACTTGATCAAGGTCAATAATCAACCGTGATGTCGGTTGTTTGGTAACAGACGATACACATGCAGCTGAAACATAAATACGTAATCAAAATAACACTAAAAATGTAAGTTAGTTAGCTAGACAACTACCATTACTGATGTAAAAAAAAAGGTCAAAACAAGACTAAAGTGCGATAAACTGGAAGTTATGAATACTGTGACAGCGCCCCCTGCTACTTATCAGAGCATCAGCGCTCCCCAGTTTCAGTTTCCATTTCCCAAACCCTTTAGCTGCCGTGCGAGCCGTGCTGATAAACACACATTCAACTGTGCTCCTCATTATTCACCATCACTGCCATTATTTATTTGATGAGTTTTAAAGAACATCATCAGATGAAGGTAATGAGAGGGAACAGTTGAACAGAAACCACTGTTTGGCAGTATGAATAAATGTAAAGTCATTATGGCAGTTATAGTAAATCTCTTATGCTGCCTGTCACAGTTGCAGCATGCAGCCTTGCTGGTGTACAGATACTGTAGGCCACCTGTTGATGCACAGTTTGTTAGCTATCCTCTACCACAATATCAATCAATGGTCAGTTTCTGACCACAGAGCTGTGCTTGGCTGGATATTTGGGACCACTCTCACCCTAACAGTGATACCGCATGTGAAAAACCCCAGCTTGGCATCACCCACTGGTCAAGAGTAGGACTGCAACTACCAAATATTTTTTCCATCTATGAATATTCTATCAAATATTAAGCTGAATATTTGAATATTCTGTAAAAATAAGAAAACATTAAGATGTTTTACTAACTTTTAATTTTTAATTAGATTTTTCACCAACCTAATTTTATACAATTTAATGTTCTTCTCTTTTAAATCGATTGTTTTAATAATGTTTTAACAATGTTTTTAATTTCTATTCTTGTTTGCTTTTTTCTTTCTCTTTCAACTCTCTTTTTTTTTAAACAACAATTTTCTCATTTGTAAAGCACATTAAATGACAGCAGTGTATGAAATGTGCTTTATAAATAATCTGGCCTTGCCCTGCCTTGTTATTATTATTATTATTAATTTAATCATTATTATTACAAATGCAGAAATTATTTATTACTTATTTTTATTTTACACTACTGTAAAATTGTGTTTTATTTATTTATTTAGCTTTTTAATAAACCTTAACTGAAATACTGCAAGGTCATAAAAAAGCTTATTTACAGGAAAACCATTATTAAAAAAAAATCATTATTAATTTATTTATTAAATACTGTTTTAATAGCATGTGGCATTAAAATGCTAAACTAGGAATCCTGTCCAATCTAGCAACCCTAAACATGTTGCTGGTTCTCAGCAGTGTCCCGCGCAGGAAAGCAGAGGAAACAGTGTCTTCTTATCCATCTTAAAGGTTTTTGCGAACTCTTGTCAGTGAATGGGAGAGTAATGAAGGTTTTTAAGATCAGAGCTCACTGTTGAACGTTCACTGCCCGATGTAGGTTTATTAATATTCCTACTTCTGGACAGCTAGCCAGCAAACGTTTGCAGAGCGATGGGAAACTTATTTGGACTGAATCTGGAGCTTAAACTGATTGTCTTGATTTGTGAGAGTCTCCCAAGCTGTGTCAAACTGACCAATGAATGAGGTAAAAAAGGTGGTTCTTCCAGGGTACTTTAGTCAAGGTTCTATAAAGAACCATAAACTCTATAAACCCTTTGCATGATTAAAGAGTTCTGTGCATCATGAAAGATTTCTTCAGATTGATGGAGAACCTTTCATAAAGGGTTCTATATCGCACCAGAAAGGGTTCTTCTATTATGACAAGCTTGACATCGTAACAGTAGAAGAACCCTTTTTGGTGCTAAATAGAACCATCAACAACACATTCTCCCTCAATCAGAAGAACCATTTCACGATGCATGACTAGAATTGAATCACTTTCATTTTTGAAGCTCCACAGACAGAAGTTCACCAGTCCAGTCCTGTGTGACTGGCTGACCAAAAGGGTAGGGGTCACAGTTATGGGAAATACAAGCTTCTGAGTGGAAAGAACATTCAAGGCATGCTCACCTGAATGTTTAAATTTCACACTGGAAACTTGTACTTCTGCTACGTCCACAACTACTTGGGCATTACAAAGAACCAGACTGGTTGTTAGTGGGACTTGAACCTGGACATTTGGGCCCTGCTGGAGTATGAGCTGGGTGCTGTGGTAGATCTGTATGAGTATCGCCTGACCTGTTTGCATTCGGTTGCCAGTAGGTTTAGGCTGCTAGTCGACACAGTGAGGCTGATTGTCATTCCAGCAAACTGAAGGTTACTCTTTCCTAAGATAGAGGAGAGACAACGAGAAGAGGGCTAGAGAGTGGGAGAGAGGGAGAGAGAGAGAGAGAGAGGGAGAGAGAGGGAGAGAGAGATATTTATTATTAGATACAGCAATTCATGATGTTGTAGTTAGAAAATCACTGCTCTATTAACACTGTTTCATTTTTTGCGGGGTTCAACATTAAGGATTACCCGACTGCTCAGAGCAAACAAATAAATACTTTGTGAAGACAACAGGTTTGAACATCCGTATGGCTTTCAGCCATAGAGTACTTTCAGCAGTGAAAAACAAACTTGATGCTGCCTTATTTTGCTGTAATATACAAACAGTCATTTGATGGGGGAAAATGGCATAATCCAGTTGTGCACTGTGTTGGTAATTGTCTATCACGAGGCATGATTAAAAATGCCAACGTAGTTCCCACACCTTATTGCACTGTTTGCAAAGTCAATTCTGTCTGCACTTTTCTGCCTATCGCTGTTGGATGTTTTTCATTTTTTGACATAATTTGAAAATACCTGTTGACCTTTACACTGTATGTAAATTTCATGATGAATGGATGAAAAGAAATGACCCAAAAAGTCTGGTTCCACTGACTTATATTAAAAGTAAAGTATGGTTTTGCCTTCTCCTGTAAAGTTACCATTTTGGAGGTTTTCTTCCAACAACGGCGATATTTTTTGGGGATTGCAGTGAGACTATATATTTTCAGTGTTGTCTGATATGCTTGAAATTCTTATAAACAAAACTCCTCGTCTCTGTTTATTAAATGATTATAGTCTCTTCACCTTCACATTAACTCAAAAACGATTAATCTTTGCCGGTCTAACCGCTGCTAAAGAGACTATTACATAAATGGTTTAATCTGAATATGTGAATATCGCAACAATGGCTACTGTTCTACTATATATATATATATTGTCTCCCCTGAGCAGAATGATAAACAAAGCTAAACCAGCTACAATATTGGCCTGTGAGGCAATTAAATCAGCTCTTAATGATTCAGCCCTAGCCCATTAGATGAAGGCCCACAAAACTCCCCCTATTCTTGCGTTTCGTGTGATGTCACACGGTATAGTCGCTGCCCTTTTGTGGAACGAATCGGGGGAAGTGTGCTTGCACGATGCCTTTAATTTACTGTCTTTTGTGAATGATTTCCCTGCAAGACATGACAGAAGCCGAGAATGACGAGAGATTACACAGACCTTTAATTCAATGTTTTCAAACTCCAGGCTTGGAGCTCTGGAGCCCTGTACCTATGTTTGTTTGCGCTGAACAGGAATGCACGTAATCTGTTGAAAGCTAATAAAAAAATATTGATCACAAAAAAAAAAATGACAATCTAGTGATAGAATCCAACAAAGGCAGTAAAAATCTATTATCTTAGAAGAAAATCTGTTTGTGTAGGTTGAGTATGACCCATCCAAATCCTGGTCCTAGAGATCTACTACTGGAGAGTTCACATCCAACACACCAAGCTTTGATGTTCAGATGTCCCTAATGACCTCCATTAGCTGGGTCAGGTGTGTTAGATTAGGGTTGGAGCTAAACTCCAGGGTGGTAGATCCACAGAAGCAGGATTGACCAATTTGATATACACTGTTTGGCACTGACTGCACTAGTATATGCTTTCGATCCACTTGCCCGACAGGACAAGCTGGGGGTAAAAGTTCTTGTTGAAACCTGAAATAAACTGACGTTTCTATGATCAAAGAAAGTATCCTAAACACATAGAAAAACAAAACAGAAAGAAATAAACAAACAAACAAACAAACATGTATACAAAGAAAAGACAGAAAAAAGTAAAACAGAACAGCTGTCTAGATCACATTCACTCTCCTGCTCTAACATTCTTGGTCAAACTGACCTTATCTGCACCCAAAGCTCACAAAATTGTAGAGTGGAGCGTGCTATACATGCATAACCACAAATACACACGCCCCAAGAACAAACTCCAAACACGGAAAAAAACAAGTACTGTAATCAGACTGTTGGCCTTTCGTGGCAAAACTGCCACACCTACCAACAAAAGGCCAAACACCCTGACCACACCAACCATTACAGAATACCATAGAACTTGTTTGGCTGTGAGTGTGTGTCAGAGAGAGAGAGAGAGAGAGAGAGAGAGAGAGAGAGAGAGAGAGAGAGAGACAGAGAGGGAGGGAGGGAGGTACAATAGAAAGAAAGGTACAAGAAATAGAAAGAGACAGAGAGAGAGAGAGAGAAAGGGGGAGACAGCATGACAGAGAGGGACAGAAGGAGAGAGAAAAAGGGGAGACAGAGGCAGACAGAAAGAAAGAAAGAAAGTGTGTGTGTTTCTGAAAATTAGCTGAGATGATATAATGATAAGGCTGGGTGATTTGTTTAAATACCAATTATTATATGCATTGCCTAATGCTCCATTTTAAGTCTGAAAAGTATTTTGACTTCTGAATTAAATAACAGACTAATTTTGGTGCTATATACACAAACATATTTAACAATTACAATAATTATCATTATTGATAGATCATATCAAACATAACATTTATGTTTTCTTTCTTTTCCCAATGGCAAATATAGCAAAGAAACAGTAACTGTGCATTAGAAGTTATTTTCAATGTAATTTGATCAGGGGCACCCAAACTTTTGCATATGAACATATAAGTATTAGAGATGTATAGAGATTGTATTGTATCTTTAGCTTGTGGCTAGTGTGTTAGATTGGGGTGAACATATTAGCTTGTAGCTAGATTGTTAGATCAGGACATGATGAAGCAGAAAGTTTGTTTTAAATATTGGGCTTTTATAAAGGTCGATTCAAAACACCACCGTATTATAACAAATCGCAACATCACAAATAAGTATTTTTACTCCCCATAATTAACACTGAAAATACCTCACTAGCTAACTGTCCCACTGATTTGTGCTACTGTGAATTTCTCCCTCCCCTAGTCTGCCTCCTAGTAAACTGAAGAAGCTACTGTTCAAAGTTGAAACAGAATGACAATCGTTTGATCAAATATACCCCAAACCCACCCTGACAATATAAAGAAAACGTTTAACTTGATTATCACATTACTGTTTTACTGTCCAAGCTTAAAGCCCAAGGAACCTTAATCCATGTAAATTAATCTCACTCTTGTACATACACGATATACAGTACATCATATTAAGTATGTCCTATTGATAACTTTCCAAAGTCCAATAAATGGCTGATGTATTTTACCAACATTCTCCTCTCCCTATGTAAACTGGACAGTCCTCATCTTAAGTTATGCATAAGGAAGCAGTATAATCACCAATCACAAGGCTGGTGTGGTTTGTCTGACCCAAAGCAGCATTAACAAAACTGTGCCCCACCACACAGGTCCCTCTGTGTTCAAGTCAGAAAAACGTACTGAGTAAAAGCTAACCAACAAGCGAAGGCTATCCTAGCAAGCATAACTGTCTGCTTGTCGTCTGTCCGTCCATTCATCCGTTTATCTAAGGCTGGGTGTACACTACACGATTTTTATCGGATTTTAACCCCGATTTGCCCCTTGTGACAAACTTTTATGATCTAAAATGATTTTCCAGGTCAGGAGCTCGATCGGGAAGCGACTGACGGCGGATGATCTGTTAGTGTGAGAGGAGAAACGAGTGAATCTTTAGCCCTCCGATCGAACTCTGAGACGATCAGAGACCCTCCAATATTATCAAACGTTTGATATTTACGACTCAAAATGTTCACGAGTCCTGTAGTGTGAGAAGGTCAGAGATTTACTCAACAAGTGATTCAAACAACAGCCAATCAGAGACATAGAAGAGTGGAGAAACGGGTGAAGAGACGTGCATGAACACCGCCTGAACAGCGGAGCGCGGAGACAGAGGAGCTGCATGTAAAACAAAGGCAAATAAGATATCATGTTTATGATGTTTGATCCCAGACGTCAGAGCACTCTCTTTACAGTTTCAGCTCACCTGCCAGTTTGTAGTGCAATATTTCTCCAGCTCTCACCGAGGGCATTTACATGCACTTAATAATCCGATAAATGCAGAAAATCAGATTTTGTCAGTAATCCAATCATGAGAAATCCGAAAGAAATCAAGTAAGAGTTTACACGCACTGAGAAATCTAACTGAGCTAAAATCCAGCTTTCTTTATCGGATTTCTAGATCAGAGTATGCTGTTTACATGACCATTTGAATAATCAGATAACTGCAGAAATCTGATTATGATCAGGTTATTGAGTGAATGTAAACACAGCCCCAGTTTTTCCCCCAGTTTGAGCATTTACTGTGCATAAAAGCACAAACAGGTCCAGTCCAGCAAGTTTAGCTTCGTTTGTGTCATCTGATCTAAGGAATTCTGGGAGTTTGAGTTCTTATTCGAAGTCCAAACTCATGTGTGTTAATCTCTCTCTTTGCCTTGTTGTCTAGTGTGAGCTCCCTCACAACAAAAAGACAAGAAATTCTGTGATAAACTGAAGTTAAGTTTGTGATGCTCTCCGTTTTAGAAATCTGATAAGATTTTAAAAGTCGTGTCGTGTACGCTCAGCCTAAAGGACGACCAGCAAGAGCCTGTTTTGCTCATTTCTTCCTACTTGTACTGCTGTGTTTAGTTCTGCTTCAGTGGTGTAGCAAACTAAGGGTATTGGACTGAGGGCTGTCAATCATGTACGCTCATTAGAATACGAGGCCATGCCCAGACAGTTCTCAGATAGGTCTGGTAAGTGATTTTTAAGCCATGTTTTGTTATATTTATTTTGTTTTTTTTTTTCATTTCAACTCTCCTGGATGTTTTATAAAACACTTAATTTTAGTATCACACACACGTTTACTAGTTTACATTGTGATCCCCAGAATTTTAAGTGATGATATTGTAGAGCAGCAATGTGTGTAAGAGTGTCTCAGTGAGCATGTGGGTGGTTCTGAACTGAATGTGCTGTGGGATTCCAGCGTGCACTGCTGTAGTCCCACACGCAGATGATGCACACTTTGGCTGCTGGATCAGCACAGGGGAGAGAAGTGAATGGTGATTAAATGCTGACTGAATATCGGTTTAGTGTTGAATACCTTCCTCCTGCGTTGAGCTCCTTTGGCACCTGGTACTGCCTCACACACCACTGATATGGCCTCCCTGTAACATACAGAATGAAGCGTTATTAACACACACACACACACACACACACACACACTGTCAGGAAGGTGGTACATGTGTTGGTATGCGTGTCTGTGCTAATCAGATTGCTAGATATGGGTTTCAATCATGCTGCGTTTTCCGCATTCCCAGATTTCACACTCCTGCAAGACAGTACATTAGATTATACACACACATACACAGTTTTATCTCCCAGTCTATCTGTGTAAAATCTCTCTCTCAACATGGGATCATAAATGTATTTGAAAATAAATTTATTCAGTAGGTACACAGTACTTTGCCAAACTTAGAGATCACCCTTCATTCACCCTCAACAACTACATACAATATTACATTTGCCAGCATTTATCCTGCCCACTTTTACCTTTATTACCACTCTATGCTTTCAGTTTTTCAAAGAAACCAGAAGGGATATTAAAGTTCAGTCTTAGAAGTCGGTTTAGCATTTTCTACTTCTCATGATCTAAATAGTCCCAAACATTCAGTACTGTTGGGGTCTGAACTCTGGGGTGGTCAGTCCGTTCTTTTTTTTGCCTTTTCTCATTGAGGTCTTCTTGACAGCTACACACTCTTTCAGACACATAGCGCTAAGTTGTCTTCTCGTAGTCGAAGTGTGGACAGAAACACCTGTGGAGCTTGATATTAAATAAGCATAAGGCAGGCCTTGACCACTGTACAGTACTGTTAGTATATATACAGTACTGTGCAAAAGTCTTAGTCTATCTAAATTACTACTGTGCAAAAGTCGTAGTCCATGGAAAATCACTACTTATTTTATTAATGTTATTTATGTTTATTATAATATTACTGTTTTTCTGAGCAAATAAACGCTTCCTACCCAGATAAATAATACTCAGATGCCTAAAATGCATGCACAATATTGTTCAGAGACCATTCTAACAAATTAGATTAACTGTTTCGTTAGTGACGAATGGAACATTTGATCATTTATTTACAGAAAATAAACATAATTTAGGTACAGGGTGACTCGAAGCAAAAAGACTGTAGTCCAAATCCAAGTCAACTGACTTTGAATCAATTCAGTAGAAGGATCCATATATATTTAAACCTATTACTATATTACACACTATAAAGACATACAACTAGCACTGTAACACAGTGCTAAACAAAAAGGAGATGCCACAGAGATTCCAAAAGCTTCCAAGGGCTTCTATAATAAGAGTATGTGGTGTGTGGCAGCAAGGCAGGCTGATGGCATTAAAGTGCCTCTTCTCTCGCCTCTCCCTTTCACACCCACACACACCCACACACACCCACACACACACACACACACACACAACACTTCCGTCTCATGGAGAAAATGGCCATTACACAAACGCCTAACTCACAGTTGCTCCAGATCAGTGGCATCACAACCCACACATGCACACATACGCTTGCATACACATAATGGGGGATGGACAGAAAGAGAGAAGATTCTCCCTCCCTCTCTCTCTTGCTCGCTCGCTCTTTTAGGCACGCTCCCTCCTCCCCACCATCACTGACCACAACATGAGAGGAGGGGCATATGACAGAAAGAGAGCGAGAGATAGAGAGATTAATAATTAATCAAAGGAGAGCCTTTTAACCCACCACTGTGAGACAGAGTGAGAGAGAGAGTGAGAGAGAGAGACTGTGTGGTGATACACATGTAATGAAAGCAGAGCTTTTGGCAGCGAGAACATAAATGGGCACGAATGTGTGAATGGGCGCTGGGTTTTACCTGGTAACCTGAGTTCTGGTGTTGAAGTCCAGTGCTCTCATTGACTGCAGGACCTCCACACAGCCCATGTACTGCAGAAAGAGAACAAACGAGGAAACATGTTAGCCCAAGCCACTTCCTGCACTACACACCAACCACCAACCCAAGAGAAACAGAATTTCCTGTCAAACTCTTTGTTATGCAAAATGAGTCTTGCAGTGGAACTACCTGGACACAACACTCAAAGAAAACAAAGAAAAGCTGAAATACAACATCGCCATTCAGCAGCCTGGCAAACCCCTAATACGAAAGACGGATGTAAGAAGGGGTTTTCTAAACTTAAGGAAAATCAAAAAGTTGACCCTGTTTGAAGCAGAGGTCTGATACCCAACCTCAGCCTGACGGCTCAACAAAACATTGGGTTTTGGGCCGAGTTCAGGCCAATTTTTCACGTGCAACTTCGGGATCAGGTTGGATATTGTTATGGAGCAGATTTTGCGAACTCTCTCTTACTCTCTTTCACTGTATTCGGTAATATATAAACAGTTTGAGTTGTCAGCAACTTTCAAATGCAAGTCAGGTTCAGGCTTCAATCTCATACACATGCAGACCTCTGGCTGGAATGGGTCGCTGGAAGTACAATTAGTGTAAAACTCGCATGGAAAACTCAGGCACAAATGCCCTAGGCTGGTTTCCTGGACATGGATTTAGCCCAGTCTTAAATTAAAGTGCAAGGTCAATGGTGATTCACCACTGAAAATCATTTGTGGTGTAGTCATCTTCTGGCTCAGCCTTGTGTCTAACCATGCAGGCACATAAGGCTACGCTACCACAGCAGAAAAAAGTGGCTCAGATTCGATCTTTTTCCTTCGTATGTGACCAGGATTTGGCTTTTTGTGTGGCTGAACATGATCTTCTAGTTCATTTCCACCTTGAGAGACAGCTGGAACTCTCAAAACAACAGCGATTAGCAATTCAGCTGTCTTTTTGGTTATTTTATGCCACTCATAAACATATAATCTGGCTAATAAGATACCTCTGCTTGCTGGTTAGCTTAACGTAATAGTTAATACGAAATGACAGACTGTTCTCTGAGCTCAAACCTGCGAACATGTCTACACGGACACGCGCCTGTTGAGTCATGCAAAGGTTACGCCAGATGTGAGTATGAATGGATGCATCAGCTATCTTGCCCACCATAGCTTAATGCTAGTTGTGCTGACATGAAATAATGCAGTGCACTTTTCCGTGCTCCACAATCACACGAACGTCTACAACTACACATAATCTGGGTCGTGAAAATATGACCAAATCACTAATTCTGAGGACGGCAGCATAAACGCTAATAAAGCTAGTGTTAGCTTCTTAGTGAACATAAAGTAATAATTGTAAAAGCAGTAGTCGATACAACAACAAACCGTTCTTGTTTACATTCTAGTATACTGCTTGGTGATTATATCTGTACCTGGACAGGTAAAGAATGTGGGTACCATTAGGTTCTGTTGGCACCAGTCTCGAAGAGGCACCAAAATCTACACAATTGGAACAGTTCCTGTTGTCTAATGCTGAACAGTCTGGCACTTTGTGCGGCTGAAAAACTAAACTAAATGCCATCAGAAACCAAACATCACAGGAAATGCTGGTAATAAGGTGCACTGTGGTTTTATATTGGACCGATATCAACAAGTTAACGATGAGACATGAATAACTTGGAACATCCACCAAAAGCACCATTTTCAAAAGTAGCTAGTAGGAGAAAGGAATTCTCACTTAGATGAGAACTGGAGTTGGAGATGGAGCACCACACAGAATAACGTCCACTATATCTCCAGAAGGAGCTCAGGACCACCAATTCAAAGGCCTGCCCTGAAGCTGGATTCAAAGTCTAGGGGTCAAACTTCCTTGTCTACATGAAATTAGGAGATATGCCTGGACTCGCTAAAAGCAATACGTGATCAACTGCCGCAGGCACTGCAGAACTGTGGTGCAAAGAGGTTCTGGTATAATGTCGTGTTTCCACTTTTATGGTGTATTGGAGTTTGGAGACACATTAAACCCCAAATGCATTTCGGGATATTGACCAATGTTCTGATGCAAGGGGTGCATTCATGCTGAAAACATTACCCTGTTCCAGAATAATGAAACAAGTCTTATTTGCTTCACAGCAGCTGCCTGTACATGATGAATCAGAGATACAGTCACACTGGCTTTGCAGAAAACACATTACAGGGAATTCTACCACATTATGATATCATATGTGGAAGGTGGTAAGACAGCAGAGACAGACAGTTTTGATACAGAGTTGGAGAGTGACTGCTAGTCTCCATCATCATTGGGAAGTTTACTTTTAAAATGTGTGCCACATATTAATGATGGTATTACATAAGCCAATTATTTTTATTAATCCAGCACTAGTTGCCTTACCTCAATTACCTTCCATCTGCTTACTGTGATACGGCCATACTTTATGGTCCATTATGGCTCGTCTACATTATGCTTAAATTATTAACAGCATTATGAAACTTAGTTGATTATCAACAGTGTTAGGATCAGAACAGAGGTTAGTATTACAAACAGGGTTAAGGCCACCTCATACCAGACACTAGTAGTGGGCAGTATGGACAAAAAATTATATCACAGGAAAATTTTAATTTCTGGCTGTTTTGATATATATCATGGTATAAACCTGGGAAGAGAGGAAACTGAAGCGCAGAAAATACTCATGATCTCCTACAGTGGGAGGTGACTGAGGGAGCCTCCCACTGTAGGAGGATGGATTAGCCACCTAGCCACTAATGTTAGCGTGGGCGCTGAAAGTTTATTCTGGTAAATTTATATGAGTCAAGGGTAGAAACGAATTTGGTCTTTAGGGTAAGGGGTTGGGATGTGGTAAAGTTTGGTTTAGAGTACATATTTCACACTCCAGCTCTTATGGGCTACAAGGCTTTCGTAAACTGATTTCAGAGCATTAGATGAGGGCAAACGATAATCCTTCGCAGAGCTGTGGCCCAGAAGGAACCCAGTTTGACACACCTGGTTTAGACAAACCTGTTAAAGACAGCATTAATTTACATTCTACAAAACATCTGAAGTGGACCAACAAAATAGTGTTACCCTTAGTTTTCTATTTTAACACTAATCCCATTACATGTATTCCATAACCAAGTACTTCCTAATGCTGCTCCTGGAATACCGCCGCCTCAACTCAGGAATGTTCTGACTGATTGGCAAACTAATAAGTTGTTGTTAGAGCAGTGTACATTTGTCTTACACAATTTGATACAGATCTTCTCTAACACAATAGTTCTCCACTCCAGACCCACTGCTGCACAAATTCCTGTATTCCCTGTTGGTCAGCTGTATGTTGGACCAGGTGTGTTAGGCCAGGAAATGCAAGAAACTGTGCAGGGAAGTGGCTCCCCTTCACTGGAGTTGATACACCAGGATTGGGAACCACTGACAATCCCAATGCTAATCTTCACATTTTCACAGACAGAGAACAGCTTTGGCTAAAAAGTCTTGCCTTACCCTGACAGTGTAGGAGACCCCGGTGGTGCTGACCACGTTGTCTGAGTGCAGCCATCCTCGGGTGGGCTTGTTGACGAAGGAGCCATGGCGCGTCCACTCGTCTCCGCCTAGCTGGCCTCCTTCCACCCGGGCCCTGCGCGATGCCCCGCCCAGCCGGTTCATATCCTGTGGGGGGCGAGGAGGGGGAGAAGGAGCAGTTAGAGAAGGGAGAGGAGGACCAGGAGCAGAAGAGGTGGCAAGTGCATCCTGCATCTCGCGGTCCCCGGTGACCTGCTCGGACCGGCTTGCGGCCTTCAGACCGGGCAGCAGAGTGGCCGACATTCCCAGCCGCAGGGACCCCATCCTGGGGAAGAAAGAGCACAGCGTGGTGGGGCTGTTCTCCACCGCCCGCGGGGAAGAAACGGGCGGGAGGATGGGGGCGAGGGAAGAGGAGGAGAGAGAAGAAGGGATGCCCGGAGGAGTGAGGGGGGTGAGAGGAGCAGAGGAAGGGAGAGACGGATTGGAGGCCGTCTCGTCCGTCGAGCTAAAAGAGTCGCTCCTGAATGGAGCGTATTTCGTTTTGGGGACGAGCTCCATTTTGATGTGTCCATCAAGCTGAAATGAATATGCTTTATATACTCTTATGGTCTCTCCAAGTGTCTCTTTCAAAAAAGTCACAAACCGGTCTTCTCTTTTCTGTTCCAGTCCTCTGGCTCTCTCCGTCTACTGATCCCTTCATCGCTGGACCGGAGAGATGACAGTGCAGTGACAGCTCGGTTCATGAACATCAGAGGAAAGTAAAAAAGTTGAGAGACAGCGGAGAGAGAGAGAGAGAGAGAGGAAGAGAGAGCGAGAGTGAGAGAGAGTGTAAAGGAAAACGGAACAGACAGAGTCTCTTGTCAAATTCAAGACACTGACATTAGCGTGTTGTCACACAGTGTACGTTAATGGCTGTGTGAGGTTACTTGCATCAGATCTTAGCCTGCATAGAGATAACTGTGGTTTACACCTTATGATAAGATCATCACAGAGCACCATATGCTCTACTCAAAGTCTCAGAATGATTGTCGTCTAAGTACCTGTTTGTCGGTATGTATTATTTGCCTTAAAACGTTCGTGTCACCAAGAGACAAGCTCAATGAAATCTTTGATATTTAGAGCTTGTGTGTGTGTTTCCGTTTGCGTGTGCTGGGCTCCACTCTAGTAGTTCTTGTCCGACAGCGTCCCATAAAAAGCCTATTAGCTGCAGCTGAGACTAAGAGAAGAGGCTTCCAGCGGACAGACAGATCAATATAGAAAGGAGAGGGAAAGAGAGAGAGAAAATGGATGGAGAGCACTGAACCAGTGAACGCTGATCACTTAACGAAAAACAGAGCTGCTCTACTCAGGGAGGATTCGATGAAACACCAACCTCCACGCGACGAGAACATGTTTCAGAAGGACCTGATCACAAAACTACACAGACAACTAAATACGGTCAAGAGATTAATGGACTAAACTTAGTCGTGGTTAAAAGTACTATATACATATCATATTGTCTTGATGCAACCTTAAGAGCCTGAATAAGTCCAAGCAGTCCTAGTCATGAACAGATACAGTCGGAAAGGAAAAATAGGCCCAGATCAAGACCGCAGAAAGCACCAAGTCTGATCTGGATCAAACTCACTCAGCTGACTTTTTCCCTTTTCTTGCACTGTAACCATGCCTTCTCCCTTTCTCTTTCACTCCCTTTCTTTCTTCCTCCAAATGATTCTGGGTCCCCTGTCCTCCAGCTGTATCCTCTCCCTCTCTTTCTCCTCCTCCTCCTCCCTCCTCTTCCAAATCACCTCCGGCTGAGCTTCCCTCCCTCCTTCGGCGCTCTGTCCCTTGCCTCGATCGCCCTCTCTATCCCGCCTCTCCTGGAATCCCTCCCTAAGCCTCCAGACAGTGTACTGGGCCCTGTTCCTTCTCTCCTCCTCCTCCCGCTCCCGCTCCCTCTCCCTCTCCTGTTCTCTCTCGATCACGCTCGCTCTCTTCTTCCAGATGATCTCTCTCTCCCCCGCTCCCCCTCCCACGTCTTCTCTCCCGTTCTCCAGGCTGCCTCTTTGTCCGTTCTTCCTCTTAGTTCACTTTCCTGATCGCTCCTTGGCGTTCTTTCAGAAAAGGAACTAAGAATCCACAGCTGGGCAATAACCAAATACTAACTGTCCAACTGTAACAAACCTTAAGTTACATTGGTAGCTTGTTAACGTAAGTACACATGCATATAGAAATGTGGTAGATTTAGAAAAAAGGTGAACTGAGCCCTGAAACGGTTCTGTTAATGGTCTAGAAATAAGGTGAAAATGTGCCTATAGAAAAGATATAACTTTGAGCACCATTAGAGGAACTTCTTGCCTAGTTGGTTTTAAGTCAAATAAGAGAGGCCCAGAGATAGTCTTGCACAATGAGAACTAGGCCAAATAGTGTCATGCGCTGTAATAACGTTCTAGAGTGATAAACGGACCAACTCTATAACGACTGTGTTCCCACGGGAATGACAAACACCAGCTTGTCAGCCTAACGATAATGAGACCTGATTGGCTCCGTCTGAAGTTCCGCCCTCGGAGATCTCAAACGAGAGGGGCTCATTAGAGGCTGACTGGAAAATCAATCACTACCTCATTACTCTAAATGACACCTTGGACTCGAGGAACAGTCCCATCAGACGAAGCAGGTCTTAATAAATCAGTTTCCTGAGAGAAAAGCTACCCCTAAAAGCAGCTTGACTTAGCAAGTCCTTATGTCCACTACTTGAGCACTGACAAAGCTTTATCCAGAGAAGAAACAGTCTTTAACTGCGAACGGTTCTGAACAGTCTAGAACGGCACTCCAAGAGAACAGTCTTAGCAGTACAATCAAATCCAACCACATACATTACCATAATCTCCAAAGCACTTTCAGTGACTGTAACACTATCCACACTTCGGAACTCTGTTGGCAGGAGAACAGCCTCACTCGTTCGACCCTCGTCCTCAGAGGCTTCCGCTGCATATTTGTTTTTTCCGTCAGCACAGAGAAGTGTTGAGCAGCTGCTTTAATCATCAGATAAATCAACGAGATGTTAATCAGACTGCTCTAACACAGCACCGATGGCTATACTCGGAAAACTCAGAGCAAAGCCAATTAGCAAAGTCATAACAGGCGTGACAGGCAGTCAGAGCAGAGACCCATCACGTCCACTGCTGTAAAGACACAAGATGTACATCCTTTTACACTAGGGTAGATCTCAAAAGCTGCTATGAAGTGTAATAAAGTTTAACAGCTCCATAATAAGTAGTGTCTTTTCAGTGCAGCTCCGAAGAGGTCCGGTCAGTGCAATAGATAAGGGGACTCAATAAAATGCACCAGTGATTATAAGGACATGGCACAGAATATGAACAAGTGAAGTAGTTCTGGAGCGTGAGCTGTACCTGCATGCCGTCCACTTAAGAAATGACAAGTGCAATCAAACGGCATTCAAACATCAGCGACAAACAGTTCTCAGAGTTGCGACTGATGCATCATGGCACACATAGAGCACAGTGTTCGGGAAATAACAGTGCAAAAGGGGTAGAAAACCCAATGAGAACATTACAAAAAAAACATTTAGTAACAGTACGGCGAACCAAGCCTTGAGCGGAGTCAAACCGTGACAGCTCAGATGTAGCACCTGTTCATCGAGAATATGGCAGAATCCCTGTTTGGATAGGACGGTTCGTTCCAGGATGGCGTGTGAGTTAATAAGCTCACTGTGGCTGCCGTTTGACTATGAACATGAAGTTCCAGTATACATGCTGTCAAACCAAAAGGCAAGTAAGAGGTAACAAGTATCCGTATAAAGTGTTACTCAAAGAACGCAAGTGAAAAAGTTCCAGAATTACGGACGGAAAAAAACTGTTGGATGGGATCACTGGCAAACAAGCAGTTTACAGGCCCGTTTCAGGCCTGTGGACGTGCAGTTAATAAGCAGCCAGGTTTGTTAGTCTTCACAAACCTCTGCTAGAATGTTTGCTGTGACATGAAAAATAGCACGGTATGGCTGGCACTCCACAGAGGAGGCAAACCCTGAGTTTAACTACACAATCTTCCTCGCATACATGCACACATCACAGAATCTGTATGCGACTATCTCAGACAAAAAGACATTTTAGACATTTCTGTGTGGACGATACACGATCCGGTGGGACAGATGACGTGAAAGTAAGTCCTGACGGTGAACAAGTTGTGCTGACTTGGTCAGTTTAGTCCTTAATTGCCACAGATGTGAACTGGTTACCTGTACAAAACATATAAAGATCATGGACAGAAAAAAAGAGAAAGAAAAAGAGCACCTTGAAACCCGGCTTGGCTTGAAGGCTCTTACCTAAGTTGTGCGAAGGGAGAGCGACCTCGAAAGTTCAGTTCATGGCAAGTTACGAAACGTAGAAAAAAAGTAGAACTTCGTGGTAGCCAGGTTGTTGCCATGGCGATAGACTGCGGAGCAGAATCCTGCCAGACGGAATCTTGAAGGAACCCAAACAAAAGGCAACGAGTTCCACCGACACAAAACCTGTCGGCTCTACTCTTGGCCAATCAGAATGGGCTGAGAGACTTTGACTTGTTAATGGAACGAAGGCTCAGTGAGAGTCTTGCTCAGGATCAATAGTCTGCTGAACATGCCGCCACGAGACAGCAAAGTTCTGCTGTCGCCTCCGCTGCCATAAAGCTAATCAATGTTGACATCTTGACGCGGACAGCGTCAGACAGCGTTACTGTACAGAAGGAAAGAGACGAAGATTCACTCCTATACAAAGCACTGTTATCGCACCAGGCCAATGAGGAAATCAAATATTGCTCAAGACCCTGCAGATACACATGCACGCTTCCGGATAAAAACAAATCATTTGAAAAAAGGACTTCTGCCAAGAGCACCCAGCCTAATCGCAACGCCAAAGAAAGTCTCTTTGAACAAATTTCATTAATTAACACACAAAGTTTTGCATATGAGGAACCTGATTGTTTTCTGCATATACAACTATAAAAACTCAGTGTGATTCCTGGTCAGAAACTAACAGAAAAAAAAAAAAGAAATGTGGCAAAGAACATCTGACATCTGTGTTTTCTCTCTCACTTTAGTTCTAATCACTGCTGATGGTTGAGAAAAAAAGTAAAGGCAAAATGTCAATCCATCAGTCTGTCAATCAAAACAAAGACATAAATATAAAAAGACTGCATGATTATCTTCAGCAACGTGGTAAAAAGATCATCTGTTCATATTAGTATTAAATTTGAACGGTGCCGTTAAGGTCCTCGTCTCGCTCCATCTCTCTCTCTCTCTCTCCCGCTCTCTCTCTCTTCCTCGATCTCTCGCTCAGTCCCCTCCCTTGGAGAGGAAAAACGTGGTCTCGCTTTTATCCATTGACTGGATAAAATTACAAAGTCATGGTCGGGCTCTGCTTCCTCTCTCGTTCACGTGCGGATCCCTGCTCTTCCCTCTCTGTCCTCTGGAACACTGGGACGAATGGCCCGGGCGATCTGCCTTTGTTCTCCTCTCCTGCCCCCGCGCTCTCTCTCATCCTCCTCTTCTCTCCACCTCCGTCTGCATTTGAGGAGCGAGCGGTGCAGCCAACTGTCCTCTGTACTCTACGCCTCCCTGTCTAGCGCCGTGTCTCTCTCTCTCTCTCTCTCTCTACCCCTCTCCCTGTGCACATTCACACGCTGATGCCGCTGCCGATTCCTGTTTCCACCTCCCTGCCTCTCTCTCCTCCCCCCTTTTCCCTCTCTCGCTGTCTCCTTACAGCGGCTGTCATTTATGCATTTATAATAAGGCTGCACAACACAGGCAAACTGCTCCTACATATTGCGATTTTATTTTGAAACAATGACTGCGATATACCTTGCAATATATTAAAATACACTGGCGAACCCCTGATTTAACTTGAAGACGCACTTTATTAAGTAGGACAGCATTATATGCCTCACACTCATCGATTTGACAGCATTCACGTTTTTCTGTTTTCATTTAACAACGTACAACAGCTGGCAAATTCTTCATACAACCATTTGGAATCTTCGTGGTGTCAACCAATCATGACTGCTAGCGTGGCCACTGATCTATAGGCTAATAAATACCACCAAGCTAGCATTAGCTTAAGCTAGCATCAGTGCCCATTATTTAGCTCCGTCGTTGAAGAAAATCGTAAACGATAAAGCAAACTACTGAGCGCAAAATGAATATCAGGTACAAATTTACTCTTTCAAAAGAGCCAAGCTGAGGTGTCTAGATAGCGAGCTACCTTGCTTTAACTTCAGCTTTAAGCTTGTTGTCCTCCTATCTGACAAATTGCTTCCGTCGTTCACTGCATTGTGATTAGATTTGCAGTTACTACAGATACTTTCTAGCAGTCATGTTAGCTCGTCCTTTCTTCTGCGCATACTAGCTATAAAAAATATAAAAAGTTAAAAACAGCCTGCCCCAAAAAAATCATCCCCAACGCAGTTATACTTCTTCAAAAAGTTCCTCCCACCCTCAAAACATGTCAACAGAAGGGGGTTAACCAGAAAATCTCACTCGAGAGACTTTTCCGCCACTGCAGTAGGTGATACATCATGGTTTCGAGTCTTCTTTTTCTTACAGAAGCAGTTCTCAAACTGGTCTTCAGGGACCCCACGATGGTCCACATATTTCTCCACTCCAAGTTAGATTGGAGCTGCTTTGAGAACTACTGTCTTAGAGGGCTCATCTGCATAATGTTATCTTCTGCGATAAAACTATCGCAAATGTAGTGATAAGAAAAGGATGGAGTAGCTATAATTTACAGCCCACCCAGCCTCCTCTCTCTTTCCCTCTCTCATGTCTCTAATGCACATGCTCTTGATGGGGGGGGTGGGAGAAAGTGGAGTAGATGGATGTCGCTGTTGAAGCCTTGATGGAACGAATTGACGGATGCAAAGGAAGCATGTGAAACTTCCTCCCTTGGTAACCTTAGAGCTGGAAGGACAAAGGAAGGTAGAGGATGAGTTCATTCCTCTTTCCTTCCTCTCATTTTTGCATTTCCTGCTCTCTGGTTTTTCCCTCTCCTCTAACCTCCTCTTCTGGCACCTTGACATCACATGTGCCGGCAAATTAACAATAACACGATGGTCGTTTCCTTGACCCGAGGCAAAAAGCATCATTTGGCGTGTTATGAAAGAGTTCCAAGGTTAAGTGAAGGATACGCTCTACCTCCATCTGGGAGAGTATCCACACACGTGCACGCAGTCTTGGGAAAATACTGTTAGATTAGCCAGATACCAACGTCAGTCAGTTTAAACAAGTGACCTAAATATTGGATGTGCTGACAACAAAGCTGCACCGAACTACAATTCCCAGAGTGCACCAAGTGAAAAGTCTTTTCACAGAGGACACGGGAACACGCGCATGGCGGCCAGTTTGGAGCAGAGGGACGTCATGTCAGGTTTCATTCGGCTCTCTTACCCAGTCACTGAGGCGTGCTGAAATGTCAGTCAAGAGTGCCAAGAGGGAAACAAAACAGCGAGACTAAATGCAGTTGCATCATGGTCCCTTGCTTCAGGGCATGAACCCAGCAGAGAGAGAATGAAAGGAGAGGGGGAGAGAGAGAGACTGAGAGAGAGAGACAGAGAGAGAGAGAAAATACAGGCTATGATCAGACAAAACAATCTTAGTCACCAAATTACAGACAGAATATAAACATTAACCTCACATATAGTACAGAACACACATTATGGCCTATGAGACAAACAGGAAGAAGGTGCCATAGAAGAACCACTTTCGGTTCCCTGAAGAACCATGTTTGAAAAAGGACCAGTCACGATTGGTAGACACCACAGGGATTCCCAACTGTTGTATTAAGTATTTGCATAATGCATGCTAGCTACTGTAGTCTGAATGAAAACTTGAAAACATACCTGTTAAAGGTTTGCAAAGAACCTTTAAGGTTCTATATCAATTTGAGAGCTCTCTCTAGAACCTACACTATGTGGAGGATTTATGCTTAAAAAAAATAGTTCACTATATTACAACACAATATACTGAAAAGTTTGAACAAACAAAAGAGAACCAGTAGCGCCACAATTAAAAAGTACTAGGGGTGTCAGAATATACTGACAATTCGATTCAAGTTATGATACTGGGTTCATGATTCCGTATTCTCACCATATTTTGAACAAAATTTGAATAAAGAAACACGATGACTGTAACTGACCCAGAGCTGGGGGGCAGGAAGAGTGCAACTCTGGTCCTGGAGGACCCCGTGTCCTGCACATTCTAGTGTTTTCCCTGCTCCCAACACACCTGATTCAACTCATCAGCTAATTAACAAGCGCTGAAGTGGGTGCTTTTTGGCCAGGGAAACACAAAAATGTGCAGAGCAGGGGATCCTCCAGGACAAGGGTTGGGAACCACTGGTTTGTGGAACCAAAAGAGGTTCTTCTACGGTTCTTCTACCCTTTTCGGCACCTATATTTTAAGAGTGTGGAAAAGAAAGATGACTTAGAAGAACAACAAGAAAAACAACAACATAACATACAGAAGACAAAATTATATTCAACACTGACCTCTATAACATCTCCAAAGACCCCTAAATAAGCATCTACGTTAAACACTGTAATCACAAACAACACAATCAAAGACGCTTCATGCAGATTTGTAGGCCTCTAAGCATTGAGAATTGAGCTCTGCTGCCTCTGTTCACGTTAAAAAACCATCAGTCCCAGATACCACTGGTGGCTGAGGAACTCCGAGGATGCAATTAGCCAGATTCTCACATGGAAAGACAGGAAAGTCTTGATTAGCACCAGGCAGTCGAGCGTTTGCATAGTTGCTCTGCTTTGACCACGCTGCATGGTTGGTAGCCCAAATAAAGACTGGAGTAAGAGGCCTTCTGATCCTCGGAAAAGGCAGATCCAGTCTTTGGCCTTGCAGGTTGATGTGCCGCAGACAAGAGATTTGGCTAGGACTGAGAAGAAGAAAGGAAAAGGAACTGGGGAAAAGATTCTCTGAACCTGCACCAAATTAGAAAAGCACCCCATCAAAACCACAGCCAGACAGCGTAGGCCAAGATCTAGACATCAGACTGACGAGCCAAGGGCTAATAAAGGAACAGATTCGCGTGTCAAAGGGAGAAGATAAGAAAAAGACGGACAGGGATGAGGATGCACACGGAAGCATCCACGTGGTGACGCTTTAGACGGCTTCCCTCCACCTGGTGCATGCAGGAGTGTGTGTCTGGGCATCGAGGCTGATGGTTACTGCGGTGTAATCTAATAGCACGTAGGCCGTAGTGTGCATGCGATGGCTTATGAGGCCCAACTCTAACAGGAAGTGACTCAAAGGAGCTGAGAGCCACACGTTATGATAAATTGTAGTCCACTGTGACCTACATTCTCAACTCCCCACAGAAACTTAGCATGTGCAATGTGCAGATGTATGTGTGGTGTTTCAGAGTCCAAATGTGCTGATGTGCAGAAAAAGGTATTTGCTCTCTGCCGGCACGAGGGGGGCTTGGCTGGCTCTCCTCTGGTGACCTATTTTGGTTAATTCTCAGAGACTTGCTGACGTTCTTTTGCACGCTGAAATTTGTTCGCTTAAAATTATGAAAAGTGACTGAACAGAAAAAGCACTCTAGTTTGTGATTTTGCTCTGAATCGAAAGGGTCAGAAGCATTTTTGCATTCATTTTCCCTCTTAAACCAACTGACCCGTTATTCCGTTATGTGAAGAAGCATGTATCAGCGGTCCAATTTCTCGGTCTATTTCTCATCTGGAAACGATGGAAAATAAATGAGGATTTATATTATGATTTGGTTCCCTTGGTCCGGACCAAAGCAGGAAAAGATGCTCTTGTTCGCAGATTTTATGACGTACATTAACGACAATAACTGGTATAATATCCAACCAACTTTCTGAATCATATTCTGACTTGACTGAGCTTGTGATATTCTACACTCTCAGAAATAAAGGTACGAAACTGTCACTGGGGCAGTTCCCCTCTTGTCACTGGGGTGGTACATTCAAGGGTACATCTCAGTCAGGGAACATAATTGTTCCATAATCCATTGAAATTATATTCTCTAAATTGACTCCACACACCCCGTCTCGTCTCCAGGCTTATTTTATTGTTCTGTTTTAAAACAATCGGTTATGAAAAGGTACAAATATGTACTTTTCCACTGGGAAAAACATATTTAAAGTACACAATTAGACCTTCAAAACACTGTTGTATCTTTGAGGGAATGTTTACACTGTTTCTACCTTGATGAACGAAAAATGTACCTGCACAGCACCTTTATTTCTAACAGTGTATGGCAGGAAGCCACAATATTCTACAGTAATAAGCCACAAGAGCATTATTAAGAGTTTCCCACAACACCAAGTGGAGTAAAATCACTGTCTTTGGTCTGTTTTACATCAAACTGAGCCAGGGTTTGTTAAGAAGTGGACTCTTACCAGGTGCTTCTTACTAGGCTACATCACCATGGCAATTAATGCTGCACACCAAACCTGCTCCAGAGCTGGTTCATTTCAGGATTTCTAATCATAAACAGCTCTTTGACCAATTAGAACAAGCTTCTGATCAATCAGGGACTGATGGAGGTGGAACCCTCCCGTCACTTTTTCTTTCTCTGTGACGTTTGTGTGTCAATCACATCGCCATTTCTGCTCTAATAAGCACTAACATGGTGGCAGTTGAGACAGTGTTGCTTTTTTACTGGTTTATTTTATTTATGTAAATGTCTTCTGTGTTTGGGACGTAAGCTGCTCGACTCCTTATGATTTCACGTGATTGGCTGTTCATCATAAACATTACGCTTTCATGTAACGTTTCATGTTCAAGGATTAATCATAGCTTGAGTATCTAAAGTTGTTGACTGCCTTGTTAACTGCACATAAATTTGCTCGTCACTAAATTGGCAAACGGTGACACTGGGTGAGCTAATCGAGCATGAACAGGTTCCTCCCTCATTCAGGAGCTGAACCGAAGTGCTTTCACACACAGCTTGGATGGTTGTAAACCAGTATAAGCTGCTTTTCGCAATGCAAACACCAGAGACAACATAGGCCGGTCAAGTGAGTTTATCTTGCCTGCAGAACAGAGGGTGAATAAATTACTGTTACATTTTAAGGTGTGGAAAATATCAAATTAGACATTCAAATAAATCATAGTTTAGGGGTTACGATCTTAGACTAATAGTCATTTTGTTACACAGTTTCTTTATAATTCGAAAAATAATTACTTACATATTAGTTACATAATTACTCATTTACATTGAATTCAAATTCTATATTGAGTTTTTCTGTGTTTAGACAATGTCAACAAAACATAACTGCTATTTTTTTCCTAGACTGTGCACGAAACAAGTACTTTATCAAATTCAAATCGCAATAAAACACCTTCCGTTCTGCTTAAACACGACTAAGCTGATGATTAAACATGGAATCCACACTTTTGACAGATGTTTCAACGAGGTACGAGCGACAAACTTCATATTAAAAGCACATTAAAAAGTAACCTGTTACAATTATTGCATAATCGACACGTCATTGGTTGGAGGTGGTGCTATAACACCTTTAGACAGCCGCAGTAAATAATGTTTATTCGAGCTCGAGCTGTTTCTGTCATAGTTCAGAGGCTCCTAATACTGCGTTCAAGCGGTGTTGGAAACTGGGCAATACCAGTTTTTCTACTTGTAAACTGCACTTGAACAGTCGACCAAGTCGTATTTACACATGGGAAACGGGATTCTAGGGACGACGCGCGACCTTTCAACTCTTCCGCTGTCAAAAATGATAACCTTGGTGGTGAATGGAGAAATACAGCTGATACACACTTCTATATGAGCTATGTGCTATCTTTCCGATGACCACCCGAACGCAGCCTAAGTACCGACAGCTGAGAAGCAAGATAGCAAATCAGCTAATCTGGCCACTTTAGGCTTGAGGCCAATTGATGACGGAGGCAGGCCTAGTTCAAGTATGCTTTTACGATCTCCAGCCATAACTGTGACTAAGGGTTAGCATGTACTTAGCTCAGGATGAATAAGAATGATTAGCTGGAGTTGAGTCACCTACAAAAAGCTTATACATGCCTCGATTTCACTTCACGACTAGCTGCGTTAGATAAACATGACAGACTGAGCTGGTGCACATGTAAAACAAAACGGGCGCATACCAGCATGAGGCAGCAATGTTCTCCTCGGCTGGCTGATTGCCAAGTGGTTGTATGAAGTCAGCCGTTGGGCCTCCGCTTGAGCAAACCGAGCATGAGAGAGCAGCGTAATAGTAAACCAGGTCCAGGAGTTACCTAAGACACGATCAGCCTCTATGCCTCAGGAGGTGTGCGTGTGGGTCTGTGTGTGCGTGTGGGTCTGTGTGTGTGTGTGTGTGGGTCTGTGTGCATGCGTCAAAAGCTTACCACATACTCCATTGGACAACACTCTGCTTTTGTGTACC